CCAGAGAGAGCGGCTTCGGGATCGGACTTGTTCTTGGTGGAAGCGGGGAGGTGGCCGTGGCGGAAGACGAGGACTTCACCCTTTGACTTCTTGGCGGAGATGAATTCGGTAGCGACGATGTAGACGATGTGGTTGAAGATGGTCATGGCGATGAGGATACCGACGTTGCGCCACTTGTGAGCGTGGTAGTACTTGTACTGAAGGTTGAGATAGCGATCACCGTTGATGACGGGGTCGCCAGGAATGCTGCCGACAGTGGAACAAGCTCGGTTGAGACCACCGATGTCTTCATAGCCAGCGACTGTGTTACTGGGAATGAAGGCTGTGCAGGTAAAGTTGCGACCGGAGAATTCGTTAACCATCAGGGACTCGAAGGCGTAGGCTACTGGATCGAGATAGTTGATCCATCGACACCAGCCGAGCATGTAATCCGTGGGGATGACGAAGCCAGCGAAGATGACGAGGGCGAGGATCAGCAGCGAAGCGGGAACCATGGCCTGCGAGAGTGTACGAGAGAGTGAAGCACTAAACAGTCAGTCATGTTTCGTTTTGTGGTGGAAGGAGGGAAACTTACATAGATCGGAAAATACCAGACATGGCGAGGACCATGATGAACGAAACAAGGAGGTAGAAAAAGAATGCCCCCGCCTCCCTGTTAAGGTTCGTCATGAAGTAAAGAGTGACATTGAACAGAATACTATTACTGATCTTATACGGCATATCAACCAAGATCGAAGAGAAGGCCTCAGCAGAAGGGTGGTAAAAGGCATAGCGTGATTGTTTCTCAACAATAGGGCGTTGGGCATACTGCGTCAGAATTTCGAGGGCAGAGGCGAAAGCGTTCATCAAAACAGCGAGGAAAAGAACTGCACCGCGCTTGAAGAAGTCGCTCGTCGTGGGCTTCATGTTGTAAAAGAGCGACGAGGCGATGAGCGCGGTAGCTGTGTTTGCTGTGAGGGCGAAGATCGTTACGCCTGGTGAACCCTTGAGACGCTTCCAGCCGCGCCAGAGGCAGAGATTGACTTGCTGCATGTAGGACAGTGTGTAGGGGGACTTGAGGCGTTGACCCTTAGCTTGCGCTGACTTTTTGTTCTCGCGGAAAGCTTCGGCGCTGGAACCGTTGAGAGGGTAGAGACTCTTGTAGGTCTCAATCTCAGCGCGGACGATCTGGTACTCGCGGGATTCCTTCCAGCGCGCGGCGAACTCATCGGGTGTGCGGGGCACCTTGTTCTCGAAGCCGGGACGGATGACGCGCTCAGCTGGTGCAGTCATGGAAGTGAGGAAGTCAGGCGTTGTTTGACGATCAGGACATTCGAAGCCGAGATTGATGAAATACTGCTTCGCTTCATCCGCAGGACCGAAGAAGATCTGACGTCCTTCATACAGAACGAGAGCCTTGTCGAAGAGATCGTACGCAGACTGGGGAGCCTGATAGATCGAAACAGCACATGTCTGACCAAAGAGCTCAGACTGTAAGCGCAGTGTTTTGCAGAACTCAATCGCGTTGGCGGAATCTAAACCGCGGGTTGAGTTATCCCAGCATTGGAAGGGTGCGTTGGAGAGTGTAGCCTCTGCGATGGTAACGCGCTTTCGCTCACCGCCTGAAACACCGCGGATGTAGTTATCGCCAACCTGCGTGTTGATGGTATGGCTGATGCCGTACATGGCCATGACGACATCGCGCATGTGGTCGCTGTACTGGTTGTGGTCGATGTTGGGCGGTAGGTTCTGGGGACATCTTGCGCGCGCGGCAAAGGTGAGTGTGTCGCCGACTGAAAGCATGGGGAAGTGCACGTCGACCTCAGCGGTGTAGATGGTCTCACCCTTGTGATGCTTGTGCATTTCCCTGGCGGGCACACCGTTGTAGTTGAAGTATGTGCCCTCGTCGATATAAATACCGTTTGTCTCGCCGGAAAGTGACTTGAGGAACGTAGAGCATCCTGAACCGGGGGGGCCGAGAACAACGAGCATTTCACCTGCGTTGACGACACCGTCGAAACCACGAAGGATATCGATGCGGCGCTTACCAGCGGTAGGGTTTACGAGGTTGCGCGCCATGTTTGGGAGACCGAGCCAGACGTTACCAACATCCTTTTGGTAATCTGTCTCAGCACCGTATCCAAAGACATTCATGTCCTGGAAGCAGATACCGCTCTGTCGGAACCCAGAGCCATGCTCGCCCATTGACTTGGCCATGGCCTTGGCCCACGCTCTGGCGTTGAAGTTCTCGCTGTGCGGGTTAAGGGGCGAGTCGGCATCCGCTGCGTTGAAGAGATCTGCGTGGCTGCCGTTGAAGTGCGCTGATGTGTTGGTGTACTGGCGTGCTAGGTCGCGCACGATGGAGTGCCGACGCTCCATCTCCTCGCTCTGCTCCTGCTCCATCTCATCGTCGCTGGAGCTCGTCTTGTCGTCCTTGGGAGCAGGGGGCTTCTCGTTCGGAGTGGTGTCCATGTCGACGATGGTGTCGTGGCTGCTGTGCTCTGAGCGTACCTCACCTGGAAGATGAGAAGCAGCCATACTAGCGAGACTGGAAAGTTTCGCCGTATAAGCTTATATCTGTGCCTGGTTAACTCTGTAAACTCTGAGCTAGCGGGTTATCAGGTTTGCATACAGTTTCTGGTTCGAATTAGGAGAATTATTAAAGTTTATATAAAGGAAGGGATATAACAAAGATAAAACGTAGTATAGAATAAGAAAAGGTGACTCCATAATGAGACTGTAGGCTTCCTCGCAGGGTCTTAATACCATTGTGACGGGGGTGCTCTCACGCCCGTCGCACCGAAGGGTGTTGTGGATCCGGGTCCTAGATACACGGATCCCGTCGACTCTCCGACCCCGATACCCACTCGGGTCCTGACAAGAGTCCGCTTCTACGAGTGCACCAGATTTGGGCAGACAGGCGTATGCAGCAAATACCCCAGTTCGTCCGCCTCGGACAGAATTTCGTTCCTATACCGAGATACAAACCATTTTTGGGAATACCTTCATCTATTATTCTCTGCATTTCGATTCGAACGGCTAGTGCGCAAATCGTATAAGCATAATGGCACCCGAACAACAGCGACCACCGAGAATTCTAGCTTGTGTGCTGTGCCAACAGCGCAAGAAGAAATGTGACAGAAAAAGTCCATGTTCTTTTTGCATCAAGGTAAGCTTACATACATGATACGCGTATAAGCAAAAGACTAATGGCAGTAGGCGAAAATAGAGTGTATTCCGAGTACACCTGCACCAAAGCGCACTCGTCGCAAGCCTACCAAGGAGTTACTTGCGAGATTGGAGAGGTGTGAAGAGCTGTTGAAGAGATGTACTTGTGTGCAGAAGAGTCTGATGTACGATGCGCTGGCTACAGGGACGGGGAGCGAGTCGAGTAGTCCTGCTGATAGCAATTCGAGTCCGCCGCCAGAGAGTGAGAAGACGTCTGTTTCGAGTCCTGATGAGAGGCATCAGGTTGCTTACCGTTAATTGTTTAATGGGTTTGGCGTTTTGGGCATTGGGCATTGGGTTATTGGGGAGTTCATGGCTTCATGAACTGGTATACCTTTGGAACGGTATAAGTGAAACTGGAGGATGGCGTTAAGGAAAACATCTCACATTGGCATATAGCTGTGAATCACTAATAATCTATCGCTCTCATTTCAAAATGAGCTCGTGTGTATGATGCGTGGTGTTGTATCGTACGGCAATAGGCCTCACTAAGAAAAGAGAGTTACACCAGACATGTCGTTGTGAAAAAGCTGGGGGATCAAGAGTCTTCGGTAAATTTCGAGCTCCACTCCTCTTGACACCCAGAGCCCCTAACCCAGAAGCAGTTTAGTGAGCATCACAGGGCAGGTGCTCTAATTGATCAATCGTTTGTTGATGCACCTCCCTGCCGGGCCCATCCAAGAACCCGTTGCCCCTAACCGATATGAAAGATATGATGCGATAATGCATCGCGTTAATGCTACGGACTGATTCTATCTATTTCGAGAATTTGCATAGAAAACTCATTTTCTCAAACTAAGACCCAGCAACTTGGTTCCAAGTATGATCTCACAGCCTCAAGATTTCGAGATTCGAAGATTCGCGTCTGTCCCCACATCTCATCGGAGTCCGTCTCGGACCCGTTACTCCACTTTTCCCGGGTCCGATTGGTTTTTTACGCATTACAGGTAAGGAAAATAAAGCTGGAATTTTCCAAAAAAAAAAAAAACGTGGCAATGCTGTGATTTAATCGCGCTCAGGGGAAAATATTCGTCATAGCGAAGAATGGAGAGATAACGTTAATTCCGAAACTGCCAATCGTGGTTGTGATGTGGTACACCTTTACAAAGACGAATACGAGGCTGAGGGCGTTGTTGTTGACTCGATCGCCGCTCCGCGTAGATTACGCACAGCTTGATTAGCAATCTTTTGAAACTCCGCAGAGGATCTTTGTTGTGTATTTGAGGGAGATTGAGGTTGTGGTCTGATGTTTAGGTTTGAGGCAAGGGGTGCTAGGATGGTGTTAGCTACCAGGCTATCAGCCAGGCAAAAACAAAACAACACGCGCTGGATACGATTTAGGCAGTTTATCAAATACCCACCCGATAGCTCAAGATCATATCATTATCTTATTATCTTCTCAGGTGCGAGTAGGTCTTACTACGTATGTAAGTCTAGGTATGTTCAAGGAGTAGATACTAGACGCCTCGGTACTCCCGAGGTATCTAGGCTTAAGCACCAGTTTCTCTGTCATCTTCATCTTGAGGCATTACAGGAACATGTTTCAATCTATTACTATCTCACTTGTGATATAAATAGGCTGATGAGACCGTTGACGTCCAAGTAAAGATAGCAAGAGGGGATATGCAATCTCACACCACGCTGAACTTATGAAGTTTAGTGTCATACAGTTATTGTGTGGCGTTACCTTAACTAGCCCACTCATCTCATCTGAAAGTGACTCGCATATAACTGCTATAGCTAGTTCTCGATATGTAAAGCTCATCCTAAACAATTCCTAACAGTGCTTCACATCAACTCTCTCCAAGTGGGGTCCACTGACCCTTCTCTACATCTTCTCGAATGCGCTTAGCATCTTCAGGAGAGGCCTCAGAAAAGTGATTTATATCATCCAACCATTTCTCTTCGTCCCTTGTACTAGGTCTACCAAACGCAGCATTGCGGTAAGGATAGCGACCAAATCGCGCGATGATAGGCCAGTGAGCGTCCAGGATCATGCACCACCAATAAGTCCAGGCCGCCATACTGATAGTACCGTCTTCATCTTTTGGCGGACTCTTGACAACCTCTCTTATAAAAATTAGATCATCTTTCAACGTCTTATTCCTTGTCTCCCGATGCGGGTCTCGTGTTTGGGTGTATTCTTCAACAGCTTGACGTAAATCGTTTGATAACTCCAATCCAATCTCTTGACTCCCTAGATCTTCGGCGTGGAGAAAAGGGGCTGCCCACATGACTTGCGTCGAAACCCAGAAGCTAAAACTACTAACGCCAACATCGTCTTTCCATCTCTGCCATGAATGCGGGCGTAGATGGTGAGGTAGCGCGTACCATTGTCCAGCAAGACGTCTAGCAAGAGGTCCAAAGTATGCAACTTGCCAACGAGCTTCGATGCTAGTAAAGAGGATTCTTGACGCTTGATCGAGAAGAAGTTGGAGACCGAAGCACTGTTGCGGGAATTCTGGGGAAGATGGTTCGGGGAGGAAGGACATAAGGTCGAGCTCTACAGGAGTTGGGAGGATTCCATTGTGGCCGAGGTGACTGAGTGCTATAAGTGCAGCTCGAGCCTTGCTTTCTTGGCATACTTTTTTGAAGTTTGCGCTGAAGGCGTCGGACTGGGCAATAGTGAAGTCAAGCTCTTCAGTTTTAGAATAAGCAAGATAGGCATCCGCGAGCTGCATTAGCAGCTTGGGGGTGATTAGAGACTTCAAGGAGCTTTGACCTTCCATCTTGAGATGATCTTTCCTGGAGGATGCTTGGTGATGACTTGAGTAAGACCATGTTTGTTCACCATTTGATATGAAGCGGGGGCTTACATGTCGTGCTGGAAAAGGAAGGTTACATTCAAAGTCAACGTTTAACGACATATCCGATAGTGCAAGAGCTTGCTTCATATATAGTAAAGAATATTTATATCGTTCATCTAGAGGGAACAAAGTCAAAAAAGAGATGCCTCGCTATTGCTCGCAATCGTTTTATAGGAACAGCCCGATGCGGGGGTCGAACCCGCAACCTTGAGATCGCGTACTCGTAAGAGTCTCACGCTCTACCGATTGAGCTAACCGGGCGTGGCTCTGATTGGTTGAGAGCAGTTGCTCAGATTTAGAAAGAAGACTATTACAATACAGAGTCGCGCAGTAATTCAGGCAACGGAGCAGTGTTTCTGTATCTTTGGATGTCTGTCATGGCTACACTCAGTTACAGCTACTTCTCAAGGTCTCTGTAAGTATATAATAAGGGACTACTATATATCAATGAAGATGATTTCCATCTCCTTGCCTACTGAATAGCGATAACACAATTGTCAAAGCATTGACTCAACCAAAAGGCCTTATTATACATATCTTGGACATTTAATATCTGTAAATTTCCACTCGATTTCCAATCAGTATGTTGAAACTATCTTATGCACACCTGTGCAGCAGTTTGATGAGAAATATCGGATTGTTAACATTAATATTAAACCCAAGAGCGCCTACCCTGTAGCGTAAGACAGCTCGAGACCGGAATGACCACCTCTCATCTTCACATCTCCCATTCACATTCCCGCTAGAGACATTTAAGCTCATATCACTGCAGGTCAGTCGATACAATCGATTGGTTGAGAAAGCGAATAAGTTCTCCGATCAGTGGTGAGCACCTCAAGCCACTATATTAAAGTGCGGTTCGTTTCCGTTCAATACTCGTCACTACCCGACAAAAATGGTTAGCGTCAATTCGTCGCATTCCCGAGTGAAATTTCCGTAGCGAGCCTCATTTGACATGTAACACAACCTTATCTCAAACTTTAGGCCCGGACCTTTTCACCTGCCCTGGCGAGGGTAGCGTCGAGTACCTGATCTTGACAGGTTCAAGCCGGCAATGGCCTTCACTGTTGAGATACTGTTGAGATCTCTTGAGGGCAGTTGGCTCCTTCAACGTTGAATCTACGTGCCACGAAGAAGATAGGTATCTTCATCAGCACTTGGAAGTTGAAAAGTCAGGGAGTCACGGCTAGACAATGACTTTGAATCAAGTATCCTTGGGTCCCTAGGAAGGTATTCAGTTGAGAAAGGTCACCTCCTACTATGCATGTCCAGCTTGAGCTTAAACAAGATCTGTGATTTCACTGATATGTGATTCCACATGATCTGGAATCAAAACAGTTCTCATTGGTGGTAGGCAAGATCAGATTACAGGGACAAGAATAAGGTTTCGATCAGGCATCACAAAGCGGATGGTGTACGGGGAATCTGACAGGGGAATTCCAACAAGAGCCAGGTACTTGGAGCCCAAGCCTCCATGCTTCATCACCAGATCATGTCATTGTCCTCAACAATCCTTTGTTTAAAAAGGGCAATTTACTTGTATATTTGTTGTATTATTGATGAATGTTACAATGACTTTATGCAAGATGATCCTGATATTTTCCCATAGCAACGAGTCTTGGCATACACCCTTCCAGGAGCTCATATTGCCAAGACTGAGACAAAAGGCTGATGCTGATCCGGGCCATTCGGATGCGAGGTGTGACCACCAAGAATGCTGAACACGTATGAGACTCAACCCTGGCCTAGGCTCGTGATTGACTACAAGATGATCTAGATTGTGTATCGGGCGAGGAGCATTTAGTCCGCCCTCGATTACTCCCGCGAAAAAACGTTGGCCCAGGTCGATATCTTCGGGAGCAGCCGAAAATCCGGGTCACAAACACGCTCTTGTACAGCAGCAATTAATCTGCAGGCCTGCCACATTAGTAGTCTCTACATAAGGTAAGGGCAATGCATGGCATGTCTCAAGAGATGATTTCAATTACATCACATAAGGACCATACCCTCCGAAAATGGACTCTTGTGTAACACAACCACATGAAACGCCGAGCAGCCATTAGTTATTTCCGGTCATATATCACAATCCCCAACGTCACGGCCTCGATCCTTATTGAGATCAGCCACAGATCGACTAGACGGACGCGGCCAAATCTCTCCGCGACTAGCCAAACAAAAACGTCCGCTGGCGCGACGGTGGAGCTTTGACTCATCCTTGTGTAACCTCATCTTAACAAGCTTGGAATGTGCTGGTGAATACAGTTATGTGCGCTGGGCGGCCGCCAGACTTCAGCTACACTTTGTAAAGCTGAGAGAGGTGAGTTTGGGGCTTTGGACTAGCAATTGACGTGTTAGATAAGCTTCTGTCAAAATCGTAGCTTGGTGGGCTAGGGAGCTGGCTTCCGTAGTGGAGTTTGTTAGTTTAACGTCAGGTGTCCAAGCTGTGTGAGACATCATATCCACCTGACAGCATCTGAATCAATCTCAAGTCTCGATTTTCATTGATCGGGTCTAGAAGGTATTATCACAATGCCTTGATCCGTGTGAGTTAAATGATACATTGTATTTGTTTAAATGATCTATGATCATGCCCAGAGTCAACTTGCTATATCCGTCTCTTTCATTGCCACTTACATAAGATCTGCACATCATCTGCATAATCTTCAACGTTGGTGGAAGTACGAGACGGGACCTTGCATACACGCCCAGGCACACAGGAACAAATCCCACTTCACAAGCCCTCACTGGCTGCATTGCTATTCACTCCACAGAAACAATAGGCAGTTGGTTCTGTCTTCAACAACAGCATTCCAACCACAACAGCCTGAACCAACAGGATTCTAAACCGGAGTGTCTCTTACACAATGCCTCTGCAGGAACGTGCTGGAAAACGGCATCGATCCGCTGCGGGTGTGCCAGCCCTGCATGAAGGCTTCCGCCTCAGCAATCCAAATCCAGCCTGACAATGCTCTTTGTATACGCATCAGATTTTCTGCATCATTATTACAAGCCCGAAAGCACAATCTGAATGCGGATATGGAGGACTGATCAGCAGTTTCATAATCCTCTGGGAGCTCTCACCCGCGCATGTTACTTCAAAGTAGGTAACTTACCTTACCTTGCGCGTATACCATTCTTATCTCTCATTTACTTTTAATAAATCGGCTTACAATGAGGCCTTTGTACCTGGTGCTCAGGCACCTAATCTTCGCCAGCCTGGCGCGTGCCCAGTTTGGGGTTCAGAATGATAAGTCAGTTCTCGGTATTAACAATGAGTTCTCAGGCGTTTGTTACACATATGTTTCGGTCTACCCAGTCCTTGCCGATCCCGATTATATCACCATCACAAAGCCCTACAGAGGCTCAGTAACAACGCAATACACTGTCCCTCCGCAGGGCGATGAACCTGGTATTGTTATTGTTGAACAGCCGGGCGCTTCATCGGCGCCGGAGAATGTAGTCATCCCTGCGACGGATGATAGGTCTTATGTTATTATTATTAGACCGCATTCAGGGCCGGATCCGATATCTGCACCTATTACGCAGGTTGTTCCGCCGAGAAGTGGACAGCCGGGACAAATTATTATTGAGACGCCGGAGACTCGGGTTGGTGATGCGACGCCGGGTGTGTTGCAGCCTCTTACGCTTGAGCCGAAGGAAGTGACTGGTTATGTGACGGTCCTTCGACCATTGACTGGAACATTGGCGTCGCTGCAACTAATTACTGTCTCACCGACTGGGACGAACCGTGGATCGGTTATTATTAATGTCCCGACATCAGCGCTCAATGGGGGAAGCCTCCAAGGTCTTACTCTCGAACCTGCACAGGATGGCGATTATGTCACAGTGATTGAACCAGCAGGCACAGCCTTCAGCGGAACTGTCCCAATTAGACTAACAGTACCACCGAGCAATGGAAACCCTGGTACTGTCATCATCCAAACACCTATACCGGGAACTCTGATGCCGTTGGCACTTGAGCCTCTAACCCCTAACACTTTGGGTGCCTTGGGGCTCGCTGGCCAAACGATCACTCTTCAACCTGCCGATGCAACCGGCTATGTGACCATCATCGAACCAGCCGAAGGAAGCGTTACACCGACAGCCCCTATCCGAACTACCATTCCACCGACTGGTACCAAGCCCGGAACTGTACTCATACAAACACCACCGGGCTGGAATGATGGGGGAGATGGTGCAGCTTCCCAACCTACACGAACTCGCCCACAAGGTTCGGTATCCTATACCACTATTACTCGTGGAGTGCCCATGGGGATGGGTGGCTCAGGAAGCGGATCTGATGGGGGCTCAAGTGGAGGATCAGGTTCTGGTGATGGGTCTGGTGGTGTTCAGGGCCAACCAGGTCAGGGCGGCGATGACGATTCAGGGCCGCGACAGACTCTCACCATTCCTCCTGAGGGTGGTAACCCCGGTACTGTCCTTGTTCTCACACCTGAAGACCGCAATAGCCCACAGACTGGCAACAACGGTGGCGACGATAATGGGGCCCAGGCTACTGGAGGATCCAGTGGCGGGAACCAAGGTGGTTCAGGTGCTGGCTCAGGTTCATCGAGCGGAGGAAATGGCCAGAGTGGAAGTGGAGGGAGCTCCAACAATGGGGGATCTGGAGGTGGTACCAACAGCGGTAGCGGTAGCTCTGGACAAGGAGGCAGCTCCAGCAATGGAGGCTCCTCTGGAAACGATGATGACCCCGTAAAAGGCGGTGTTCAGGGGTCCGGCTCTGGATCAGAAGGCGATGATGACGGTGCATCAGGAAACGGAGGATCTTCAGGCTCAAATAATGGCAATGGGTCTGGAAATGGCGGGTCATCGAGCTCTGGTGGATCTGATACCGGCGGAAGCAGTGGCTCGGGAGGAACCCAAGGCGGAGCTCAAGGTGGTTCCGACAGTGAGGGTGGCTCTGGAGGTAACGATGGACCAAAGTCAGGGGGTACTGAGTCTGAAGGCGATGGCTCAGAGGGCGGCTCGGATTCTGGCAATGGAAGCTCTGGTGGCTCGGGATCGACTTCTGGCGGCAAGGGTTCCGGCGGAGATGATGGCAATAACTCCGGATCAGGAGGAAGTAATGCTGGAGGGGATAGCGGTGCTTCAGGCCAGTCATCCTCATCGCGAAGAGGAAGTACTTCTCGTCGCTCAAGCACTCGACCACCAATTGTCAGAACATCACCCTCAACCTACGTCGTCACATCCAGCAGCACTGTCTTCACCATAACCGCCGATGTCGTCGAGACTCTCACTGCCGAACCTCAGAGAACCCGACGATCCAGCAGCACCCAGCGTCTTACTGGCGGAGTCGAAGGCCTAGGAGGCAGCGGCACTGCAGTCACCGACAGAACGACATTTAGACGTCCTTCAAACAGCCGATCTACAGGATCTGCGGCCGGTACTGCTGGCGAAGCTGCTTCTGGAGTTGAGTCTGACCCTCCACAAACTACAAAGGCTCCTGGAAGTCCTTCAAGTACCAGAAGAGCTGGTGCTTCATCAAGCTCGGGATACACTGGTACTGTTGATACGCGCGTTCGTCCTGGAGGCAGTGGCCTGAGCTCTTCGCGCACCAGGACATCGACCTCTGGACAAGCCTCTCGATCTTTAGGTGGAGAGACTACTATTGTCGATAGTGGTCCCGTCATAACAAATGATCCTGGCTCCGATGCAGAGGAAGCTACGTCATCTGGCGGAAATGCCGCCCAGAGCTCATCTACTCGCTCGGCCCAGAGGTCAAGTGCCTCTCAATCCACAAGTGCGCAAAGGCCTGTTGCAGCAACTTCTTCGTCAGGTACTCGTTTCACTGCGAGACCTGCTGTTATATCGACTAACGGTGGTAATGCTGAAGCTGGAAGAACATCGCAGGCTTCGCAGAGAAGCAGCAGGGCTACTAGCGCAGTATCGGGCTTTGTTGAAGGTGACCCTGAATCAACTGCGGCAGGGAACAATGGCGGTACAGTCTCGGGAGACAGTGAGGCAACATCACAAGGATCACGAGCTTCCAGTAGATCACAGTCAACCAGTGCTGTTAGCGCCGGCTCTTCTTCAGCTGCAGCAAGATCTAGTGCTTCGTCCACCTCGCGTGAGGGCTCATCTGCGTCTGATGCAGCCAGAGGATCCAGCGCAGGTACTTCAACAGCATCTCAGGGCGCAGGCCAGGGCTCAAGAACCTCCATAACAAGCGAGGAGTTCAATTTCGAGACACTTATTGGCACTCAGAGCGTTCCGGAGTCGGAGCGCGTGGAACAGCCTGGTGATACCTCGTCGACTCGCTCAGCGACAAGCAGTGGTGCTGGATTGACAGGCCAGCCAGCTGGAGGAGTTGGAGGTTCAGCCACTGCTGAGCCAAACTCACAAAGCACCGGTGTTGATGTAGATGATGACGCGACGACATCTAGTGACGAGTCGCTCGCTGGAGGACCTACTGATGGTGCTACGTCTGGAAGTGCAGATGAGAGCTCTGTGACCGACGACTCTGATGCTGAGACCTCCGCTTCTGGAGATCCTAACTCGGAGACGGCATCCGATGATGCTCGTACTGCCTCAGGCGACCCTGGTACAATTCTCATTGAGACGCCTACGTCAGGTTCAGGCTCTGGTCCTGCTAATGTCACTGTCTACACTGGCGTCTCTGCCACTGTCGCCACTACTCGTTTCATTCCCGGTACAGCTTCAGATGAACCTGGAACGTTCATTGTCGAAACGCCAATCGGCAGTCCAATTTATGTGACAGTCTACAGTGGCGGACCAGGTACAGCTGTTACAACGATCTATCTGACACCAAGTGAATCTGGCGATTCTACGACTATGATCATCCAGACTCCCACTCAAGGATCTGAGGGTTCTGCTACAGATGATAGTGACGTGTCTGAGACTGGAACTATTACAGAAGCTTCAGGCGCATCGGCGGCTCTCCGTGGGAACGTCACCATCTATACCCAAGCTCCTGGCACAGCTGGCGGAACATTCTACTTCCCACCTGATGACCCAGAAGAGTCGGGTACTGTTATCATTGAGACACTGTCCGGTGATGCTGAAGAGACTGGCGCTGAGTCTACTGCAGGTCCAGTGGCCATAACTGCTGGTGGCCGGGTCAATACCACGATCTTCAGCGGCGGTCCAGTAACTGCGCCTAGAACATTATACATATCGGCGACAGTTTCTGGGGAACCGGATATCGTCCTTGTCGAAACGCCAACCACTGGTCCAGAAGCAGAGGCTTCAGAGTCAGAGACTGGCCAGCGATACACCACCGTCTTTGGTGGAGGGCCTGGAACAGCGACGAGAACTCTCACCATTCCTGCTACAGTATCTGGTGAGCTGGATACTATTCTGATCGAGACACCGACTGGTGGTGCTCCCGAGGTCACAATCACTAGAGGGGGGCCTGTCTCAGTCGCCACGACTGTTACTATCCCTGGTGCGCCTGGCGAACCCGACACTGTTCTCGTTGAGATTCCAACTGAATCTGGCGATGCTGGGCCCTCAGAGAGTGGTAGTGGCCCAGGCGAAGTGACTTCCACGCGCGGCGGACCAGTTACAGCTGCGACGACGATCACAATTCCTGGTCAATTAGGCCAGCCTGACACTGTTATTATTGAAACGCCGACTCGTGCGGCTGATGTCACAATCATAAGGGGGGGACTTGTTTCAATCGCTACGACTGTAACAATCCCTGGAGCACCTGGTGAGCCAGACACGGTTCTTGTGGAAATACCAATTGAGTCTGCCGATCTATCAGTAACTGGAAGTGGTGCAGGTGAAATAACTTCCACTCGTGGTGGGCCAGTCACAGCCGCAACTACGATTACCATCCCAGGTATATCAGGTCAGCCAGATACTGTTATTGTTGAAACACCCACTACTCCCTCTGATGGTGAGGTATCTACGACGACTGGAGACGATCCAATTGAAGTGACATCTACTCGGGGAGGACCGGTAACAGCTGCAACTACTATTACTATTCCTGGCGAGTCAGGACAGCCAGACACCGTTATTATTGAAACTCCTACAAGATCTTCAGATGATGAAACAACAGAAACTGGAAGCAGCCCAGAAGAGGTAACTTCAACAAGAGGAGGACCTGTAACAGCAGCGACGACCATCACCATCCCTGGTGGGCCGGGCGAGCCAGATACCGTCGTAGTTGAGACTCCAACGAGGTCAAATGAACCTCCCGTAACTGGCGGTGTTCAAGCAATTACTTCAACAAGAGCTGGATCCGTGACAGCAGCAACTACTATAACCATCCCTGGCGAGTCCGGTCAACCTGACACGGTTATCATCGAGACACCTCGACCGTCTGATGAGGATGAACCATCTACAACTGAAGATACTCAAGAAGAAGTTACCATTACTCGCGGCGGACCTGTAACTGCTGCCACTACCGTTACTATCCCTGGAGTATCTGGTGGTCCGGATACAGTGTTCATTGAGGTACCTACCACGTCGAATGACCCTTCAGTGACTGGCGGATTACAAGCGATTACTTCTACACGAGGAGGATTTGTGACAGCTGCTACAACTGTTACCATCCCCGGGGAGCCAGGTCAGCCGGATACCGTTATAGTTGAAACACCTCTATCTTCTGGTGAGGTTGTACCATCTGCCACTGGGGGACAAGGAGATGTGACTATCACTCGCGGCGGATCTGTAACTGCTGCCACGACAGTGACTATCCCCGGAGTGTCTGGTGGTCCAGACACCGTGTTTGTGGAAACGCCAACTCAATCTTCCGAAGAGCCTACAAGAACTGCTGTTCAGGAAGTCACAATTACTCGGGGTGGTCCTGTTACAGCCCCTACCACAGTTACCCTCCCTGGAGTATCCGGTGGTCCTGATACTGTTTACATCGAGGTTCCAACAGAGTCTGTTGGAACCGGAGCTGTTCAGCAGACTACTATTACGCGTGGTGGCCCTGTAACAGCTGCCACAACTTACACCATTCTCGGAGCGGCGGGAGAGCCAGATACTGTTTATATCGAGACACCTACCGAGTCCGCTAGTGAGGTTAGTGAAACACCAGTAACTGGAGCCGTTCAAGAAGTCACTATTACAAGAGGCGGTCCGGTCACAGCAGCAACCACAGTCACAATCCCTGGTGTTTCTGGGGGACCAGACACGGTCTATATCGAGATACCCACGGAACCTGCAGCTGCAGGCACGGAGCCGCCAGTGAGTGGAGCTGTTCAGGAAGTCACCATCACGCGTGGAGGTCCCGTCACGGCGGCAACAACAATTACTATTCCCGGAGCTTCTGGAGAGCCAGATACTGTTCTGGTTGAAGTTCCTATTGAGTCTGCTGGGCGATCCTCAGAAACAGGCTCTGTACGTGAGATCACTATTACAAGAGGTGGCCCAGTTACAGCAACGACAACGCTTACGATTCCTGGCGAGTCTGGTGGACCTGAAACTGTACTGGTTGAGATTCCAACAAGCTCTTCTAACGATAACAATGAGCCATCTATAACTGGTTCGGCTCCGGAAGTCACTATTACACGAGGCGGACCAGTTACAGCCGCCACAACGATCACTATTCCAGGCTTATCAGGGGAGCCAGATACTGTACTGGTTGAGATTCCAACTAGCTCTTCTGGCGATAGCGAGGAGACTCTCATAACTGGCTCAGTTAGGGAGGTCACTATCACACGGGGAGGGCCAGTCACGGCTGCAACAACACTCACGATCCCGGGTGAGTCCGGAGGACCAGATACCGTGTTGGTCGAGATCCCGACTAGTTCATCTAATGAAGGCGGTTCTACCCAAAGAGAAGTTACAAGTACTCGTGGCGGCCCTGTTACAGCTGCTACAACCATCACTATACCCGGTGTATCAGGCGGACCAGATACTGTCATCATCGAAACCCCCACTGAGTCTGCCATTGAGCCATCCGAGACTGATGACCGTCAAGAGGTCACCATTACCCAAGGTGGCCCTGTTACAGCCGCGACAACGATTACTATTCCAGGCTTATCAGGAGAACCAGACACTGTCATCGTCGAGATACCTACTGGTGCTTTTGAGACTCCCAACAACGCTCTCGCCAACGTCACTGTCTACAGTGGCGGCCCCGTCTCAGTCACTCGTACCATCTATCTCCCGCCCACCGCATCTAGCGAGGCTGGTACTATCGTTATAGAAACACCTGATGGTTCTAGTCCCACTGAAACTGCCCGTGGACCTGGCAATGTCACTATATACACTGGTGTCGCTGGTACAGCTACGAGAACCGTCTTCATACCTGCTACAGCTTCAGGAGCACCAGGCACGGCACTTATCGAAACGCCAACGGTTTCTGAGGAGACGACAGGAAGTATTGTTACAACAGCGGCAGGACCTCTTACTACTTCTGAGGGCAGACCGAACACTACAATCTACGGCGGTGGATCTGGTTCATCGACAAGGACGGTGTACTTCCCACCAGCTTCTGACGACCCCGATGGCCTTGGGACCGTTGTCATCGAGACACCAACCTCTGGTTCGGAAGAGGAAGATCCCGAATCAGCAACCAGCGCCATTGCTACTGGAGGACCAGCTAACATCACACGAATTGTTGGAGGTCCTGGCTCGATCACCGCCACTATCTACATCCCACCAACTGCCTCTGGTGAGCCCGGTGTTGTGGTCATTGAGACGCCAACTTCAGGCCCCGAGGATGAGACAACGGCCAGCGAGACTGCTGCAAACACAGCTTTCCCGGTAGGCAGGCAAAACGTCACTCTCTACAGCGGTGGTCCAGGTTCGGTTGTAACAACTATCTACTACCCACCTGCATCAAGCGATCTTGATGAGCCTGGTACGGTGGTGATCCAGACCCCAACGGCTGGTCCTGTAGAGGAGGCATCGACTTCTGGAAGTGAAGCCGCTACTCCAATCCAGAACATTACTCGCATCGTGGGAGGACCTGCTTCTGTCACAACGACGATCTACATCCCTCCCACTGCCTCTGGAGAACCTGGAGTTGTCATTATTCAGACGCCTACAGCCATTCCTGAGGAGGGAGAGACACTTTCAGCATCTACCACTGAAACAGCCAGTGATGGGGAAACAACTGGTATCCCCAATGTCACTCGCTACGTCGGCGGTCCAGCTTCTATCATGACAACATACACAATACCCCCTGCGTCCTCTGGAGACCCAGGAACAGTGGTCATTCAAACCCCTTCTGCCAGCCCTGGCGAGAGCGCTTCAGCAACTGAGATTCCAGACGTCACTAGATACATCGGTGGCCCAGCTTCAGTCACTACGACTTATACTCTCCCTCCAGGTTCACCTGGAGAGCCAGGTACCGTCGTTATTCAAACCCCAACTGCCAGTCCTCAAGAAAGCGCTACGTCTTCCCCGCCAGCTGAAATCCCCAATGTCACTCGTTACGTCGGCGGGCCAGCGTCAGTTACGACGACCTATACCCTCCCTCCAGCTTCTTCTGGAGAGCCGGGCACGGTGGTCATTCAGACTCCCTCAGCTGGCCCCACTGCAGAAACGACACTTAGCCAGGCTATCACAAGTGTTGAGTCTCCAAGCGCAATTCAGAACGTCACTCGCTTCGTTGGAGGCCCAGCATCAGTTACTACAACAATCTACATTCCCCCCGCTGCATCCGGTGAACTCGGCACAGTACTCATCCAAACCCCAAGCTCTGCTCCACAGGAGACTTCATCAACACCAGCCACTAGCACAACACGACCACCAACGGTCCCACAGAACACAACTATCTTCGGCGGCGGACCAGGCTCAATCACAAGAACCGTCTATATCCCCCCTGCCTCAGTAGGCGAGCCAGGAACAGTCCTCATCGAGACTCCAACAGCAAGTCCCGTAGCTTCTACCAGTCCTATCACTGGCGCACCAGCAGGCATTCCAACAACTTCTACCCCCATCGTCGCTGGTACCAATGTCACTATCTTTAGAGCTGCTCCTCCCACAGCTACAGCTGAACGGACTTTGTATGATCCACCGACCGCGGCTGGAGAGCCTGGTACTGTCATTATCGAGACAATGGTTGTGTCTTCGACTTCTGGTACAACTGCGCCGTTGAGTATGGTGACTCCTGCTGTCACAACTTTAAGTGGCTCTCCAACTAGTTCTTCTGCTATCGCTTCGCCGTCATCTACATCAAGTAGTGCGGCGGCTGCAGCAAGTTCATCAAGCAGTGTTGCAGCAGCAGCGGCTTCGAGTTCTTCCTCTGTTACAGCAGCTGCCAGTTCCTCCAGTAGCGCTACGGCCGCAGCAGCTTCGTTAACCTCATCAAGCAGTACTGCTGCAGCTGCTATGTCAAGTTCTTCCAGCGCAGCCGCAGTATCTACATCAAGTTCCTCAGCTGCAGTTATCGCGGCCAGTTCCTCTAGCGCAGCAGCAGCAGCAGCCTCAAGCTCATCAAGTGCCGCCGCCGCCGCTACATCTTCAACATCAAGCGCAGCTCCAGCACCAGTCACCACAAGGTCAACCAGCGCTGCGCCCCCAGTAATCACCACATCCAGCAGCGCAGCCGTCCCCGTAATCGCCACCTCCTCCACCAGCTCCTCCAGCACAAGCATGATGCCCCAACTCTCATTCGGCCCAACATTCGACTGCGATGGCTTCGGCTACACCGTCCAAAGTCTCCTCGCCAACACCCTCACACGCGTCAATCTCGTCACCGGTCAACGAACAGACATCAGAACGGGTATTGGTCCAGCCGGTCCTATCAACGGTATCGGCTTCAATAGGTTCGATAACTACATCTACGGCTTCTCCCAACTGCCACTTCTCAATGGCCTTGCTTGTGCCGTTCTGGGATGTAAGCAATCAAAGCTCATCCGTATTGCTAAGGATGGGCGATGGGAGAGTCTTGATCTTGTGATTGGTTCGAATGCTATTAGTATGGGCGATGTAGATGATCAAGGAAGGTTCTGGGTATCGGAAGGGGGCGGTAGATGGTGGTGCATTGATTTGAGACCGACCAGTAGCACTTTCGGCAAGCTTCTGAACTCCGGCACGTCTGCCACCAATCTCCTTTCCGGAGTGGGTGACTGGGCATATGTCCCCGGTGGCGGAAACTATCTCTACGCCTTACAAGCATCCGTCATCGAGAACGGCCTCCTCAGAACAAACATCGTCCGCTGGTCTTTGACCACACAAAAGTGGGAGAATTACCAAGCGTACCCAGGCATCCTCAACACAGCGCTCAACCTCGTCTGGGGTGCTGTAATGGCAGCGCCAGGCGGAACGCTCTTCGCTCAAGAGTCTGTCCTCGGACAGACGTGGAAGTTCACACTCGGATTCGGAGCCCCGGATCCGACGCCCATACCAGGCGGTGCTATTCTCAACTTGCTAGGATCGGATGGAGCCAGGTGTGCAAGTGCTGCAGTTTCATGATTTGAAAGCGGCAAGATTGTAATGACGCCGCGGGTTGGACGCATATACTGCTATTTTTCCTTTGTACTAGTCAAGCAGACTGCTTCTTTTTTTTCTATGTACTAGTTAGCGATCACTACATGATCAACTATTTCTTTTTCTCCAACTCATGTCGCCTTTGCTGGTGCAGATGCCAGCGTCGTAGAGCATACACAGCCCTGTCCTCCGATGCTAGTCACAGGAGGCGCGTTGCAGGTAGCTTCGGTAGTCCAAGAAGCGTACGTAGATGTAGGCTCCTCAGAAATGACATCAGCCCTGACAAGAACAGGAATGATCTGACCGGTCGCAAGTCGGAAAGGTCGATGGTTGAGGGCCTGAAGAAGCTTGGTGATCTCACCAGAGTGGCTGCTAATGCTGATCCAGACAGCATTGTCGCTTGTGAAGATATCGTCGAGAACTTCCTTGCTTCGCGCCAACTGGTGTTCATCTGTCTCACCCTCCTTTCCAGACCAAAGCTTATCCTTATCAGAGAAACCCTTCTCAAACTTGATTTTTTTAGCGAGAGTCTTGATAAAGCTCTTGCTACGACGATGATCGCATGTTCGGATGCTGATGCCCTCACGGAGAAGTTCCTTGACCATTGGGACGAAAGGCTTATCCTTGGGGAGCTTGAGGCTCTGGAAAGTCTCCACGGCTGTCTCGACGCAGCGGGCTAGAGGGGAGGTGTAGTAAGAGTCAAAGTATGGCATGCCTTCGTTCTCAAAGCGGGTCTTGTAGTAGGCGTTTGCCTTGTGAGCTTGAGCTTCACCTGCGGGTGTGAGGAGAGCATCCTCCCAGGTAGCTGTTCCGTTGCCAGACTGAAGACCCCAGTAGCACTGCAAATGTCAGTTCGTGCATTGAGAATCTTGGGCGAGGCGACTTACGTTCCAGGCGGGAGTGCCGTAAAAGGACTCAGCGGCGTTGTGCCAGCCCTCACCATGACGTCCCATGACAAGGACCTTGTAGCGCGTCTTGTCGCGGCTGGCATTGCGGTTCAGGTGCTTGACATACTGCTCAAAGCGCTCCCACTGAGTCTTGTAGCCCTTTCGGGGGTTCTTGGGATCAGTGGGATAAGTGCGGTTCAAGAGACCAAAGTTCCATTGAGCCTGTCCCTCATTAGTTCAAGTTTTTCAGATGTAAAGCGAGAGAGGTCTCACATAGTCAAAGCCAGTAGGATTCGTGGCCAGATCATCCTGCATAAAGAACCCTTCAACAGAAGTATACTTGATCTCCTTATTCTTAGCAAAATGCCAATCCGCAAGAGCACACGGCACCAGGGCCAAAAACGCAGAGACGGTAGTGAACTTCATGATGCTCAGTCAACGATGAAGCCCATAATCGACCCGGGCAAAGCAAGCATCTTTATACCTCACGACATCGGACACTTGACCGATTTGACATGTTCAATCAGGGTATCATCGCGCGATTACCCCAAGCTCAAGAAGCTGTTGGAGATGCATCTATTCCCGTCCGGGGAATCTTGGCCCGAGCAGGTCCACGATTAAGGCAAAGATCGGAGCCAATGGATCGGGAACGTGCCGAGCAAAGTGGAGTCTTTTGACGTGAAGAGATGAAATGAGATCCGGGTTCTCGGTCACAGAATGAGATAGTCTCAATAAAGAAATGGAGTAACTGACATGAATTGAGAGAGTCAGTGATAAGAGAGTGACGATGGTGTTTTTGTCAAAAACGTGGTGCTGCTAGCGTGGCTGTTTGTTTGCATTGCATGTGACAGGGGTACTTCAAGACCCTTAAAAGGAACAAACAACATCTCTCGTATTCAATCCTTCGCTCATTCAATTATCATTCCTGCTTGCGTATGCATTTTACGGTAATAACATGGGTCAAAGACCACGCATTTAATTTATTCGTATTTATAGACTGTTACCTAAGCTTCGTTCACCTTCGTTAAATTGGTAACGTATAAACGGACCAATCAAACCGCTCGTAAAATTGTTAGGCCCAACCAACGCTCACCCATTAACTTCCAGACTCTCGAGTTACGTTGAACCATCACCTTAACTGAGAGCTCCTTAATCTTAAAAAAAAAAGCATTCTTCATCACCGCTTCTTCTTTTTGGTCTTTCATTTTTTAAACTTGGACTTTTCAACATCACTCACTCACATCGCTATTGTCGTATCTTCTCGCCACCATGACTTCGACTGACCCCACTAACCCCTCGATTGACGATGAGCTTCATCTTGAGGGTGAGCCTGCTCCTGAGCTCTACGAGGGGCGCATTTGGGTCGACGGCTGCTTTGACTTCTTCCACCACGGTATTTCACCCTCTATATCTCATCGCGATCATTTACTAACGATACCAGGCCACGCTGGCGCTATCGTGCAGGCCCGTCAATTAGGCGATGAGCTCTACGCTGGTGTTCACTCAGACGAGGCCATCCTCGCCAACAAGGGCCCTACAGTCATGAACCTCGCAGAACGGTAACACCAGCTCACTCCCACCTGTCACGCGACACATTTACTGACATTTCCAGACTCGCTGCTACTGACGCTTGTCGCTGGGTCACCCGTTCAGTCGCCCACGCGCCCTACGTCACTTCTCTCCCCTACATCTCCCACTACGGCTGCAAATACGTCGTGCACGGCGACGACATCACCTCGGACAGCGATGGTAACGACTGCTACCGATTCGTCAAGGAGGCTGGTCGCTTCAAGGTGGTTAAGCGCTCACCTGGAATTTCGACCACCGACCTCGTCGGTCGCATGCTTCTCTGCACAAAGACGCACTTCATCAAGTCGCTCGAGAAGAAACTTGCCGGCGAAGAGGGCCACGGCACACCGGAGGAGCGCATCGCCGAGGGCCAGCAGATGCTGGAACGCATGAAGCTGTATGCGACAGATGCGTCGGGCAAGGCACCCGGCGCAGAGGTGTTCTTCTGGAAGGCGTCGCAGGTCGCCAAGGCGGAGGAGGGTGAGGAGGAAAGGGGCAGTTTCCGCCAGCTTATTGAGGGACCCGGACCTAAGCCCGGCCAGCGCGTTGTGTACGTTGATGGAGGTTATGATCTCTTCTCCAGCGGACACATCGAATTCCTGCGCCAAGTCCTCCTCGAGGAAGAAAAGCTCGCTCGTGAGCAGGAGTGGTATTCCGAGCAAAACGTGAACGAGCGTCTTGGCAAGGGTGAGGATTATCCCCCCGCGTACGTCGTAGTAGGCGTGCACGAGGACGAAGTCATCAATCAATGGAAGGGAATCAACTACCCCATCATGAACACTTTCGAGCGCGGTCTCTGCGTTCTCCAATGCAAGGTAAACCCTTCCCCCCAATACCACCCCAGCCCTGAAAACCACTAACCTCTTTGAACCACAGTACATCAACGCTGTCATCTTCGGCGCACCCTTCTCTCCCACAAAGACGTACCTCGACACCCTACCGCGCGGCACCCCAGACGCCGTGTACCACGGCCCAACCTCCTTCATGCCCCTGACATACGACCCGTACACGGCACCCAAGGCGATGGGGATCTACCGCGAGATCGGCGCGCACACGTTCGCGCACGTCAACGCGGGCGAGATCGTGCAGCGCATCATGAAGTCGAGGGACATGTACGAGGCGCGCCAGCGGGCAAAGGGCGAGAAGGCGAGTGTTGAGGCTGCGGCGCGCGAGAGGGAGATTCTAGAGGAGGAGCAGCGCAGGAAGGAGGCTGAAAGGGCGTAGGGCGTGGTGTGAAAGAGGGGGCAAGGTCCGGTAATGTGCGGTAGAACAAAGGTCCTTTCAACAGGGAATCCTAAGAGACGGATGGAGTAAAAAAGTATAGTATAGAGTAATCATGATACCTAACCTTTGAAATGACGAGTTTTTGCAGGTCTACTGTGATGATACCCTTGGTCATCGTACCTTTTGACACTAACATCTCGATACAATGACACGAAATCCACGCCACGAAACATAGGACCGATCATCGACAAGAGAGACATAATGTGACCTCAGCAAAACTCATCATTATCCCTTCCAATTGGGGGGATGACCTCACAGCACCGAGGGGCGGTAACAATGGCAATTGACGGCTAGCCACGGTGCCATGCACAATTCCGCCCTGCCAAGAACAAGAAAACCTCCATCAAGGTCTTGTCTGTCAGAATTGACAAGCAGGGATTTTACGGCACATGACTATCTACTGCATAAACCTCTGATATGATGAAGGATACGTGACGCTGGTTCAATTGGACGGATGGTTGTTGTTGTTATCTTTGGTGATAGGTAATTTGTTTAAGCCGCGCGCCCTGGCAGTGGAGTACTTAAGTATTTTGACAGTTCCGCACTGAGATGAGAAGAGAAGAGCCGATGGGGCCGGGTATTTTTGGTGGAAATATGCAGTTCGTGTAAGCGATCTCGATAAGCACCGAGTTTCTACTCTACAGAAGAGTTATGTGTTCTTTACTCAGAAATTCCAGCTGCACCATTTGATCAAGAATACCAATTCAAAGCTAATCATCCAATTCTTCATCAATGGCGTTAAATACACGCCTACTATACAAGTAATACTTCGTTATCTTCCAGAAGCCCATCATCAGTGGAACCCTCTTCCAAACTGACGGCTCCCCCTCCACCACTTTTTACAAAAAGGCTGTGTGGAGCATAACCTCACCACCTACCAAACCCAGTCTAGCTCTATCCTTCTATCGATATCGCAGTGGGCAGAAAAAAAAGAAACAGCAAAAAAAAAAACACCATCGCCGGAGCCGAGCCACCGCGCGGGCAGAGGCGGTCTATCCGGGCCCGCGAGCGGCGGGAAGTTCTTTTCTGCCCCAGCTCGTGACTCTCCCGAACGACATAAAGGTGGAGACCGGATAGCGGAGGGGGGAAACAGTCATACACGGGGTAGAGTAGTTAGGTAGTCTGGCGTTTCCGTGTGTGTATATAAAGTTTTATCTCTGCTCTTCCTTCTTTGTTTGCTTTCTTAGAACCTCTCATTATAAACTCCGATCTCGCTCTCTCCTCCGTTCCATTGACTCAAAAGAAGACCTTCGCTCAGAAACAACATTGTCTCCAACTTCAACTCAATACACTCGCAACCATGGCTCCCTCCGCCGTAGAGACCCAGGACGTCAACCTCACAGCCGCTGCAATCCACAAGAAAGATCTCGCCCAGCCCACCGTCAACGGCACCCCCCAGGTCCAGGCTCCCCTCGACGCTTCAAAGCTCACCTACACATACACACAATCCCCCCGCTCCGTCCCCGATGAAGCAACCGCCCACTCCGGCGACGAGACCATCGCCACGGACCACATGGTCCTCGCCTCGTGGAAGGTCTCTACCGGCTGGTCCGCCCCAGAGCTCAAGCCCTACGGCCCCCTGAGCCTCATGCCCACTGCCTCCGTCCTGCACTACGCTACAGAGTGCTTCGAGGGTCTCAAGGTCTTCCGTGGTTACGATGGCAAGCTCCGTGTCTTCCGCCCTGATCGCAACGCTGCGCGTCTCCGCATGTCGGCCAGCCGCATCTCGCTTCCTGTCTTTGAGCCCGAGGAGGTAGAGAAGCTCATCATCGCTCTTCTGTCCGTCGACGGCACAAAGTGGCTTCCTGCCGATCGCGCCGGCAGCTTCCTGTACATCCGCCCAACCATCATCGGCACTGCTCCTCAGCTCGGTGTCTCTGCCCCCAAGGAAGCCCTCCTCTACATCATCGTGACATACATGCCCCGCATGGACGCTCCCCCCGGCGGAATGCGTCTTCACACGTCCCCCGACGACATGGTGCGCGCCTGGGTCGGTGGCTTCGGGTACGCCAAGGTCGGCGCCAATTACGGCCCTTCTCTGCTCGCCACGGCTGATGCGCGAACCCGTGGTTTCCACCAGATTCTCTGGCTGTACGGCGCTCAGGGCGAGTGTACCGAGGCTGGAGCCAGCAACTTCTTTGTCGTCTGGAAGCGAAAGGACGGCAAGAAGGAGATCATTACTGCTCCTCTTGACGATAAGCTTATCCTTGACGGCGTCACCCGCCGAAGCACTCTTGAGCTGGCTCGCCAGCGTCTAGGTGATGAGTATGAGATTACCGAGCGAAAGTACACCATCGCTGAGGTCGTTGAGGCCGATGCTGAGGGTCGTCTGATTGAGTCTTTCGCTGCTGGTACTGCCGTAAGTTTGCCAATTGATTCCATGTCGAAAACCCCGCTAACAAGATCAGTACTTCATCTGCCCCGTTTCCCAGATCCACCACCGTGGACAAGACATCAACATCCCCATGGGCGCTGAGGGTGAGGCTGGCGAGGTCACTAGCAAGATCAAGGGCTGGCTGGGTGACATCATGTACGGTCGTACAGAGCACCCCTGGGGCGTTGTCATCCCCGAGAAGAAGCAGTAAACTGCCGATTCAAAAGTGCATTTCGGAGAGGTGCATCAAAAGTTGTTTCATGGTACGGCGTTGGCGGTGTTTGCTGATACACAAAAGAGACCAGGTTGGTCATGGGCACATGCATTGACAAAGATGGAAATGACAGGTGCAGATAGTTAATGAGATACGAAATAGACGACCAGTTGAAAGTCAGCTCTACTACTGTACATGTACATGACGAATCGGACATGAGACTGCTGACGCCAAAATAACCCACACATTGCTTCTAGTACATCGCTCGATCAATCGTCGAAAAGATCCTGCATCATCTTCAAAGTCTCGCTCTGGATCTCAGCCTTGAACTCCTGGATTTATGCGTCAGTATTATTCCGTCGATTATAGCACACCAACGTACCTTGTCAACCTCGTCCAACAGTCGACACTTATCATCCACGATGGCCTCCGCCTGTTTCTTCAAGTCCTCAGCAAACTTTAAAAGCTCCTCGTCGACACCATTTGGGCCACCTTGTTCGGCGAGCTCTTTCTTCAATTCCTTCCAAGCCTGTTCCTCGGTCGCAGAGCACTCATCCTATTCGACACTGAGACGAAGAACCTCTTCTCTGGCGGCAGCAATTTCTTCCTGAAGCTTCTTCAAATGAACGGCAATAGTTGCTCGAGGGTGGTCTTCATGGTCATTGTGATGACAAAGCGTGGCCGATAGCGGGTAGGCAATGTTCGCGTAGAGCTGTTTGGATTGCGACAAGGTCTCGCCGGCTTTCTCCGCGAAACTGGCTGTCCTGGCCTGCACATCCGTGTGCGCTTCTACGAGGTGCTCAATCGCAGAGCTGTGAAGGGACATGCCCATTCGAGCATACGATTCTGTGTATCGTCAGAAATGTAGCCGACGTGTTGCTCGTGAACTAACCTCGGAGCTGTGAAGCCTGATCATTCTTCTCTGGTGCCTGGACGACCTTGCTTCCGGGCTTTGAGGTTTCCAAAGATTTCCCAAGAGAGGCGTGAACCTGCTGGTAGATATTCTGGTAGGGAATTGGCCTGATGGAGGAACTTGTCGCTGGAGTATCGTCGTCACGCAGGCGATCTCGCAGGGTCGAAGGCCAACCATCTTCCTCTAGACTGGAGGTGGAGTTGGGGAAATAACGAAATGCGGATGCCATGATTTGATCTAGGTCTTGGGAATAAATGTGCTTTCGAGAAAGGGAAAATATTTGTATGGGGGAGGAGAGTGCTTGCTGTTGACTCCGATTCAGCAGTAGCAGTTGTCGATGTAAATGAGGAAGGAACGCGCGCCCGCCTGCACAGCTCCTTCGACATTCACCAACCACATCCGCATTGTGCAGAACCTGCAAACCCCAATATCAATCTTCCAGTTTTTTATTCAGAATCATTTTGATCATTGATATGCTTGCTTTTGCCTCAGAAATGCCCCTTCCTTTGTGGTATCATTTCCATCATCAAATTACCCTACGGCTCTGTCATGCATTTTGTCCCCAGTCCTCCAACGCCATATCGCGACCAGCAAACCTCCATCAGACTCGCTGAAAATAACTCAGTCCAGCCGTTTTCCTTTTTGTGCTCATATCTTTCACTAAGAATTGATGTTCTCATCAATCGCCGCGACAATATCCTCCCATGAAACCATGGCCCCATTTCCAACATCACCACAAGCTAAATTCTTCGATATCGGCCTCAACACCTCAAACCAACCATTCTCCCCACCCCATTCCTTCTCCAAAACTCGCAGCTGTCTCGCAGTGATGGGATGGTTCCACATACAAGTGTTCATCGCAGGCGCGACAAGGATCTTCTTCTTAACTCCGTCCACAGTGCCTGTAACGTCCCAAGCTCGAACCACAGACGTCAAGAGATTATCGCATAGGCCGTTGACAATCTTCGCCATAGTGTTCGCGCTCAAAGGTGAAATGACCAAAATATCCGCCCAGCGTCGCAGCTCAATATGTAAAATCGGTGCATTGCGCTTCCACGGCTGTGCCCACTCATGCGCATCTGTGTAAACAGCATCGACATTCGGAAGACGAGAGACTTGATCAACAGTGGGTTGTTCAAAACTCTGACCAGAGAGGAATTCCGACGCTGATTGAGTGAGGATGAGACGAATGGAGATGTTAGGTTGTATTTTGAGACCATTTATAATCTGGACGAGCTTGATTGTCGCGACAGAGCCAGAGGCAGCGAGGAGGATATGGCGCTTGCCATCGCCTCTGGCCTGTTCAAGAGCTTCAGTTGAATTGCGCATGTGGTGGTGGTCGTGATGGGCGTCGTGCCCGTGTTGAATTCTGTGAAGCATTGAGGTGAGTGAGATGCGACGATGTTTGTCAGCAAGATTTAATAGGGTTTGATGCAGGTAGGTGGAGTGATGTCAACTTTATGGCCTCAGCTTCAAATGTGAGTTTGTAAGAGTGAAATAAGTTTAGTAAATAATTGACTGACTTTTCAATTGAGAGTCAATGGCTTTGAGAATCTCTGGGAATTGGCAGCAGGCGGCAGCTTTATCATTAATTGACCCCGCCATCAGCCCCGCGTCATATGATGAACTCTGAAGATATCACGAGCCGAATCGCAAGAGCTGAAAGCGTCTTTGCAGTGCCGACTGAACCTAAGAATGGACTGATTATAATAGCGTGTTTACAGAATGTTCTGGCCAGCGTTGGGCATTGGTTAGAGTGTTTGTAATTGACAGTCCTGTATTCTACAGTGGGTGAAGGTGCCTAGGTCACCTGCAGGCAACAACGGAAGCAATCGACATGACACCGTCGGGCCCTACCGAAAGAGAGGGACGTTTGATTGACAGCAAAGAACAAAACGCATCAGATTGTGGTCTTAGAATAATTGTCATTCTAACATCACTGTAGGCAAACATGGCATTGTTGATAAGCCTCAATCGCCTCTTCGCTGATTGGTCCTTTCGCCACTGATATCCGGGGATCGGCATCGGAACATCCTTGACATCACTAATCCCATCCAAAACTTCCGCCATCTCCAAACACTCCAAAATCCAACTGCGCATCTCCATTCTCTCACCACCATATCCTCTCTCACAGCCTTCACAATGTTTGCGCGAACAGTAGCTTCAGTACGTCCTACCCTTTCCAACCACTTCCATTCCCAACTAACCCTTCTAGTCCCTCCGACAAGCCGCCCGGCCTGTCGCCGTCCGCTCAACAGCTCCTCTCTTCCGCACACCAATCTCCCCCCTCACACCCTTCCAAGCCCGTCTGCTCTCCGACCAAACCCGCTCCGCAATCGACAAGGCCGTATCCTCCGCGCCCGTCGTGCTCTTCATGAAGGGAACCCCCGAGACACCGCAGTGCGGCTTTTCGCGCGCCGCCATCCAGATCCTCGGCCTGCAGGGCGTCAACCCCGATAAATTCGCCGCCTTCAACGTCCTCGAAGATCCCGAGCTGCGTGAGGGTATCAAGGAGTACTCCGACTGGCCTACGATTCCTCAGCTCTACGTCGCGAGGGAGTTTATTGGTGGAACGGATATTCTGGTCTCGATGCATCAGAATGGCGATTTGGCGAAGCTGTTTGATGAGAAGAAGGTTATTCTTGAGGGGGAGCCTGAGCAGAAGGAATAGAAAGGCGATTGCGATCGGTCGAGTGTATAACATGGTGTAATAGTGAAGAGATACCTCTGTATGACAGATACGAATGTACAGCAAAAGAACGGAATAGAACGGTGTGGCCACTTGCATCTCGACTTCTGGTGCTGTGAAGAATCGGAGCTTTGTTGGTATTTCCCTGGCGGCATTGTCGTACATCCTATTGCTGCCAATCGCTCCAGCTACTCTGACAAGAATGGCAATTTGAAGTGCGCGCCTGTTTATCTTCTACGAGCAGAATACGATGAAGAGCTGCCAAGGGTCGCAATGACGGAGCAGTCCAAGATAGCAGCCATGGCTTCTCAGGTTCCCCGTCACGAATGACGGAAACGGGTTCATTGTAATGAGCTTCTTGGGGGTATTGTTGTGTCTTCCTCGATCGGAGAACGAAGACTCTTCTGCACTTCTTGCCCTGGTTGTAGGAGCAGTTTGTTAATGATGTCGCATTGGAGGGCGTCCGGCCAGCCGTCTCAGTGCGTTCGCTTTTGGTTTGTCTCAGTTTATCCATAGGTCTATATTCCGAAATCAATGGTCTATGTCTATAAAGTCTATATCTTCCAATTCATGTCGATCAAAACACAGCGCCACGCGATTCAGCCATCCGCTTCAACCAAGCTTCCATCATCACAGTTTTCGAATGCCCCTTACACACAGGCACAAAAGCAATCTCAATCACAGCATCTCTCTGTACCTCAGCATAATCACGTTTCATCGCATCAACTATCTGCTCAAACCTAGCCATTACCTTTCGAAACCCCCTCCCATCGGCCTTTGGTATGTATTCAGGATAAAGAACCCCAGGGGCTTGGAGGCAGATCAACAGCCATTCGAATTCGTGCTGCCAGCATAACTCCTGGAATAATCGCTCGCGGGAGAACGAGAATATCTCTTCGCTGTATGGTAGGGTGAAGTTCAGCCCTGGGAGGGCGTCGTAGCTGAAGGTTACATTGATGTTGGGCTGGGGGTCGGGTGAAGCAGATCGTGGGATTTGGCAGGTTGGGCTGGGCGATTTCTCTCTGTACTCGAGTGATTCGCGTGCGTGCATGGGTTCGTATTCCTTGTTGGCACTTTGTTGAGACTGCTGCGATGCATTGTTTGTGTTCATGGACGATGGAGGTGGCGCGTTAGCATCTCTCTCCCGATATTCATCTGTTTCCAATCCTGTCTGAGTGCCTGTAGAAACAAGAGGCACTGACGGAATGTCTCCACGTTCAGTTTGGTCAATGCCAATGTTTGATTGTCGATACAGTCTTGTATGCCCGATGTCACCTCGTGCATCGTGCATTCGACTCACACGTCTTGGCTGCGCAATAGGACCATGGCGCAACAGGTCATCAACTGCCTATGAAGGGATCAGTGACGCGTATTTATTACTAGCGCTTACCCTACCTCTTCAGCCAACTCATCTGGGCTGTATGTTCTGCTATACGAGATCGGAAGTGTATTGTTCTGCGCTGGCTCTGGCGCCGAACCTTGACTAGACTCGCTGGTTTGTGACGGGGGAGGAGGATCGATACCTTCTTCACTTGTCCTAAGTAATCCAATCAGTATTCAGTACTCATTATCTAATAACAGGACCCTCACGTAGAATCACTTGGAGTCGTGTGATACGGAGGCGATGGTGTATCGCTCCCGTCGCGGAGTCTATCGATTCGATCCATCGGCCGTTTCGAGCGGATTTTCTTCCCATGACCAGTGGCGTTCCGTCTCACAAAGAACCATATAACATTCTTATAAATACTATCACAATCATATTAGCGCGATCCAAAGTCTGGGAGGGACAAGCTACTCGTATTGATCTCTACCATTTCCTGCCGAAAACTGACTAGACCAGTATAAAGAGCCATTCCTTCTAACACATAGATATCCATGTGCCATTTCTATGAGCGCTTCCTGATGGGCTCGCTCTTCCCATTTGTAAAGGTCTTTTCCTGGAATACCCAACCTGCTGGTGAAAGTGGAGCGATATTGGTTGAGGCTGGTCTCGTAGCCGATTGCATGTCTCTGCCTCTTTCTTGGCCTGAGATCCCGGCGAATATCGATCAAGGTGCTTCTAGAATGAGAAATGTTGAATATAGTGAAATACCGGCCGAGGGAACAGCCGCAGCGCTCCAACTCCATGGCTGACGGTTGCTACTTCGAAAGCGAGCAATCACAGCCTTTGGGGCAAAGTAACCGCAGACGACAGTGGCTAATTAACTACTATATGTAATACAGATCATGCAATAGATTTCTCCTTTCCTTCGAATGCATTCTCTTAGTTTCTACACCATCCTTTCCCAGGTCACAGAATAGGAGTATGTGAGAATGAGTAAGGCTGATTCTGCCTGACGATCCTAGTCAGTGCAAACCCCCTTGCATAAAGTACACTTTATTCTGTTTATTAGAATTGCTTCTTTCTACTTTTTGAAACAGCTAAGGATATGTGCCGCACGCATGCGTATAATTCTCGGACTCGCCGTTATGCAGGAAGTGCATCTCAATACGCGCTCGACTAAGTCTAACGCGAGTAACTTACGCGTCAGGACTTTGAAATGAGTCCCATCTTTCTTCTGAAGTCTCTTATTGGTTGATGGGATTATCAAGTGGTTCATGTGCGTATTACATAGGGGTTGGACTTGCAGCTGTGCCCTTTTGTGTCGGCATCGATGTGGTAGGGTTGCAGTACTAAAGTCAGCCAGTTCACAGGAAAGAAATTGGAGACAACAGCTCAATCAATAGCTACAGCAGAGCTTGAGAGTATTCTCTTTCGATTACTGCGATGCTGTGTGGCTGCCTGGACTTTTTGACCATGATCTGATAAGTGTTGTTGGTTCCCCCATGCTACATGCGAGGCATCCAATCACGAGGTCAATATCAGCACTGCTTCGCCTCACAAGGCATTCTCACAACCATTTCGTCACGCAATAATTTCCAGTCTCCTATAGACCTAGCATGTAATTTGCGAAAGAAGTTTAGTTCCTGGCGATTTACTCAACTCGTTGGGGTGCCTTCTTACTCATAAATTGCAATATACCTTAGACAAATAGTTTTGTCAATCGTATACTTGTTCCCATGTCATACTTGCATCGAGGGGATAATTTCTATTGGCCGGAACTATATCTAAGGCATGCTAGGAGTCATCGCTCTGAATACAGGACACGGGGTAATCCTAAAAAAATATGAATGTTTTTTGTTTCACGACTCTTGTCGATCGTGCAGTAAAATAAGAAATCTTCCATGACCACAAAACCTTTCAGCGATCCTGAATTGAGGAGACCGAGGACTCCCTCACAATGATCTCTATCCCTGTGTTGACAGGCCGTGCCCTCAAGTAAGGATGCTTCATGTCGTGAATTTTGGCAATAAGCCAGGATCCAGCATGGACTACTACATGGCTAGCCCTCATCCCTTGGGCGTCAAGGCCACCGCCCATCATGAGAGAGCTTACTATCTAACCTGTAAAATCAGTGAGCAAGTGGACAGAGAAGTTGCCGCAAGGAACGAGCAGTTGATAAGTGGCTACTGGGAGAAGCTTCTTCCGATACGGCGACCTCCCTTCCTTCACTTCGGCACAAAGCTTTTCCACAAAGGACTCAAGATCAGGAGAGCCTATCTAGTAGTAGCAAGAGTTTCATTATTGTGGAAGTGAGTGTGATTGCAAGAAGAAATTATGGGAAACCATGGCTATTTATGTCAACGTACGACAAGTAATTATTTCGATGCTTGACGCTAAAGCGACGACTCACTAAGATTTAGAAGAAGGAACTGAGTATAGCTTGGAGAGAGAATTCAGAGTACGTACAGAACTTCAAGTATGTCCGCCTTTCATACTTTTCTTTTTGCTACTTGTGACTCGAGAGACTGAAGAGATTCGCAAAGCTAGCCACACTCCCACCAGAAAGCCTCTTTGACGAGCGTAAAGACTCGACACATTGACTTTTGAACGCATATATAAAAAACATGATGCTTCATGTCTATCAGGGATGTTACTTGATGCAGTTACGTTTCATCGCAACAAATATGGCTCCGTTGACTGTCAGCTCGTGGAGTGAAGCCTGAGACGGACAAACGTCATGATAATGGGGGGTTGTTTGCGCCCCAAATCGCGAGATTTAGTTACAATATTATGATATGTTAACTGTAGTTATAAAGGGACATTTGAACGATATATCCTGAAGCTGAAGGTAGTGCAGAAGCTCTCTTGAAGGCATGTGACTGCGATGCAGAATGACATAAGGCGTTCCCAAAGGATAAATCGATTACCATCAAGCAGAGCGAAGTAGAGACCCTTTACGATATAAATGTTCAGCTTGATGAAGGGAACTATAGTTGTAAAGTAGTGTTCAGAACATACTCGTGAGAGGTGGCAAGGTTGCAAGGGCGGTGGTTCAGTCATACCCACACTTAGATGTGCATCTCTCGAGGACTTGACTTTTTAGGCGGTTTCAAGATCTTCTTTCTATTACTACACATTAATAACTCGCGAATACAGTGTAGGATCAAAGTTCCAGAGACTGCTGACTGTGATTCACAATGCGGCTGTTCCAACGCAGTCATCCAATCACAAGATGCTCTTACGTGCTTCGCCTCAGAAGGCATTCTGACATCCATTGCCATTTAAATATCGCAATGGAGGCCCGCGATATCTTGAATAAACATTCAACAGCCTTAGAAGTTCAAGCATCAAAGCTAATTAAATACATCTATGCCATCACGGTTGTCTAACATTCCCATGGATGAAGAAGTAGAGTCAACATCTACAACCGCATCGATTGAGCCTCCAGGGCACGACATCTTCTGCACGCCCGAAAACAGCGAATTCCTCTCACAAGTTGAGTATAAAGATCTCAACCCAAGCGCCAGAGAAATCCGCCTTCTCAAAATCTTGCCCAACTCGGGATCACGCTTCATCGAGTGCGAACTGCTACCCAGCGTGAGACTCGCTGACGTGCATAAGCAATATCTTGCACTGTCATACTGCGCAGGTGATGTGCGCAACACGAAACCTATTCTCGTCAATGGAGCGAGATGCAATGTCTTTGCCAACCTGCACCACGCCTTAAACACAGTTCGCTACTATTGGAAGACGCATACGTATCATCGAGATTTGTTCCTATGGGTGGATCAGATATGTATTAACCAGGCTAATCTGGCAGAGAGATCTCACCAAGTTGGGTTCATGAGAGCCATTTATGAGAGTGCGAAGGAGACTCTCATTTGCTTGTCTGTTGCCGATACAATAGGAGACGGTATGAGATGGCTTGTAGAACTGGAACAAATCCTTGTTAATCGGCTCATAATCGGGGATACAGTTCCCTCAGAGTTCCGACTAACACCATCCCATCCTTTTGTACTAACGCATCAGTTTCGGACTGAGTTGCAAGGACGTCTGGAGGACGATGAATTTGCCGATGGCTGGATCAAGTTCTGCGATGTCTTGAACAGCCCATGGTGGGGAAGGGCATGGGTCTTTCAAGAGTTTATGGTGTCTTATCGAGCGACTTTCCTACACGGACTGCACTCGATGGCCTACCCGGATATGCTAAGACTGATTTGCGATGTTTGCCTAGCAACGTTGGAGATACTCTTCGAACGACACAGGACTCGCGGGACGCGCGTCAGGAAGAAGCTCAAGCGTGCCCAAGCTACCCGAGCAAAGATTGCACACTCAATTACCAAAGTTCTCAGTGTCCTCCTAGCTAAAAAGGAATGGTTTCAGAGCTTCGATCTGAAGAGGCTTTTGGTCTACACGCAGAACTGCCAGTCTTCTGATGAACGGGATCGAATCTACTCTATGATTGGTCTCGCGCATCCTGGCTATGCATTAACACCGGACTATTCCTCTCAGAACAAGATTGAAAACCTTCTCGTGCAGACCACGAAACGTATAATAACTTTTGAGGATAGTCTGGATGTCCTGTCCTATCTAAGTCGCGGTGATCCCTCGTCTTCTGGCCAGGGAGAGTTGCTACCCTCATGGGTTGTTGATTGGACTAAAGTTCAAAACACCCTCGAGCCCATGCTCTACAGGACAAATATGGACTGGGATGGCAGCAAGTTCGTCGCTCACTACATCAAATCAGGGTGCGCTGACGCTTCATTCGTGCAAGTCCCACATCCAGTTTACTCTGAATTGGGTACTACGGCGTTGCAAGTGTGGGCGGTGTTCCTCGACTCTAAACTCATGATTGGCCGTCACGAGATCTTTGCCGGTAAGAATGGTTTCTTATTCAGGGCTAGATTTCCAGTACAACATGATGATGAACTATGGGTCCTCTGCGGCTCATCGGAGCCTTTTCTGTTGAGGAGATGTTCGGGAGGATATAGGATCGTCGGGCCTGTGCTTTGCCTTACTTTTACAATACAGCCTCCTATGCGGGAGTTTGCAAATTTGAGCAAGTACACTGACGAATCTGGAGATCTTGACCCTTTCAAGATGGAAAGGAAACGGATTACAATCTTTTAGATGCAGACTCAGATGGGTAATGACTTCTGTATTGTAGCATAGCAATGGGGTTTCTTGTTTTTGGAAGCTAGAGCTATTTACTGAGGATATGCTGCACCATCAGCTCTAGGATCACTACCAGCAGACCAAACCGGCGTTCCATCCGGATCAACAGTATATCTGATAATCTGTCCCCGCCCAAACATAGCCCTCTTCCACCCCTTAAGCACAACAACATTATGCCCCAGCTTCTTCAATTCCTCGACAGTCTTTTCAGAAATACCCTCTTCCACATGAACTGTCCAGTCCAAAACGTTGCCCTCGTCTGGCATACCGGCGCCAATGCAGATTCGCGGTGCATCAAGAGCCTGTTGAGGATTCAGACCGAAGAGAACTTGGTTAAGTAGAACTTGGATCGTTCCTTGGGGTTGATTGAATCCGCCCATTACACCAAACGTAGAGTGTAGAGATCCATCGCTGATATTCGTAGCCATGCCGGGAATGATCGTGTGATAAGGTCGTTTTCTCGGCTCAAGCTTATTAGGATGTTTCTCATCCAGCGAAAAGTTCGCTCCGCGGTTCTGAAGTGTGAAGCCACAGCCCTTGGGAATGATTGCCGTTCCGAAACCAGCATAGTTGGAGTTGATGAACGAAGCAGCGTTGCCAGCCGAGTCAGTAACTGTGAAGTAAACTGTATCGCTACTTTGAAGAGCAGGGGATACGAAATCAGGGTTTCCAGGCTGCACGCCGTCGTGGGCTTTTGACGCAGAGAAGATCTTGGCGCGTTCGGCGAGGTATAAGGGTGAGATCATGCCCGCGGTGGGAACTTTGGTGGTGTCTGGGTCGGTGACATACCAGCTTGCATCTGTGAAGCCAAGACGCAGCGCTTCGATAATAGCATGCAGGTAGGCCGTTGAGTTATGATCCTCTGGTGTAAATCTTGGAATCTTTCCCTGTTTCTCGAGTTGTTCGATTATACCCAGCGCCATGAGAGCGACGATCCCCTGGCCGTTGGGGGGATGTTCCCAAAGCTCAACACCGCCATTGGGGTCTTTGTCTGTGAGGCCTTGGCCGCGGAATTTAACGGAGATGGGTTCCGTGTTTTGAGTACCGGTTTCAAGATGATGCTTCAAGTCGTCTAGTTCGAGATATCCTCCGAGGTCTTGCACGACCTTTACGATCTCCTCTGCGATGCGACCGGTGTAAAAACCCTTCTTACCATCCTTCGCCAAAGCTCTGAATGTTTGAGCGAGAGTGGGATTCTTGAATACCTCACCTGGACGGGGTGCTCTCACGCCATCTTGCGCGGAGGCGTCTTTCTTGAGCATCTCTGCAAAATTCGGCGAAGCATCACGGAGAAGCTTCTCTTGAGCTTGCCACTACTCCAAGTCAGTCCAAGCCAAACCCCACATTAAGAACAATACTTACAGAATGAGAAGCGATTTCAGTAAGAGGGAATCCATTCTCAGCTAGTTTGATCGCTGGTTCGAGGATCTGGCTCAAGCTAACTTTTCCACTGCCAAATCGCTCAACGGTATCGACCCAACCGGCTGCTGCTCCAGGAACAGTAGCGGCGTGAACGTGATGAGTTGGGATTTCGCCGACTTTGCCGTCGGGAATGTTGAGGCTCTTGCGGATGTTCTCGATGGTCTGCTTTGAGCCTGAGCGGCCGGAGCCGTTGAGACTTTTGACTTGCTTTGTGGCGGCGTCGAAGTAGAGGAGGAACATGTCGCCACCGATACCGGTGGACACAGGCTCTGTGACGTTCAAGCCAGCGGCTACGATTGATCAGTATTTGTTCAGATTACCATGTTGTTGATGCGTGGTTGACGTACCAACTGCCACAGCTGCATCCTGTTGATTGTAAGTCACTGACCCATGTGCATAGAGAACGTCGACTTACAGCTGCATTACCACCGGCTCTCAAAATCTCAAGACCACAATTCGCAGCATGAGGTTGAGGCGCCGCAACAATACCCTCCGTGCTATGAACAACACTCCTCCTTGAAGGAAAGCCAGTGAAGCCAGCCGAAGTCGGCTCGTAAATCGATGAAGTAGGCAGTGGCATGGTTATGATTCACTGAATGGCAAACAACAATGGACAATTAGAAGTGAAAGTTGAAGGAGAAGAGAAGCTATTTACATAATATTTATGATGTAAACACGACCTCGGGTCACGCCCGACGTTGCACTTGGAGACGTACGTGGGGGAGGGGTTCTTCTCAATGGCGGGGTAAATTTGGAGGGGCGAGGGGATAATGTCGTGATAATGCCTCTCGCCGATCTTCGGGTGTGCATGTCCGGGGTTTGATCGTTGGAGGGCGCTTTTGCATTATTCACGACAGATTTCGGGGTAATTGTAGTGTTTTGAAAGTGAATAGAGGGTGCATGGCTGGTAGTTGACATGACGCCTAAATAATAAGCTTAACAACGCCATATTCTCAGCAACCAATGAACTAGATACCATATGTCGCTTATAAGAAATGACTGCCTGTTGAATTGACTGATGAGTGCAAGGTAAATGTTTCCGCTAAACCGACTTGGCAGTTACGGGTAATACTCAGTTCTCCCCATCTCAACACCCGCCTTCACTTCGCAATCTTCATCCCCAACCTCTGAAGATATGAGTAAATCGATCCCTTGGGCACCTTCTCAAGGCTACTCATCCATCTCGCCGCAAAACTCCCTACAAACCATTAGCTTTCACTCTCACCACAATCACAAGTAGTGTGACTTACCAACTCTCGGTCCAACCTCATCGAACCCCAACGCTCTCAGCACCCAAACAAGCTCAAAATCCACCAAAACACCAATAGCGATAATCGTACCAGCTGCGATCAAACCAGCGTAAACTGGATGCTCTTTCGCAAACTCCCAAGCGGTGTTTGTAGCTCTCTTTACAGCTTCGGCCATGGGCTTGGCGAGCTCTGCCCCATCTTTTAAGAGGTTCTCGATCTTGCGCTCGATGGCTTCGGCGAGGCTTGACGTCCAGCCTGTGGTGGAAACTACCTGTTCAAGACGGCGGTGAAGTTCGGCCTGGGTGCCGGTGTGGTTTTGTAGGATTGAGACGAATTGGGAGGCTGCATCGTCGGCGTAAAGGACAGGTTGGGTGGTGATGAGCTTTGAGCGCGTGTTGATCTCGTTGACCTGAAGAGACGGTTGAGTTGTGGCGTTTTGGCCGGTGAGACAAGAGAGGATGGAGGTAAGTGGATTCATTTTGATGAATGTACTCGTTGCGGATGGTGTTGATGAAAGGACGAGATGATGCTGATGAGTTTGGTTGGACGAGGCTCTGTTTTATTCTGATGACATGATGAACGGCCTCCTGCATATTTGCGACCACTCACAACATTCTCACATTTACTCACCTGCATAAATCACAGACAATATGTAACCACTGTTAGGCGCCGTTGCCTAACTTCATCGCCCGCGCCTTAATGTTGGCCCCAAGTTGAGGCCATGAGAGAGCCAACATTACACAACTTGGCCGGATCGTTGGCCGCAAGGCATATAACACCCTGCAAATGACCTCCGATTCCCTCTTAATAGATATCATTCAGATGCAGTCAGGTGATCTTGCAAGCCAGCGCTTACTATGGACGAGTTCATTTGAACCTTCTACAAAATTGCCTCTGTCAAATGATATGCAGAAACTGCTGGCACAAACAAGCTGCGCCTGCCGTCGCTTGTATTCGGAGTAACTCTTCCGCTACCCCGCGAAACTGAGGAATTCTAATGGCCTCCGAACTCTTCGCACTCGACAGCATCGAGTAATTCCATCGCGTGCTGCCGAGACACTTCGGACACTCCCATCTGGTCCCCTACTTGGCACAACACAACACCAAACTTCCCCCACGTGTAACAAGGCTCTCTGTCTCATTAGCAATCCACCCATCATCCTCAATCCAAAGCTCCGATCCAGATCCCCTAATCGGACTAGAGATCCCCGCGTGGTCCTCAACATTCCAGACCCTCAAGGCCCAGGAACGTAACTCCCACCTCGCTCATCGTGGCGGATCGGAAAAAGGCCAACTTTATCGGGGACTCATTGAAATAATACAAATAATCTAGTATATAACCTCCAGGAACTGTCGCAATGGGTAAAGCAACGTAAACATGGCTTTCGATCGGTGATTTAATTGTCATTGTCCCCGCGCCACATACATAGTTTGGTATGTAAACTATTCACATTCCTGAGCTCTTAGGCATTTGATAGTCTGTGGCTAGACTCTTGCGGCCAAGACGAAAGAAGGTACCGTGGTTTATCGGACAAGCCTCATCCAGGTCCCGGCCCTGATCAGCGTTCCTGCATTGGTGATTAACTTTTCTCAAAGGATGATCAATTATTGCCAAGATCTCACTACATCGTGCCTATGACTGACGTATAAGTACTGGTTGATATCTTGCAAGGTTGTGGTTTGATCACTCCAACTCAAACACACTCGCTCTATTCCCTATCTCTTATATCATTTTTAAAACTTCAAATCCATTAAATCTTCAAAATGAAGCCTGTTCTTGCTCTCACAGTCTGCCTCAGCGGCATCATGGGCGCTGAAGCCTGGGTCTTGCCTCCTGGCGGTGCACCTAAGGCTGGCTATGCTCTTCGTCCAGAGGATAAGACCGGTAACAAGAATGCCGCCGACACGAAGATCAAGTTCTCACCCGCTGGTTCCTCTTCTTCCGGTACAAAGTCAAACGCTGTCGCTGGCTTCATCGACCCCAAGACCGGCGGTACATCGCGTCGTGGCCTTGATAGGCGCGGTGACGATGGTGACGACGATAGTTCTGATGACGGTGTTGAAGGTGACCCTGAGGTCACCGCCTTCAATCACCCAGCCACCAAGATTGGCACCCTCCAGAAGGGAGAAACCTCTGGCAGCGATGATGATGATGAGGATGAGACAAAGTACTTCAAGACCAACAACAAGAAGCAAAACGGCAAGAACAAGGATGATGACGACAAAACCAAGACCAAGAAACCAGACAGCACCAAAACAAAATCCAGCGATGACGCCAAAAAGACAAAATCTAGACACTCTGGTGACGACGACGAGAAAAAGACCACCAAGACTAAGAAGGAGAACAGCACCAAGACAAAGTCTAGCGATGATGTGGAAAAGACTAGCAAGTCGAAGCACTCCGGAGAAGATGATGCTAAGAAGACGACCAAGACTAAGAAGCAGAGTCCTACAAAGACGAAGAGTAGTGATGATGCGACCAAGACGCCTAAGGTGAAGGATAATAAGAAGAAGGGCTCCAAGGATGACAAGAAGGTTGATGACAAGAAGAAATCCAAGAGCACATAACCAACTGTCACTATGTATCACCATTGTCTTACAACCATGTATCTTATCTAGACTTTTATTTATCGGAATCATACACGCGGCGTTCAGGAAAGGTAGCTGTTAATCATCATTCAGCCTCTATCTTGAATTGCATTTGTATTATAACAAAAAAATGTCTTCTTCCCCAGACGTGACAGTGTTCTAAATGTGCTTGCCTTCCTCTTCTCCGCAACTGGTATAGCATGCGTGCAGTTCGGGTACAGATATGTGCTTTGCTTGGACTTGGCGCGTCCCTTGTTCTGTGGAGTGTTGAACTTGTTTCTCTATGGTGGATATCGGAGCGACAAATGCGCCGTGGTTGTAGTGGCTTAGATGGGGATTCCCTGGTATTCGTCATATCCGAGAGCGAGGTTCATGTTCTCTGCGAGGTTTGTTAGAATAGGGGTTTGGTTCTGGGTGAAAGACTTACGGAGGCACTGTGTGGCGGCACCCTTGTGGAGGTTGTCGATGGTGGCGCATCTTTGACAAGTTAGCGGACATATCAAATCCGGGATCGAGATACTTACACGACGACACGCTTGCCGGTGCTGTCAACAGCAAAGCCGCCAATCTCAACGTGGTGCTTGTCCTGGATGGCCTTGACGACACTTTACGACGTTAGTTCATGCGATAAACGCAGGGCTTGGGAGTACATACGGAGCCTCTCCAACAACCTTGACGAGCTTCTCGCCGGCGTATCGGTCCTGGTAGATCTGACGGATATCACGAGATGTCATCTCCTTGTTCAGGGGAATGTTGACAGTCAGGTGAATACCGCGGAACCAAGAGGCGCTGGATTTGTCAGTCTTCAGTGACGCAGTGAGTGAGGTAGCAGGCTTACACATGGGGCATGAAAGCAGCGGATGTACCGAGGTGGTGGCTGATCTCTCGCTCGTGGATGTGGCCAGTGAGGGAGTCTTTACAGGTCAGCTTTCGCTCTCCTCACGTCTTCATTTTCTGCACTTACAGGGCAATAAGTTGTCCTTGAGGTTGTTGGTGTCGTTCTTGGGAGAAGGCTTGGTACCTGTTCCACTGTTAGTCTTCTGAGTCCCGATTCTTGCATCCTGCTGCGCGCAAGACGTGGCGTCCGCATGAGTTGTGACATACCAGCTCCGCTGTAACCACTGACACCGAAAATGCTAGGGATACCACCGAGGTGCTCGACAATAGGAGCCAAAGCAAGCTGAGAGCCAGTAGCATAGCAGCCAGGGTTGGAGATTCTTGTGGCTGTGGCAAGCTTGCTTCTGGGCTGAAGCTCGCACAGACCATACTTCCATGTCTTTTGGTCCTCGTCGAAACGGTAATCGGCCGAGAGATCAACAATCAAGCTCTTGCTGCTGCCCAGAGCCTCAACGAAGGGCTGGCAGACAGCGTTGGGGAGCGCCAGAATCCAGGCATCGACCTTGCCATCCTTATCCAGTTGAGCAACCTCCTCAGGAGACAGACTCTCATAGATGATCTTGCGCTTGCTGTAGCCCTTCAACTCCTGACCCTGAAGTTCGCGGGAGGAAACATGTCGGAGATCCATCATGGGGTGCTGGTTCAGAAGATCGATAAGAGCCTGACCAGTGTATCCACGAGCTCCAATGAGGCCAATTCTCGAGGGAGAGTCGTTGGAGGCATTCTTCATTCCCAGAGGAGGGTTAGGGTTGGTCTGGACAGCGTAAGACAAACGGCCGGTGGAAGAGAGGCATCGAGCCTGTGCGACAGTGAAGCTTCGGCCGAGGGAGATCTTGGGCATGGGCGCAACGAGGGCGGCGGCTCGGGGGGGAACGCGGCGGGCGCTGGTGCGCAGGGCGGAAGAGGTAGCTGACAGCATGATTCCGATGGGGATCGAGCCCAATTGACCTCTGTAGGGAGCAGTTGAGGTGGTGATGAAGGGATTGTTGGTGGGCGGGCAAGGCTCAGATGCGACAAAATAATCCTTGATCGAATTGACGTTGGTGTGGGGTTTGTCGTTTTGTGTGGCTATTCGCGGCCGAAGTCGGTCGCTGGGGAACTTGCTGACTCATCGGATTTGAGCATGATCAACATGTACCGATGGCGAGACTGCAAGAGAGAGGAGTTGATATGCTCAATTATGCAGGACCATATGAAGGGAGTTTGGCTTCATATTGAACCTGATGAGGATTCACCTTTGACCCTTAACGTCACATTGACTGACTGTTGCCGTTGGATATCGCACCAGCGACTTCCACATAAAAGCCAAATGATGGCTTCAGCGGCGCCCGTGAGGTAAATGCCAACTAACAATTTCCAGTGATGGATGGAGGAGTTTGAGATTTGGAACCATCTCAATCTCGTATGTTGAGGCAAGAGGAGGTTGGAAGTGACGAAAGGTTTCACAAATGCACTCATGATGACATCGTTTGACCAAGTCCAGTGCAGGTACATGGTAAATGAAGAAAGGAAGGATGTTTGGTGGTAAAATTGCCATGGCCAATGTTAAGTTTTGGGCGCTTACTGTGGAACATTCTTGAGTGAAAGACGCTCATCAATGCACTGAATGGCGTAATGACTGTCCTCAATCCTGTGCTTAACTTGGAAACAAGTCACCAACAAACGACGCGAGGTGCCGACACAAACAACACTCGTCGGATCAATAGCAATTGTTTCAGCTCCTTCCATTCTGTCCAGGCCAAGGAAAAAAACACAACCTTGACAGACTAGGTGATTGCCTCAGCCTCTACATCCGCATCTAACCCACGCCATTCTGGCCCGCGCATTCTAGGCAAAGAAAGCTCAGATAATCCCCGCTTCTACAATGTTGCCGTCTTTGCCTCCCGTCATGATGAAGAGATCGTAGCGTTAGGTTCGTTGAAAAATGTCCACCTGATTGTCGGATCCACAGGCGATGATGAGGCCTCTTGGATATTGGGCACTTGATGATCCCTCGAAATGAACTGGAACTCAAGTTCATCTTTCTTGGGTAACGACTTGACCGCCCAGGCAGGTACTCACCCAGACGAAGAGCGCCAAATTGTTCGGTGACTTTGAGAACCTTCAGCGCCTGTGTCCTGGGGGAACTGGACTCTATCGCAGCTCTTGGTCTGTGTTTAACGTGCAACCAGCAAAAGGCAGTCACTCCTACTTACACATCAGACTATTATTAGATTCTCGTGTATCTACTCAAACTGGCCCGGCACGTTCCACCCCTCAATACTTACAAAGCCCGCGAGGTCACAAAGTAGTTCCTTGTTGTTAGGTGTGATGCGATGTTATGGGACAGAAGCTCTGCAAGGTATTTGTCACCGCCTCTCAGGGCAATGGAGTTGTCACAGAGTCATCTAGCCATGCTGCTACCTCAATTGACACAAACAGAATTTCGCAGGACAGCCTAGAGGCTTCTACGACTGCCTACTGGGGTGTCACCTGCAACATGCCATCAATCTCCAACGACCCCCCAGATGCCGGTACATTGACTACACGTCGTTGAAACAGGCACTCGTGAGTCATGGCCCTCTGTCACAATCTCAAAAATGGACCGCCGTGTAATGCCTTTCAACCCGTATGCTGTCGACCTCAACGTTACTTGAGAATGTGAAGAGCCTTGCCAAGTCGGTCTTGAGCCTCTTGCCTTGATGGCTAAGCATCTAATAGCGGCCTCCTATACTGGGAGCCTGCGTCAAGGCCTTTTCTCGGTGACAAACACCAGTCGTGGTGCAACGTCCAGTGTTGTGGCAGTGAACTTGGTGTATCCTTCCGACAAGCAGGCTTCCAGTAGTCGTGTTGCACGCAACAGTCCTTAGGCGTTTCGTCCTTGGGCAGAGTCATCTGAGGGGAGATTGTTGGCGGGCCGGTTCGCCAGATAACTTGACCTCATTGAGGTATTTATGCTGCTAAGGGAACGGTGCGAGGTCTTCTTCAAGCCTGCAAGCTCTCCCAAAATCTTCCACTGCAAAGAGACTTACCCGAACCCTCATTTGTCTTTATTTGAGACAACATGGCAGAAATTGTCAGACCTGCACTTGGCCAACAGGTCGCCATCGGTACTCTTTACGACGCAAGAGTTGACCAATTCCTTCCGTCTTCTATCTTGCCGCCAAATCCACCACAAGGAACCGTCTTGCGAAGTTCTTGCCAACCCTCTCGTCAGCGCCAGAGTGGAATACACCAAGGTTCCGATCATGCAAGTCGATTCAACGCAATGCGCATCGATGGCAACCTCGCAGCAAGCATTCTATCCGGTTTGATCGACCTCAAAGGATCTGCCAACTTTCTGAAAGACAGCACATTGGACGGCGATATCCTCTATGGCATTAACCGGAGTTTCTTCAACACCTATGAAGATGTTCTTAATCTCCACCAGAGTGCTTTGCGAAGCGGAATGGCCTCTGGATTCTTCCTCCCGGCTGATCGTCACAGTACCCACGTGGTCACCGGTATCCGATGGGGGCTACAAAGCATCATGACAATGGAGCATCGCATAGACGATGCAAGTCAACGAGCGGCCCTAGAAGTTGCTTTTCAGAAAGACTTGCATGAGCTTGACGATATTGCCAGGTCCATCTACTTTGTAGACTGCAGCGACGATTCGCTGAGCCATCGACTTGAACTCGACTATGAGTTCATACTCTATACTGATATCCAACGCGATTATGGCATTTACAAAGAGACACTTCCTGTGATGTGCAGGTTCGTGCAAACAGGTCCGCAGCAAATTATGCACACTACTGGCAGCGCAGGGTACCCAATAGAGTATACTTTACTTCCCATACACATGCTCCATCATCTCATGCCTGGCAGGAGGGCTCTTCCGGGACCTCACCATCCCCTGAGAGCTGTCACCAATATTGATCCTTTATTTGTTCTTCTTGATGATTGGAATACTTGTAAGGAGAAACTCGAGGAGTACAGACACTCGCTGGTTGGTCGGGAACAATATCTTGCAAGGGACCACATTGAAGAAGTCGATACAGCAATTACGCGGCTTGAAAACTCCCGGAAGGACTTCCAGATGATTCTCCAAAGGGTTGTACTAGGGTTCAGAGATGGTATAGTGGATGAGAATCGTCTCCAGCAGCTATGCAATGTCCACGAATCATCTCCCGGGAAGATTTCTATGATCGCTGGTCAGCAAAGCGACAAGCTCAGATTCATCGAGCAATGTCTCAACAGTGGAGCGACATATATCGGTTTCAACGGTGCTTGCATCAATGAAAGCACGCTGTCTCACGATCCTCCTCCATATCATTTTATCTTCAACAATGCTGTGCTCAAGAGTTCAACTGCGTGGAATGAGCAGTGCACAACTCTTAGGGAGTTTCTTCACAACCCGCAAAATCAGAACCAGGTGTTTATAGTCGACTGCGATGCTCCCTCTGAGTATAGAGATTTGGAGGCCCCGATCTTTGGTCCAATACGAACAATGCCGAAGCCAGTGATTGAGGTTTCGGAGTATCGGGATAGGTCAGCAGAACGAAGACTTCCTACCAGGCAAGCAGAGCACCGGCAACAGCCACAAAGGTGTATCGCGCGTTGTGATCAGGGCGAGATGGATTTTGATGGACGGAGACCGGCTCCGCTCCGTCTAGTCAGGGTTCCCTGTCCTGGTCAATCTTGCGACCCTCACTTGAGTCGTGAATGGGCCTGCGCCACTTGCAACACTCCTCTAGAATTTGGGCCAACGACCAACTGCATCTACTGCGACTGTGGTTCAGCCGATTACAGCTCATGGGACTTCAAATGCAATAGTGATAGTCACGGACGCGGCTTCGATCGATACCACTCGGATGAACTTCATCGACTTTTGACGAGATCAAAGCACCCTGAGTGTCGCAATATCCTGGTTCTGGGACAGACTGGGGTTGGCAAGTCAACATTTATCAACTCCTTTGTCAATTTCTTGACGTTTGAGAGTTTTGATGAGGCGAAATCAGCCCGGCAACTAGAGTACAAGGTCCCGTGTTCCTTTGCAGTCAGTCACTGGAACACATCCGACCCAGACCAGGAACTTCAGAACCGGACGATCCGCGTTGGTTCTGGGGATGACGAACACGACGGCACCAACGGTGATTCTGCAACACAGAGGACATCAGTCTACAGGGTGACATATCATGGTATCAAATACCGCATCATCGATACCCCAGGTATCGGCGACACCCGAGGCCCGGAAATAGACAGTAAGAACATCAAGGACATCATGAACACTCTGAAAAGATATGAAGAGCTTCATGGGATCTTGATCCTAGTCAAGACCAACGAAGCACGCCTGACAGCCACAATCCATTTCTGTTTTGAGGAGCTATTGTCCCATCTTCATCGCAGTGCTGTTGCAAACGTCGTCTTTGGATTCACGCATACCCTCATCTCCAACTATGCTCCAGGAGATGCTCTCGGGCCGCTCCAAAACTTCCTGAAAAATAACACAACTGTTGACCTGACAGTCAGTCGCGCAAATGCATACAGCTTTGATGCAAAAAGCTTTCATTACCTGGCTGCATACTTTCAAGGTGTTCGAGGCCAAGACGAGAGAAGTTCTCGCGAAAGCTGGGATAGATCGAGGGCAGAAACTCTGAGACTACTGTCCTATATAGATAACCTCAAACCACATGAGATCAGGCAAACGCTCATTATGGAAGACGCACGCGAAGCCCTTGGTCATTTGATGATTCCCATGGTTGAGGTTTCTCAGGAGATCAGAAAGAACTTGAACCTTCTGGAAGAAAAGATGGCAGAGCTGAAGGACACGCGCCTGACGGGGGATGAACTACGAAAGAAACTTCATCTGGAAAGGATCAAGGTTGTGCCTACAAAGCTCGAAAAGCCTCGGACTGTCTGCAAGAACAAGCATTGCTGCGAGTTCAAGTCCAATTCCAACGGCGAGGTTGTCCCATTCTACAGGTCAATTTGCCACGAAGGTTGCAGACTACCAGGTGTCACCGAAGAGTGCGTGGGCCATCCGGAACTCATCAAATGCAAGGCTTTCAAGGAGACCAAAGACAAGAGTTGTAAAAGTTGCAGGCATAGTTGGCAGGAGCACATGCATTTCTTTTATGAACTGACAGAAAGCAAGGTCAGAGTCAAGGATAAAGACGTTGAGAGACGCCTCAGATATAATGCAAGCGATGTGGCTCTACGACAAGAGGGTATAGAGCGAGTTCGGCAGCTTGAGAAGGAGTATAGAAGTGAACAGAGACAGTTACGAAAGGCGACGGCGCAGTTTGTCGCGTATCTGAGAGAACATTCTGCCAATGCCTTCAATGATGCAACTGAAAAGTATTACGACCAGCTCATCAAGGTTGAAACAGACAAGATCCAGTACGGAAAAGACAAAAGAATAAACGTCGATGCGAACAAGAGAAAGCTCAAGGGTTTAACGGATGATAGAGACAGGCATCTCGAGCTTGTCAAGACGATCCAGGAAAACATCCATGCTCCTCGTGATCAGACGGAGGCGCTTCTGACGCAAGATGGGGTCGAGCAACTCATCAGGGATTTATACAATCTTAAGCACTTTGGCAAGAGTTTGAGGAGTTTGAGAGATGATATTACGCATTACAAGGATCATGGTCAGCGATCGCGTCGATCTCGGTCGCGGAGATCGAGGAGCGCTGAGACGCGTGAGGATGTAAGTGATAGATCGAGTCGAAGCGATGAGCGTGAAGAGTCGGGACGGAGCAGGGGGATCCTTCGAGGGATTCATAAGTTTCTGTCCGATAGGTAGATTCGTTGGGCATGACGAGGTAAGTTCATGAGATTCGTAAATGAAGGAGCTGAAGGGCATTCATTCGCTTAGTTATAATAAGTTGATCTTCAACTCGTTTTATACAAAGTCTATCATATTTTTACAACAATAATTATACAGTGTTTAGAAGAACCTCCAAATAGAGTCAGCTGGCTTGGTGGCCTTGAACCTACCATACCACCTCACCAAAGGCCACAGCAGCAACATCGACAACCCCCAAATAGCAAGGTACGCAAAAACATTGTCAATACCTCGCGTCGAGTCCGGATCCATCTGTCCATGGTTCTCAGTCTCATGACCAAACCAATCAACCATGACTCCACCAAAGATAAAGACAAAGAACAAATGCGCAAGGTAGAAGAACAACGCTGCTCTACCAAAGTCCAACAACATTGTGAAGCGCTTAGCAACACTAGCAGGAATTCCACCGAAGATTGCGAGAAGGAATAGGTTTCCGGCGAGAGTGAAGGCCCAGAATGCGACGTCGGGGGGATACTTCATTATGTAGAAGAAGGACTGGACTGAGACGAGGTATTGGTTCTTGTCGGGATGTGCGATGTGATCGGGTGTTTGGAGGCAGCCTTCGGAGAGATTTCCAAAGTGTAACACGCGCGTGAGGACAAATATTATGAGGAAGAATATTCCAGCGGCGGTGTTGCATAGTGCTGCGACACGAGAGTTCCATGTTCGTGCGACGTCGATGCGTGCGTATAATAGTCCTAGGATCGCGAATGATACCCAAGCCATAGGCGGAAACACTGACTGAACTCGGTCTGTCAAGGTAGTCCAGAACCAGACTCCGAACCAGGGATTATGAGATATAGCGGGACTATCAACTGGTGCAGGCTGGCCAGCTGAGAGAATTGTTAGGGAAGATGAATGGTCGTTGACGGTGCAGTGGCCGTGTGTAGGTGAGAGCCAGATATTCCACCATATCGTCACCACACCCAACACCGCAAGCAGCGCATTGTGAACATGCCAAGAAACAGTCTCTCCAAAATCCAAAGATTCACTTCCCCCAAGCAGCGCTTCACTCTCATCAGTAGCTTTCCTCGGAATACGCTTCGCAAGCCAAGGCTCCGTAAAGTCCATAGCAACCCACAGCAATCCCGCAAGCAAATAATCCACCGCCAAAGAAAACAGCACAAAATTCATAAACCACACTTTTCCCACCGTGATAACCCACCCCAATACCACATTCACAGCCGTGAGGACAAAAGCCCTTATGAGAAAGTACCGCGCAATACGACCGCGCGACCAGCCCAGCTTCTTCCGCGATCGTCCGAGGTACACCACGCCTATGCCAAGTAACATAGTGAACCCTGGTGCGCAGAGGTGTGTTAATGTTCGGATTATGTAGGCGGGCGTGCGGTTCCAGCGCTTGATGGGCACGCCATCCATTTCTGTCTCGCGGCCTGTGCCGTGGGACCAGGTGTTTAGGGCGAGGGCCATGTGGTCCATTGCCATGAGGAGCATTAGAAGGCCGCGGAGGAGGTCGGGAGCGAGGGCACGCGTGGACGGTTGTGTTGGCTTTGAGGGTCGGGGGGGAGTGTCAGACGGAAAGGAGCCGTAGCTGACATCGGGACGTCGGGGGGTAGCATCGTGGGAGGGTTGTGCTGACGGCATGGTTATGGTGTGGTCATCAGCTATACTCGGGGGAGATACTCGCTATCCGGTACAAGAGAGGGTATGAACAAAGGAAAGGAAAGAAGGAAAGAGAGAGCAAGTATATCATTACGGATATTTCGGGCGATCGGTCGACATCATAGATTCTATGTTGGACTGTTTGTGGATTAATAAGGAATAAGCGGGCGGACTTTTGGTAGCGGAGTTTCAGTCCATCATGGGTTAGTCGAATCGGAGGGTTTGGCGATGAACCGCGCGGCTCGTCGCTTGGTAATCACTTCAACATTGGGGCCTAATTAGGGGATAGTTCAAGAAAGAGTAATTAGATAATAGTATAGGTATATCGAATTGATATGTAGTCGTAGCAGAATTAAAGACCAAAGCAGATAAAGATCTAGTGTTCACAAAGCACAGCAGTAAGAGTAACCCCTGTCAATCAACCCCACAATCCAACGCTCACCACCCCCGTCAATCATCCCTCCTAAGGCTGCACAAGTGCAATGTCGTAATCAGTAGGAACTAGGAGACGACGCGGACGAAGTATTGAACAAAGTACAGATCCCAAGCTCTTCAAGAACTCTATCCCCGCGCACCTATTGTACAAGGAGCATGCTTCAATGCAGTCTACGAAGCTTTCTGCACTCGTCGCACGATATGTAGCCGTTTATCTAGGGGGGAGGTGGTGGGGGGGCTGCGGAAGTTGTTGTCGTTGGGTCGATTGTTGACTCTATGGTTGTAATGTCTTCTGTGGTTGTCTCTTCAGCAGTTGCAGCTTCAGTCGAGCTCTCTTCAGTAGTAAGAACGGCAGTCGTTGTATCTTCTGCCGTAGTTGCAGGCTCAGCGGTCGTAGTCTCGCTCTCAACAACCGTTTCGTTAGAGGTGATCTCTTCCACCTCCGTAGTGGTCTCTGTAGAGGGCTGCCCAGCTTCAGTAGTAAGAACGGCAGTCGTTGTATCTTCCTCCGTAGCTGTAGACTCAGCGGTTGTGGTCTCGCTCTCAACAACCGTTTCGTTAGAGGTGACCTCTTCCACCTCCGTAGTGGTCTCTGTAGAGGGCTGTCCAGCTTCAGTGGTAGTTTCAGGTGCGGCAGCTGAGGTACTCTCCTCAGAGCTACTTTCAGCAGCCTCTGTTGTCTCTGATGAAGCCTGTGATGATGGCTCCATTGAAGTTGAGTCTTCTACCTCAGAAGATGTGCTTATGGGCGAAGGCGCACTGGTTGGGAATACCTCTTCAGTGGTGGTTTCCTCGAGAGCAGAAGATGAGGCTGGAGAAAGTGTGGAGACTTCCGATGCGGCTGTAGATGCTTCGGGCTCAGTTGTTTGTGAAACTGGCCCGACAGATTGGGTCTGAGAAATACTGCTTGATGCAGCGATGCTATCAGAACTCAATGCAATGGTCTCTGTTGTCGCAGAACTTTCGACACTGGTAACACTTTCAGGGCTGATGGCCTCGGAAGTCGCGGTCTCAGTCGCGCTCGTAGTCGTGTCGAGACCAACGAGTCTCCCATTCTGACACTGTCTCTCTATTCCTTAGTTAGGACCAATCTCACATCAACTTCACAAACTAACTTACCATCATACACCTCCAAGGTCACAACCTCACACCCAACCGGTCCACTCGTAAAAGTAACGTAAATCCTCCCATCGCTCGCCTGACAAAATCCTGCTGTGATACCAGGCAGATCCACCTGCAGCGCCCGTCCAGTCGTTCCAAAGAGCCTCGTAACAGCACCTGCCGGAGGCGCAGGGCCGACAGCAAGCTCTTTATAGTCTTCGCCATCGTAGAAGAACGGTACGCCACTTATGAAGAGCTGCTCTTCTGCTAGGTTGAAGCTTTGAGCAAAGGTGCATATTGATGGGTTGTCATTCCCGACGAAACCCTTGTCTGTGTTTTGGCGTTTGCGGGTGTTGGGCGCGGAGATGAGGAAGATTACTGAGCGGCCTGGTGGTTCGATTATGCCTGTTGAGGTGGTGAGGGCATCGCTGCTCACGATGGACCCGGATGATGTGGTGATTAGATCGGTCAGAGTTCCGGTAGTTGAATCAAACGACACTGTTTCTGAACCAGATTGGGCTTGCGTTGGTTCAATCTCCACGGTGCTCTGGGACTCTATTTCTGTTACACAGTCAGTTTCACGCTCTGGGATGCCTAGTTAGGGTCACTTACGTGTCACAGGTACTGAGCTAGATGCTCCCGTTGATTGACCAGGACTTACTACAGGAACAAGGTAGGTAGACAAGTACGTAACGCACCATGTATCCAACTTCATAGCTCCATGGTCTGCCCGCGAGAGAACACCACCGGCCCCCAAGGCTGTCGCGAGTATTGTTTGACTCTTCATGATTTCTTGTAATTTTCCCTCAAAACACGAGAGAGCTAGACGAAGTCACTTTAACATTTCGCAACGGAACTTCACACATTTAAGTACAGCAGTAATCAGACTATCCCATCCCTTCTTGTCGTATTAAAGAACCTCTAGATTTGTCGCATTCTGCTAATTTACTGTAAAAAGACGCTATATCAGGCTTTTGGTCTTTCTGCACGTATAAATTAATATTAGGCATTCCACAGCCACATAGGTCATTCCTCTTTTCTCTTGATTCAAATTCCTGCGACTTAACAGAACCCCCTTGCGTCGGCTTGTTTGCCGGATCACCCAATCCCATTACCTTATCCCAGAGACCTTTTTTACTTCATCTCTTTATAAGTTCCTCCAGTGTCTGTTGAATCCAGATGCAATCACATCACTTTGTTATTGACGTTAACCTCACAGTAAGCGAGGAGTCGTGTCTCACCCGCCAACTTGACCGTTATTTTCACTCTCACGCTGTTAGTGTAATGGCCTACCCATGTATCCGCCTCTCACAAGCCACGTCTCAAGATTCTGCACGTTCAGGCACGGCCACTTACATGCTGCGCGGCATTGCACGCTACATTGCATCGGTTTATTTTCGCGGTGAAGAGAGAATTAGTCTGAGCTTACTAGACCACCAATAGAGACAAGCGACAGATGAATTACCAAACGCCTTATAAGCTGGAAAACCAACGGGTACTTCGTTCAAATATGAAGTACCATGTTAACTTGCGAGAATATTCTTGTAAGTGAAGAGACCAGGTACCTGCTACTGCAACAGCAAACGGCTAACGGTACTCTTCCAACGACCAGACTTTCTCTAGTTAATCCCATATTTGTAACTAACTAAGACATCGGGCTTCTCACTTCACCTCCACTTTCAGAAGCATCCATCATTGTTGCATTAGCGCATGGCGGAAACGCTCCTCCACCACCTGTGCAGTAAGCATATATTGAAGCCAACATTCACCACGAACAATTCAAGTTGACCTATCAGTCACAGATAGCATAGAACAGAATCCTTAGAGCTCTACCATGTAGTCGCGGCAGTCTGCCTTAGCGTCCTCTCCATCTATCAATCCGTGATCAAAACAGCCCTCTTTTAACGGCTGGGTGCTGATGTTTGCTGTTACCCTTCGGAAACTGCCAAATTCTTGAGTATTTGTGAGTTCTTTCGTGTTAACCATGTTTATATATGCTCAGCTTAGACCTACTCAGACGTAGCATCGTTTCTCATGGGAAACGCAAGTTCTTCGATTACATTTGCTAAATCTTTATTCTCACAGACACCGATGTATATTCCATTGGAAGCTGAAGATCAATTCTATACTCATCTTACCACAATACAGTCACTGAGGATACAAATTCGCGGCACCAAGAGGCCACCTAGCGATCCCTCAAGACTCAGGAGTCTTTGAAACAGGACCAATTAGCGCACAAATGCTTACGGCAAATTGAGGATCATAAAGAGTTAACTCAGGACAGCTTTAAGTACTTGGTTGAGCTGCTCAGAAGTGACTTTCCGACCGGCTTACCCATTCAGCCCTCGCACAACGTAGACACAAAGCCCCTTGACTATGCCATCTCGGACTTTGTAGCACCTTCATATCACCATAAAACGGAACAGTGGACAGTCTTATGTGTTTTCTTACAGCAACCAAGCCAAGAGAACACGGGGAAAGGTGTCGTCAAGGCTCAGCACTATGATCCGGATCCGCGTCAGCACAAGGGTAGGCATACTGAGGTGGGCGAGAAGAGGCATTTGGAGGACCAAAACGCTTTCCATTGAGGTTTGAGGCTGATGATTGGGAGAAGAGGTTCGATAAGGGGCCAGACAATATGCAATGCCTTGGTGGATATGTTATTCTTCTTCACATGGCACACATGTCACGGCAGATGCATTTGTTTGTCGGTGTTGTCATCATGTCTCAGGTTGGCGTTTCCTTTACATTGCAGCCAAGACTGTCTTCTGTTCCCACGAAAGCAATTCTATTTAGAATGCATAGAACCCAATTCATCTACATCGTGAAGCGATATCTCTAATTATCTGGTGTTGAGACCAAAACGTGGGGTTATGAGATGAACATCTCCGAGATCCCGGCAATTCGGCGATATGACGTTTTGTTTTGTTTCCAGGTGACCAATACAAATTGAGTTTGTGACGTGGGGTTCGGCAGAGCTGATGATCCCCGGGTTCCGGGTTTCAATCTTTCAATTGAGTCACAACCATCACAATCTACTATTCACAGTCAAATTATAGAGAAGAATAAAATAGAATGACTCACGGACATGCTCGGAAAAGTCTCGTCAACTGCCGGTGCTTGCACGGCTACGCACGGCCCGGCGACCGAAATCTTGATCTCGGCTGTTATCAAAGCTATCGCCAATCGCCCAACCAATTTGAGCTTAAAGTGATTGACTCGACCAAGAAAAAAAGAAACGAAAAAAGGGCTGCTCAACAAATTACGTCGTCATCCCCAAAATTTCTTATCCTTCGGCATCTCTCCGTCCGAATTTCCAGCGAAGCTCTCTAATACCTACGGCAGTACCCTAACTTTAGGCTACTTTTTCACTGACAGTAGCACCGAGTGTGTCCCCAACGTGTAACCAAGGATTGGATCTACTGCAGGTGGTTTGCTGCAGTCTTGCCCGTTTTTATCCTTGTCCGTTGAACCCGTCGGTCGCTGTCACATCCCATCCCTCCCATTATCGCACCATATTCACTCACACTGCCTGCAGCTGCAACCGCGCTCGTTGTGGATGCCTCTAATGTTTTCCTCTCGGCTCCCTTCCTTTTCTCTCCGCTCCTCCTCCTCCTCCCTCACATCTTTATCTTTATCCTCATCATCTCAACGTCTTGCCTATCGCTCCATACTCACCAGCTTCAAACCCCGTTTCTCTTCTTCATCCTCCACGCAAGACCCAATACCTGCTCCAAAACCAGAGTGGCGCACAATGGCCGAAAAGGACATCACAAAGTATCTCCAGCAGAGCCACGACCGGCTCTTCCACAACAACCGCGCCTGGGCCGAGAACAAGGCCAAGGTCAACCCCGACTTCTTCAAGAACCTCGCCGCGGGACAGTCACCAGAGTACCTCTGGATCGGATGCGCCGACTCCCGCATCCCCGCCGAGCAGATCTGCGGCCTTGAGCCCGGCGAGGCATTTATCCACCGCAACATCGCCAACCTCGTGTGCAACACTGACCTCAACGCCATGGGCGTCATCAACTACGCCGTCAAGCACCTCGGCGTCAAGCACATCATCGTCTGTGGTCACTACGGCTGCGGAGGTGTCAAGGCGGCTATGACCCCCCAGGACCTCGGCCTGCTGAACCCGTGGCTTCGCAACATCCGCGACGTGTACCGCCTCCACGAGAAGGAGCTCGACGCGATCGAGGACGAGAGCGCCCGCTACGACCGCTTGGTCGAGCTGAATGTCGTCGAGCAGTGCCGCAACGTCATCAAGTCTGCTGATGTCCAGCAGTCGTGGCACGAGAACAAGTATCCCATTGTCCACGGATGGGTGTTTGGTTTCAAGGATGGACTTCTCAAGGATCTTAAGATTGACTTTGAGTCTGTGTTGGCCGACATCCAAAAGATTTACAACCTTGTTGACAAGAAATAATGGAAGAGCATGGCGTTGATAGAAGAAATTTAACTTACCTTACTGATTCACGTACTGTGTTCATGACTGATGATCCAAGGACAGACCAGTGACATGACGAGAGGTTCAATCAAGGGGCAACGTCCACCTTTTAAACATATCAGTAGCGTGCCGGAAGTGCCTGATATGCAGGGATATTACTCTCTTCAGCCCTACAAGTTGCCGTAACAGGGACCACGGCTTGGCTCGACCGCACCTCGATGACGGTCTGGGCCTTCAAGGTGTTGAGTGACGGAGGAGCAACACACCGACACGTATTCTCGCACAGCATGAAGCATAGTACCTCATATGAAACGCCAGTGCTTCTGAAATGACAAATAGATTTAAAATAATTTTTAAACACTCTTATTGATGGCAGAAATCGCAAAAAAGTTCATCAGAGGGATCGCTCTCACGTGACCACCCTTTCAGGGTGCATCTCCACACATCGTACGATTTCCACATGGCCTGGTCCACGATGGAGGGATCGCTTGCAGGCCTCGGATCCAGAGACGGCAGTTTTTGATCAAGTGCCGGGTTAGAGATTGGCGAATATGGGGAAGTTGGTTGGCCGGAAAAAGAAGTTTGTCTTTGTTTTTGCTGATCTAAATGGCTGAAATGAATTGGGAAATGTCTCTGTGGTATCGATGGAGGATATGGTGCATCTGAGCCACGGGTGTAAGTGCACAGTCTGCACTACGTTTTATTATGCTTGAGGAGGCATCATTACAATTCAACTGCAAATACCTGGTTCAATTCAGCTTCAATGTGATTTTGTTTCGTCTGGTTGCCTCATGTGTTGTGCTCTCGCAATCTGGTGACCTTGATGGATAGATCGCATCCGGCAAACATTACAACGCCGTATGCACGGTTTGATTGTGCGTACTCGGATAATTGATAGTGAAATTTTGTCGCAGGCAAAAGCCTTAACGTTTACTTTCAAAAGAAAATAGGTAAATAAATCACGGGTTCGTTCAATGTGGGTTGGTTAAGTTTGTCGATTCTGTAACTCAGTAGATATGTTATGGACAATGCAATTATGTTGCCGACAGCGTTACGAACCATTGAGCTGTCATGACAGCTCAATAAACTCGACAGCTCTTTTTAATCCACAGCCAGGATAGAAACGAAAAGAATTAGTTCATTGGTTTATATGTGTATCGTCATTTAATTATGCAGGCGACAAACGCTCGTCCTCACTGACAAACTGCATACCAGGATTACCCTACAGACAAGCAAGCGAGAACATTTCTGCTCTCCCGCTTCATCCCGTTTCACCTGCCAAACCCCAAACTTTGACTTAACCTTCATTCAAACTTGCATCACTCACTTCACTCACTTAAAACCTCAAAAGACCAGCTTTCTCTCTCGGCCATTCCCACTGTCTGTACATGAGCTCTGCTTGCTCATTTCCCTTCAGCAACAAGCATCACGTGAGTGACTCGGTCTGGTGGTCTAGTGGTATGATTCTCGCTTAGGGAAAACCCTACAGCATAGCTTGCGAGAGGTCCCGGGTTCAATCCCCGGCCAGACCCTTTCTTTTGTCCATGAAGCATCTGAATGAGAGAGAATGTGTTTCTTTTTGCTGGTGTTGTTGGGCTGTCGATGTTATGAGGCCACTGAGTTTGGGTCTCACCGAACCTTGAGTCACTTGCAATACCCCTGTTTCGTTTCATACAAGCTTGCAAACATGCTTGCAGAGGTTACTGAAATCTCTGCCCTTTCTCAATCAGTCTTGTTCCGGTGACACCGACAATTGGTTGATAGATGTGTCGCATAGTAATTGGTGATGGATGTTGCGCTTGCATGCAGACACTTTTCGTGGTGGGGACATGTCGGCGCTAGTCTATTTAGGTAGGTCATCCACCTGTCGCGTTTTGCTCATGCATCATAGGGCGAAAGAAAAGACTAAGCCTAAATTAAGGGTGTCAAAATAAACTTAGTAAAGGCTCCCATCAACTTCGATCAACCTGTCTGAGTAATCTTGTCACCTGAGATCGAGGTCTGGAGTTTTCTTGCCTCCCCTGGTCTCAGTGAGTGCACCTCTCAACGGCTCCAGCTGCAAGCAAAAAAAGTAAACAACCCGTACAGGCCCATCTCATCCAAACATAACTTAACCAATACAAACTCGACGTAAGACAAGGCTTCAATCCGCGTTTGCCTCCGTTTGTTGCTCATTTTTTTTCTCGCATTTATTTTTTTGCTCGAATAACCAGTCCAAGTCAACAATCTGCTTGTATCCGCCACAATGAACGCGATTTTCAACTTCCTGTCATCACCGCTCAAGCAGCCCACAGAGAGACCTCCACCCTCCAGCATGCCACTTACCGCCTCGCGACCGAGTTTGTCGCCTAGAGAGCAACGTCTTGCCAAACGCGCTGCGGATAGGTTCTCGGAGCCGGCTGGTCGCAGTCCCGTAAGTTTCATCTACAAGGTCTGCGCTGTGTTGCGCAGGTTGTCTTGATGAGCTGGCACCTCCCCGTGTTATATTAGGCAACCCAACTAACTTGTTGATTTCTTCTAGCGGTCGCGTCTGAGTAACGTTTCTCTTGCATCGACGGATCACGATAACGCCGCCGAGATCTCTGTCGTCAGTCGACGAAGAGAGACCATCGCCATGGCCCCGCCGCTGAGTGTTAAGAAGAAGCGCATCAGCACATCGACGCGCTCGTCGCCGATACACAAACCATCAAAGTCTAACGGATCTCGCGTCGCATCGTCGCCTGCCGTCCGATCTTCCCCCAGAGGGCGGGAATCGGCTGAAGGATCCCCGGCCTCGATCCCCAAGAGAGTTCCGCATATCGCGTCATCACCCGCTGTTCGATCCTCTCCTAGAACGCGAGAATCGGTCGGAGGACCGCCGGCCATCGCCTCGTCACCAGCCCCAGTTCCCAAGAGAGTCTCCCGCGTCGCATCTTCGCCCGCCGTCCGACCCTCCCCTAGAACGCGAGAGTCGGCCGAGCTTGGAACGCCGGCCTCAATCCCTGCTCCTCGAAGCAGCGAGACCAAGAGTCCTAGAAAATCTTCCAGGGCGTCGCGCGCAAGGGGACCGCAAACAAATGGGGTAGAGAAGACGCTCGAGGAACAGCCCGAAGAGGCGCATTTTGAAGAAGAGGTGGAAGACGAAAGGGAATACGAGTTCGTGAGAATTGCGGATCATCGCTGGGTTGAGAACGAGAAGGAGAATATGATCGAGCTTCTCATCCAGTGGAAAGATGGCGAAAACTCTTGGGTCTCAGAGGAACTTCTTCACACCGACAACCGACAGGCTCTGTTTGCGTACTGGCGCTCGCAACCTGGCGGAAGACCTAAGAACCCTGAGGATGACGATGTGTACCAGGTTTTCGCGATCAGGAAGCATCGCGTTCGAAATGGTGTGCCTCAGGTCCTGGTCGAGTGGCTAGGCTACGACACACCCGAAAACACCTGGGAGGACCAGGACTCTATCGAGGAGGCTGCGCCCAAGCTCGTCGAGGCCTATTTTGACCAAGTCAAGGGCAAGGATAAGTATCAGGCCAAGACTAAGAGTCAGACGAAGAGCAAAGCGAAGCCCAAGGCTCCAGCGAAAACAAAGGCGTCCGCGCCCGCGAAGACCAAGGCTAAGGCCAAGACTCCGGCTCGAGGCGTGACTAGAAGCAGCGCAAGGGTGTCGAAGCGATAGAACTACACTGGAATACGACTGGAAACTGGTCGGTTGTACTGGCTAAAAACGGTTGTGGAAGCCATGTTTAAAGGCTTGTGATGATGGAAATGAACATTGTTTGGACTGTAATTATTATCGGAGTGGAAACAATAAGCAAACTGCATTTCTTACATGTGTTTTCTTGACTGTGAAGTCGCCTTTGCCTACCTTGACCATAAGCGCTGGAAATGTTTAGGTAACTTTTACAAGATACTGCAGACTCCTTACTGAGTTTGTTTTATTAACATCGTCTAAAGAGTTGAGTTTTGCTCTCCGAGGCCTGCCTGGCAAATGCATGATGTTGATGATCGGGTTTACTTACGATGCCTTAGGGAGCTTAGGACCTCTATCCTAAAAAATAAAAAGACTTGAGTCGATTAGCATAATTTAATATGGTTTCAGTAATTTTGTAAAGATTTAGGGGAGCTTAGAATGTGTTTTTTGACGTCTTACTCCAACTTCAGTGGTTTGCTCACCATCCATGTAATTGACTGGATCCTGATGGGGCTGACTGTATCCAACACGCTCACCTCAATCATCATCATCTTCACCTCTTCATCCTCACTCAATCCAAACTCCAATAAACACAATCACAATGACATCTCCCAATCTCTCCTCCCGTATTCCAACTCTCATAATCCTCTCCATCCTCACAATCTTCGGCTTCGACGCGCTCATTCTCCAACTCGACCGTAACGGCTACACCTCGATGCTCAAATCCATCACCCACGACCCCCTCCCACGCTTCCTCCCCGATACTAACCGCCTCCTCCTCAAGCAATACACCGGCATAGCACCAGTTGATGACTTTTTCGCTTTTTCGAATGTTATCTGGGCGAATGTGACTGATGGCTCGAGGCCGGAGCTTTCCCTGTTTACGTTTTGTTTTGGGGCGCAGTTGATTGCGTTTTTCGTGGTGTTTTTGATTGAGGCGCAGAGGGTGCTTTCTTGGAGTCCGCTTGTGCTAAAGTAAGTTTTATGCCTTTTGAGACTTGAGAATTGAGGTGCTGATGATGAATTAGTGGCGTGTTCTGGGGATTTGCGGTACAGAGTCTTGGCTTTGGATTCGTTGCGCCGCTTTACTTTGTCATTCACTTGATCTTCACAGCTGGATCGTCGAGGTCTGAGAATGTTCATATTCGCGACTACTTATGTCTTCACACGGTCGTTCCGTCTTTTCTTCTCGGATACATCGTGCCGTGTATTTTCATGGCATATCCATTCTCAAACTTCAACGTGCGACAGTGGTCTAATGCCGTCTGGTCTATTGCTCCAGTCTACATCTTTACACTTCAAGCGGTGTTTACTGTTGTGCTGAAGAGGCTGAGTGTTGGACAGGATGCGCATAAGCCAAAGGTTGTTCTTGACAAGACTGCTTTATCGCATGCCTACAGCTTCGCATGGAACGTCGCAGTCGTAGGCCAGATGACAACTTACGCCGTTCTTATCACAGCGAGCCTCCTCCCAGGTCTCTTCCCCGATGGTGTAGCGGCCGCATTGAGCATGAACAAGGTCTTCATTCCCGACGCGGCGCCTCATTCGTACAAACCCATGTCCAGCGCCGCAGCGGCAATCCACAACTTTTTGATCTACGACTTTGCGACGGGGTCTGTGGCGGGACTTGTCTGGGCGCTGCAGCAGCTTTTGGAGGTCAAGCCGGAGTTGAGGGTTGGAGAGGAGAGGACTAATCTCATGAGGGGGATTGTGACGAGTGTTTTGCTGTCGGGGCCGGGAGGAGCGGTTGTTGCGTTGATGCAGCATCGTGATGAGTCTGTTCTTAGCGCTGAGGGCAAGGCTCAGAAGATTCAGTGAACGAAACAGGGCTGGGATGGTGTATGTAAAAGTTAAAGGCAAGATTGTGATAGGGTTGCTTTCTGTTTATCTAAGCCTTCTCCTCTCTGTTCTCACCAAGAGGGACATCTAAGCCATGTCGTCCCTTGTACCCAGATACCTCAGCTGGTTTCCACCCGCCCTTCTGTAGCAGACTCTCATCCTTGAGCCGATAAACTTCAACCTTTAGAGGTCGACAGCACTTGATCATCTCCTCCTCACTGTCCTCTCCAAAGCCCCAAAGCGATAAATCACCACCAGGGCATGTGCCTACAACAATTAGCAACTCCCAATCCGCATGTCAAATATACACTTACTCAAAGCCATGAGCAAATCCTGCTCCGCCAAAAACTCAATATAATCACCCTTCTCCGCCGGACAAGGATTCATGAAGTATCTCCCCTGCTCATCCAAACCCGTGACCTGAAAGATATTGATAACATCATGAACATCCCCCTCATTCAAGCCATACGGCAACACCGCGCGGGTCAGATTAGAGTGACATTGGAAGTTATATTGTCCTCCGCTGAGAACAGTGTTGATGTACGGATCACATCGTGTGCCGAGAAGATCGTGCACTCGACCTCCATGCTCATCTGTGCCGTACCAATCAAGAGTATCAGTGATTATGGTGGCAAGGGGTCTCATGTAGGGAAGATTGGACCAGAGACGGTCATACGTTGAGACATGTGAGGCGTGGAGTTGTTTGGTGCGAGATGCCCAAAAGCGTTCACGCGGGTTATGAGCGTTCCAGATATTCAAATCCCCTATCTGTGTAAGTTCAAGGCCAAGTATCTTACTCATCCTCTGCTCACTTCACCCCCAGATATCCTTACCAACCTGCGGCCCCTCAGGCGTGCTGATCTTGACGATACAGCCCGCCGGGGCTTTCCATGCTTTTCCAGATCGGATGGGTAGAGTGAATTCTTCGATGAGTTCACGCGGTGCTTCGCGGATGGAGGTGTACAGGCTCTTGTCGACGGTGAGGACGGAGCCTGGGGAGGGGAGATAAGCTGGGACGGGCTTCTTGATGGGTTTTCTGTTTGCTAGACGCGAAGCTCCGTTAGAAGACATGATGGCTGAGATAATTTGTTCGAGTAGGAAGAGAAAATTGATGATTGAGGAGGAGACTGTTGAGTAATAAATATCTCTTGGCTGTTCTAAGTGGAGACTTGATCATATCTCGTCCTCTATTGTATCAGGTTCATTGAGTTACAAGAAGGCGCGCGATAAGGTGCCTTGAGTCTGGAAGTATTTGAATTATAAGTCATAGGGCGTGCATGACATTCACTCAAAGATCATTAATAATCTGCGCTTTTACCTAAGGTCGACTTTGGCTGCATCAGGAATTACACGTTGCTTGTTGGGATGATGCGATCTCGGAGGTGGATCGGCATCGCGAAGACTTGCCGATATTGATCCTACACGGCAAATAAACACTTGCCGGGTGCGTGTATGTCCCAGAACACGACCCTATATTCTGCCAGTGCTCTCTCTAATGATCCACGGACCTAAGTAGTCTTTACAAGTCTTTTGATAGAGAAGGTATCCAAAGTAAGGTAGGTCTGATTCTGTCGTAGAACCAGTACGCTCGCTGGCTTGCCCCGCATTACCTCATTACCCCTCCACCAAGCTCAAGACCCCGCCAGAGCTTATCTTTGTGTTTACTTTCAGTTTCCAACCCAATACAATACACGAGGACCACGGTATCCGAGAGGACGAGGCATCGAAGCGCCTGATGGGGCCCGAGAATGGTATTAGACTGGAGATTCGAAACATAGCATCTGTCGACTACGCGCCATTCCCCAAGGATGGTCGCGCTGGATGAACGCGTCGCAAACGAGAATGTCGACCAGCGAAGCCCTTCGCGATGCGCTCGAGGACGACAATGATCACGGACGCGAATATAAGGATATAATTATAGCCATAATGCATGCGGCTCGTCGAAACCTGAGAAAAATGGGCACATAGCTCGAGGGCGATGGTATTTCGACATCATTGCCCCAACCTTGAGAGCGTAAACGATCGAGGGCCCGCAAGTCATGCTCAAGTTGCAACATTTCCATGGCTGAGAACGACCTCAAATACTGCCGAACATATTCCAGAGCGCACGAAACTGTATCTACGGCAATGCTTCGTTAGCGTGTGTCTTCGCTGTGAGGACCAGTGCAACAGAGTACTCCCACCTGGCGACAAGACCTTCCCCTAAGCGACGCAAACTCGGCCGATACGATATTATCTCACAGCCCTTCGTTCCATAGGCGCACCGCCGTGAAAGCTCGAAGATACTGACAAGAGAGATGCCTAGGCTTTGATCTTGGTAGCTGCCCAGGTCACAACCTGACTAGCTGTCGTCCTTGGGGATGGCAATGTTGATCAAGCAGCGCATCCTCTCAGGCGATAACAAATGTAGCTATCGGGCAAAACTCCAACGTATCAGTGCCGAGATGGGTTCAGATAACCTGATCCTAAGATTGTAGGAAGCAGTGCTCCGAGAGGTCGACGGCGCATTGGCCTTGGTCTCATTGTTGCTCGGTCTACCCATGCCTTCATGTACGACGTTCCATCCTCGTAACATGAGACCTGTCGTCATAGGGACTTGCATGGAGGTGACTCGAAATGGCCTACGACCACGGGTTTTGCACAAGCAGGTCGTCCAAGAGACGAACCTCGGTCGTTTCGCGTGACATGCGATTACTATCCCTGATGATCCTTAGGAATGGTTGAATACGCACTAAGAAGGGAAATAAGACGGTCGCTGTTAAGGTTGGAGTGCTGGTAAGTTATTGACAGCTTGCGCGATCGAACCTTATCATGTCCCTAATTAAGAGCGTAAGTTGAAGTATCACCGATCTAACGAGTTGGGTAACTCATATTGGAAATGTAATATCGCGATGATAGATTTCGATAAATAGACAAGTAAGTGTAGCCATAATGTTCAAAGATATTGTCATGTCAGATGTTCCCTTCGTGTCGCGTTGACATGAAAGAGTCAATGGCAAGACACTATTGTTTGACGACCCAATACTCTTGGCGGATGACAGCCATGTGGCTTTATAGTGTATCACGTTTATTTGAACAGGAATTGTCACATTCTAGTACCCATTGGTCGGGAATGTCCCAGGGGTCGTTGATACTGTAAATCCGTCACACTCGATGTTGGTGTTGACTCAAATAATCGACGATAAACTTCCTCCCCCCTCTCAATCAGTTGAACCTTAATACTTATCTCGTACGACAAAATACCGCGACCCTAGATAAGGACAATTGCGCAATACAATTTATCGAATTTCTTCAAGTTCAGCTCTATTTCCACTATCGTCCACAGACTGAGACACCACCAATCACCGTCCCATCTTGTCAAGGGAGACATCATCCTTCGACCCTTGCACCACGCCTTGAGGAATGCTTCCAAGACAGGGGCTCATTCCAGAAAAAGTGAACATCATAAGAATTGCATGTCAGCCTACAACTCCCTTGCGTAGGGCACGACGTAGCCTTATAGATCCCAAGGGTCCTCTCCGATCTGCGCTTTGTCTTGTGCAAAACGTAAAATCATGGTCGTCATATCAGGGTCCCCTTGGGCCAAAAGACTGGTTTTTCTGGTTATTTCTATAAATATTCTGCTCTGGTGGTATGTTTACTCTACGCCGGGGGTAACAGATAATGTTCAGCTTGCGACGACGAAATTGAAGACGAACGATGCGAAAGCGATACCGGTAGATAAGAAAGCGGATGGGAAGAGTGGGAAGGGTGTGAAGGCGGCGAAAGACGACAAAACTGGCGAGTCTGTTGATAAGAAGGGAATTAAGACGTTCCGTTCTTGGAGTAACTTTGACATCGTCAAGCCCAAGAACGATCACACGTATGTGTATCGCCGGTTCAAGAGCTCGCCACACAAACCACCACATATCGAATGGAACCCCAATGGAAAGCCACTCGCAAAGGGATATGTCTTTATCACACCGCAGTCCAGCGGCGCGGAGAGGGGTCTTGTGCAAGCTGCGTCGTTCATCATGAAGCAGAACGCAGAGATGATATACGCCCATGACGAAGATCCCTACGACTCTGCGGGTTTTCGTGTGCAGACCGTCCACAACGAGCAGTTCCTTACACTCTGGAGGGGCCACCGAAAAATGAGCCATGGATTTGGAGAGGTCATCGTCATGAATAGCGAGTACGAGAAGACTGTTATTCACCTCGATGCTATCATCACCAATATGTACGGTCAAAAGTTCCTTAGTGGGCTAGACTTTCATGAGCAGGAATTGACCACGCGAGGAACTATTCTCGTCACGGCTTACAACACGACTATGTATAACCTCACGACAATGGGGGGTTCAGAACATGGTTTCGTGACTGACTCTCTCTTCTTTGAGATCGATATCGAAACGCAGGAGATTCTCTTCAGCTGGAGCGCCCTCGACCATTTCTGGCCCGAAGATTCAATGCTTCCACTCATCTCATCCTCTGGCTACGGCGGGCCGAAGAATCCATACGACTTCTTCCACCTAAGCTCGATACAAGCCGTCAACCACGATTCATTCCTCATCAGCAGTCGAAACTTCTGGTCTGTGTATCTGATCTCACGCTCAAATGGTAGGATCCTTTGGGAGTTGAGAGGGAATACCAAGGGAGGAGATTTCGGCGCGTTACCGCACCACGGACGATTCCGATGGCAGAACCACGTTCGTGCGCATAATGTTACGTCGCGGGAGATGATCCTCAGTATGTTTGACAATCACAACAGTCCGGAGGATATGGGGAAGACGTATTCGCGGGGTTTGCTTCTCAAGTTGAAGCTGCCGCCGCACCCAGATGAGAGGCCTGAGGTTTTACGTGTTCTATCGCCAGATCGCGCAAAGATCTCGCCTGAATATGGGAGCTATCAACTTGGGTTGAGTAATGGCAATCAATTCGTGAGCTGGGGCGCCGGCGGTGTCGTCCACGAATACGGTCCCGACGATGGGCATGATCTCCGCTGGCAAGCTCGTTTCGGCTACGACGAGTCCATCACGAGCTATCGCGCCTTCAAAGACGTGTGGACAGGCACACCCTCCAAATGGACACCCGCTCTCGTCGTCGAAAAGCGTGAAGACACAGTGCACGGCTTCGTAAGCTGGAACGGCGCAACCGACATAGACTCCTACAACATCTACCTCGCAGAACCAGGCACGGAGCTCAAAGCACTAGGTAAAGCCAAGGTTCTGGGCTTCGAGACAGGATTCGATCTTGGTGTTAAGAACAACGAGACGAATTGCATCATGGTTACTGCTGTGAGGAAGGGCCAGGAGATTAGGCAGTCGAATGTTGGGTGTCTTGAAGGCAAGACGTTTGTTTCGACGATTGTGGACTCGATGGGTAAAGCGACGGGAGATTCAGTTGTTGAGAAGACTACGTTGCAGAAGATCATGGGGTATTTCTCGCGAAGTTGATGAGGATTGTATTTTACTGCGATGCAAGCATGTTGTTTTGTTAGTGTTAACGAAGAAGTTCAGCTCATTTCCACCATGGCTTAATGTGGTGTTGGTGATGGCGCTACGCTAAATAGCCCAGGTACAGAGCGATAGTTTATCTAATTAGTGGTAATTATTGCGAAAAGAATAAACATAGGCTTAATTCCTGTCTCTTGTCTCTTTGTTCTTGTTGCATCGGTTCCAACTTCATCGCTATGAGACTCACTCACCCTGCACTGTTGCTGGCCCTGTGCCAAATTGCTTCAGCATCGCCATGCAAGCCCTCTTCTTCAGTCACTTTCAGTGCTCCTACGAGTACCGACAATGAGTCCGCATCATCTGCGACTGAAACATCGACGGCGCTCTCGGTGGAAACAGGCTCATCCACTGTCTCTCATGACGCAACGTTGACTGCTTCTGAGACCTCATCGACCTCCGACTTGTCAATCTCCACGACTTTTGTGTCAACTTCAAACGCAGAGACTACAACTTCAGTCGAAGTGACAACTACACTTGAAGCGACAACAGACTTGTCGACAATCGTGGATGAGACCAGAACCACTTTTGAGAGCGAGACGTCTGCTACTCTCATCTCGACTACCACCGCTGAGGCTTCAACCACCACAGCAGCAGAACCCGAAATCCCATCCAACCGTGTCCTCAACCCCGGCTTTGAGGATGCATTGGTAGCCCCCTGGCAGTTTATGTCCGGATCGTTATCCCCTTCGTCATCTGAAGTCCACACTGGCGCCCAAGCCGGTTTCTTCACCGGCACCGCCCCCCTAACCTCATTGATGGGCTCCAAACAAATGATCAACCCAGCTTGGATCACGCCCGGCAAGAGCTACAAGTTCTCCGCCTGGGTTCATATTACAGATACTATTAACTGTGGTTACCGCACGATAGTATGTGGTCATGGCAACGGGCAAGGAACGACGAGTGCAGTTGGTTTCATTGGGAACACAGCGGATTTCGCCTTGGCGAGTGTGACGTGTTCCTGGACGCAGGCGCAGTGGGAGGCTGGGCCGAGTGTGCAGATTAGGAGTTATTGCTCGGGATTTTCTTTCTATATGGACGATGCAACCTTGGAGGAGGTTGAGACACTGGGGTGAAACTGAGAATGCCTTATTGATGTTGGGACTAAGGGAACGGGGAAATTGAGGACAATTGCAGCATTTATTTCGACTGTTATAGATTTGATATATAAATAAGGACAGAGAGGTGGCCAACGTAAGATGCTGCCGAGTAACATAGACTTTATATAGATTGTATATACCAAGAATAGACCAGCCAGAACGTGGACCTCAACGTTGAGCACCGCAATGACTACCGCCGGAACGGCTCATACTGGCCAGTCTGAGGATTGTATATACTAACGAAACTAGAAGACGAGCTCAGGGAAGTATTGAAGCTCTTATAAGTTCTGTTGGTCCGTGGACGATGGTGAGCCAATGTAGGAGGTCTTCTCTGCTGGTAGTAGTGTAGGGGAGGTGGATACTGTATATACGACCGAGTTCTGTAAGGGGATTGGGGCAAATGATAGTAAGGTCCGCGATTCCTGAGATTCGCATAAGAAGGAAGATGCGGTGGTGGTTGCAGGTATTTCGGAGGTGTCCGTGGCGGTTGATACTGAGGAGGGGGCTTTGAAGGAGTGACGATAACGGTTTCAACATCTGTTAGATCATCTGATGAAACTGTAGCTAGTTGTCTTGGGTGAAATATGTTAAGGAGAAGTGTGACGAGGAAGATGAATCCTGCGTCGAAGATGTAGAAGTAGATTTCCGTGCCTTGAAGGATGCCCAGAGGACCAGTGGCGTACTCGATTACTCGATAGACTGAGCGAGCGATTATGAGCCCGCAGGCGATGTAAAGAACGATAATCCAACGCTTCCAAGGTATGGTCAGATTAATACTCCTGCGAGATGGGTTATCAACAATGCGGCTGTGTACGATGTGCAAAACCGAAGTGAAGAAGCCGAAGAAGTAGATCTTAAAAGCCAGGCCGCCGATAATGATAAGCTGGGCTGTTCTTTGTTGACTGAATGAATTGGCATTGATCAAGATGCCAGCACCTATATCATATGAGTATACGATCAAGACAGGAAAGGCAATCTTACCAGTGAGTTGTGCTGCCAGAGAGACTACGTCGCCAAAGATGAAGACCTTGGGGATCACTTTGACCGGAACGAGTGAATAGATATCTGCATCCAAAGCAATGATGATTTTGCTGAGAATCATATAGATACTCGCAGTAATCAAACTCGGACCTAAAAGAAACGCAAAGGTCTGGATCGCATAAGGAACGAAAGTCCAGTCTGGTGATTCAGAAGCCGATATAGCACGACAAGCATATCCAGTAGCCTCAACTACAAAGGTCAGCACCTTCGTTCAGTCCACTCACTAATTCTATACTCATAAAAAATTCGGTTCAACTTACCAACACAACCTAAAAGGAACGGAATAAAGAACCAAGTCCTACATCGTATCATCTGTAACAGACAAACCACCGTCGACGCAGAAAACAAACCGAGAGCAACGAGAGAAAGAATAAACGAAGGATGATAATGGTACAGCTCGACTGCTGCCATGGTGTGAGTAAAAGCCTTCAAGGCTGGCCCGTGAATTTGGAAGTAAAACAAAATGACATTTTTTCGAGACAAAGGTTGATGTTTTGGTCTCGGAAGGGTGGTTTAAGACTTTATTCCCCCCGGGAAATGCTATTAATAACCTTGATATGGAGTTGTTTGTGGTTATCTGGGGGTGGTGATGAATGCGGATGTGATGCTGCTTGCGGGTGGCTCCACTGGCTGGATGCAGATGATTATGTCTCACCTTGACCACGTTTTGTGGTGGTGAGACAGATGAGATAATGGAGATTGTTAGAAGCCTTTCCTGATGCATATATGTGAATTTGTCATTGCGCGGGACAGAGTTGTGTGTACCTGAACCGGCGTTTTATTCTTGAGCTTGCGGGTAGAGCCGAGATTTGTCTTCGATCATCGCGAGATAAGGTCCTTGGTTTGTCACGATGAAGCGGGAACTTGGGAGTAGCTGAAGAGCTAATGATTTTAGATCGGGACTTGGGAGTTGTTGTTCGTGTCCATTACAAGATCACTCTTGACATTGTGAGGTCATGTAGATAAGGCTGCCGAGACTTGTTTTTACTGAAGCTGGCGAACCGCTCTGACGGCGAATGAGGTTTAAATGCGGCAGGACTCGTGCAATAAGAGATTGGGAGCTGCCTATCTCGTGTATTCTCATACAGAATATAAATACCTGGGGTCTCATGGTACTGTGCATAATATGCAGACCTTGACATTTTGAGTTTTTGAACAGATGAACAAGGTAGTATTGAGCACAAAGGTAACGCAGGGGGTGTTAGCAAGGTTTATTGTAAGCATAGAACTTAGAATTTTATAGCTTATTGGGATAGAAAGAAATGCAGTATTCATCGAATGACAATATGGTATCATGGAGATACCCTGACGACATCATCAGCTGGGTTTCGGCACCTATAAATTTGTCAACAATCTTGAATTGGCCCAGGAGATGATTGGTTAATATGCTGCAGTAAATTGAGGTACCTGTATGTAGTTATCGAGCTTGTTGGAACATCAAAAGACAATGAAGTGATCGTGAAGGTTGTAAATAGTTAGTGAGATGCATGGGTCAATCGTAAGACCCCGGAGCTTATCTGCGGATCTTAAGATCTCGGGTATCGTGGGGTTGAACACAGATGGCCCTAGTATGCCCTGTGAATGAAGAAATATGCGATTCATTACCAGGCACAACAATTCCTGATGAATTGCAACTTCAATAGCATGTAAAAGTTGAATCAGAATGGGCATTGTCGTCTCTTAGTCGATGACATTCAGTTCCATCGAGCACGTCTTAAACCCGAGTCATACCCGATGTGCCTGATCCTTTCCTCAAACAGCAAAGCGCAAAAAAGAGGCTGGCTGGGTGATGTCAGAAACAAGACTAAGCATCCCCCCCTCGTCGAATCACACACCAGCACGGGAAAATATCTCAACCTGTCTCTGGCTTACCGATCCGATCCTCAGGGAGGCTTGTCAACTCCACGATCGAGATATTGCCTGCCTTAGTGCCAAAACTCACAACTCCGCATTCATTCAACGTCCCTACGCCAAAGACACACCGCGCCTGAATGTACCTGTAGCGCCAAGTGCACGTCCAGGGGACTGTCGCACCCTTGGATGGGGTTGATCAGTTAACTAGCCAAGGTAAACGAGGATACCACCACCGCGGAACTGGGAGGGGGCACGTCATGCCGTACAAGACTCTGCTTCCTGCACCTGATACTTCGGGTAGCGATCCTGGGGGTCAGGATCAAGATACACGGGTTGCTAGGCGCAGGCGGGCAAACAGGCCTAACGCCTGCGAGAACTGCCGCCTGAAAAAAGCCCGTGTAAGTCACTCCTTGTTTCTCTCAACTACCTTACCTGCTTGTTGTACCCAAGTTTCCCCTACCTCATGTCTGACCCACTGCTGATGCTGTGCCCAGTGTGATGGTAAGAGACCAAGCTGCTCCAAGTGCGAGAAATGGGGAACGACGTGCGTCTACAGCGTCGACCACCTCGGCAATGTCGAGCGTGAACTCAGAGAGCACCGTGATATTCTCGAGTTCCTGCTGTCGCTCCCCGAAGATGAAGCCCTCGCTGCACACAGGCAGCTTAGAAGTATGAGTAACCTTTCCGATGCACTGTCGTCGTTGCAGGGGAGTATGCATGGCAGGCTTCAGCCCTCCGGTATACGCACTGCGCAGGCCATGTCGCCGCCGACGTCGTCAGGTCTCGAGTTTGAGCTGACGGTCCGGCATGGCATGGCGTATCCTACCTTGTTTCCCTTGGACCTACCGTCCTTGAGCGCCGATCCTAGACTGAAACCTGTTCAGCGCTCGTCTCAAGGACTTTTGCTCGATGGGTCATCGCCGTCTGACACAATGTCCCCGTCGACATCATCTAGCAATGAGCAGTCTGTACACACACCGAATCCCCAATCGCTTGAACGTCCAAGCATTAAACAAGAGGAGGACGTCGCTGGCCCTCATCGGGAAAAGTACTGTGATGAGAGGTTACACCAACTGCAGATTGGGTACTGGACTGGTGTCTCTATTGACGACGAAGTGGCTGCCAGTGCCATCTCACTGTACCTGCAGGGCAATCACTCCATATTCGGGCTCTTCGACCCCGACCTTTTTATACACGACCTCGTTCACCGCCGCCATCAATACTGCTCACCCTTTCTAGTGAATGCCCTACTGGCCCACGCCTGTGTAAGTTGCCACTTGCTACATGTTATCATAGTTGCTGATGCTGATCCGCTATAGCAAGCTTATTCTGTGATTGACGAAGCTGTCGGCGCTTTGAGCCAGGACTTTATGAGAGATGCGGGCATATTATGGCGCGCTGAGCGATCTTCCGACTCATTAGTCAACGTCGCTGCAATCCTCATGCTCAGTGTCAGTTGTCATCTCGAACAATCCAGTGTTTCAAGCAATGATCTTCTCGATGATGGGCGCGCAATGGCAGAGCGGTTAAAGCTCTTCGGTATACCGCACACACCAGAAAACGCAGCATCATTCGATAGCTTAGACCCCGACACCAAACGTGCAATGGCTCACACAGCCTGGGGAGCTTACAGCTACCTAACGTACGTACCCTCCTCCCCATTCTTACGTCCCACTAACACCTCAGACTAAACACATTCTGGGTTCCAACCAAACCCATAGCCTTCCCACCCATGTTTCCCGTCCCCGGACGGAGCAGCGAGGACACGATAGATGAAAGGTTAGCAGTTCACTGGCCGCCACACTTCATCCCTGACTATGCAGGAAAAACTTTTCAAGCACTATGTGAGCTCTGGACTATAATGCAGGAGGTCATAGCGGTTTACTTTGCGCATCATGGTGATGCTGGTGCTGCTTCGATGAGGATTCCTCTGGCGTTTGTGGAGGCCAAGTATCAGAAGATATTGACCTTTACGGATTCGTTGCCGCCGGAGATGTCATCTATTGATCCAGGGAACATGCCTGATCATGTTTTGGCGTTCAAGTAAGTTATGCGTCCCGATATTTGAGAATATGACTGACGATATACAGTATTTTACTGCATGTTGCTATTACGCACCTTTTTCACACATTCATCATGGATCCAAGCAATCAGAATCTAAACCCAGCGCTGCTAAAGTCCCCCAAAGCAGCACTGCGAGCATCAACAAACCAACTCCAACGTCTCATCCTCATCAGCCGTCTCTACCATCCCCACGCCCACTCCCTCAGCGTTCTGAGCTCGGCAGTCGTGCACGTCAGCAACACCATAATCCGCGACGCCGCCCTGCGCAACCATTCCATCCAAGCCCCCAGTCTCAGCAAAAAGCATCGACGACGAGGAAGTTTCGAAGAAGCACACTGGCACTTCTACTTCCTCGTGTGTCTAGCAGCCTGTCAAGATCTAGGCGCTTGTTTTCCTGTCTGCGAACCTATCGGTAAAGGTTTATTGGCTATGGCGATGAGAGATGGAAGCATGACAGCCGCTGAAGCAAATAAGCTCATGCGTGCGTTGGAAGCGCCGAAGCAGGTTGTGGCGCCTAGTAAAGACGAGAGCGGTACGTTTGGAAGTTGGGTTTTGGATTTTGATCTTGAGGCTTCGAAGCCTGGTGATGGACATATTAGGAACTTGGCTGCACAGTTTGAGGAGTTGAGTATGCATAATGAGTTTACGGAGGGGGGAGATTTTGTGGTGGAATAACGGGATATATGGGTAATGAATACGATTGATACCCCGGCCATTGAGCCAACGAGTCAGGAAGGAAACATGAGAACATAAAAGCAAGGCGAATACGGACATTTTGGTTACTTACTCTAAAAAGTACAAATATTGGAGTATCTCTAGCCGTCTCTTGCATCTTAAGAATGATCTAGGAAGCAGATTGATATTTTCATCCTTTGTCCAAGAGGAAGAAAATCTGAATGTGTAGATATCATGGACTAGTTGATGGTTCACATTACGCGCCTCACACACGATCATGATCTAGAGTGGCATGTCTATGATTTCAAATCTGAATTTACACATACAACAAAGTACAGTCTACAGAACTAACAGCATCCACCACCATGATCATGGCTATGCTCATGAGCCTTCTCAGCATCCCTCTCACTCAACCCCTCCGCCTCCTTACTCACACAACTAACATGAAAAGCCGCCAACTTCACCAGTCCCGGAATCTCCCTCAACAGCCTAATATTCTCCTTAAAATCACTCGTCTCCCGAAACTTCTGATGCGCCTCCACACTCGGCCATCCAATAAACGCCGCCATCATACTCCCCGTCTTACCCTCTTCTCCACGAATGGGTACGTCGTTCTCAACACTCCATCCGTAGCTGATGCCACGCCAGTCGCGGGATGTCTTTAGTGCTACGCCGGTGAATTCTTCGAGACGGCGGGTTGCTGTGGCGCGGGATGCAACGTCGTAGTCTGGGGGGAAGAATGCTAGGAGGACTTCTGTTACGGGGGAGCAGTCTTTGTTGAGGACGTCTTCTGGGGGGAAGGGGGTTAGGGTGACGTGTTTGTTGATGGAATTTGAAAAGTCCACGATGGGTTTGAGAGATTCAATGATAGGGCCATGATCACTGAAATTCTATTAGCACTATTCTAAAGATAAGGTTAGTGTTGACTTACGCGGTCTTAGGATAATTCTCATGATCCTCCAAAGTCTCCCAGTCAAGAAACAACCATAAAGTAGAAGGATTCTCAACCTCAACACCTGTGTAAACTCGTCGAGCACCAGGTTGTTTCAAAGCTGTCTCAAGGACATTTTGATAAGTCTTTGCCGCAGCTGATTCATCAAAGACATTGACGCCCTCGTTGAGGGTAACGTATGAAAACTCTGTCACGTTTTGAATTTTAGAAGCCATTTTGAGAAAGATTTTGTGAGGAAAGGTTATATGATACGAGTATGATGTTGATGTATGAGGAGGGGTAAATAAGGTGATGGCATCCGGTGGGGTCGAACACGTGCTACTTCCGTTAACCCGCATGGAACAAGGGAAGCTATCGCCTCGTTGGAATAGTCGAGTCATTTTGGCGATTCAAGGGTGAATGGATATAAAGATACTGAAATAGTTATGGTCATTGTTTCAATCATTCTTAGAGCCACTGGCTTCACTTCCACCCTGCGCCTTAAACTCATTGATAGCCTTCTCCGTAACCCTCATCGCCTCCAACCCAACAGGAGCACCAAGATAAATCATCGACTGCAAAACCGCCTCTCGAATCTCAATCTCCGTCAAACCATTCCTCATAGCTCCCTTTGTATGTAGCGTCAATTCCGGCCATGCCTTTTGCGCCGTCAAAAACGCCAAAGCTATTAAACCCGTCAGAAATGCTAATTTGATATAATCGTATCACTTACTGAGAAGACTTCTCTGCTTTCTATCAAGACCAGGTCGAGTCCATACGTTTCCCCAGGCATATTCTGTTATGAGCTCTTGTGCGGGTTTCCAGTATTCGTTGTCGAGACTTGCGACTGCTTTGGAGACGTATTCTTCGCCGAGAACTTCACCGCGGACTTTGAGGCCCTTTTTGAAACCTTCGCTGAATTCTTGGTTTTGAGACATGGTTTGAGATTGTGAAGTAAATGTAGGATGTTGATACCAAGAGGGTTGAACTGTCTGTTGACGTTGTTATATACTTTGAGGACGGAGGTCCTTCTCCGTGTCCGGGGACTCCGCAACCGGAGCACCCGGCTGTGAACGGCGGGGCCGGTTATCGAACATGCAACTGGGAATGATGTCTTACTCGATGCAGTTTTAAGTAAAATCCATCTATAGCATATTTATAATAAAATAAAAATAAGCTAATAGATTAGGACTCAATATCTTTCAGTTTCATAGAATGGTAATTAACCAGGACGATTACATATAAAGACAGTGACTTATTCTGGCAGCTCGTGTATATCACTGCATCATCGAGTACGCTATAGTAAATTACAAAAGACAAAATACCATTACTCCGACCAACTAGATCCCATATTACACGTTTGTCTCCGAAGTGGAATAAGCACAACTATCAGCATCATCCTCCATTCCCATCTCAACCCTCCAATCTTCAGGTGCGCACCAAACATCCAATGCATCCTCATTCACCTCAACCTCATCCAAGCCAGCCCAGGCCCCTAGGTCCAAGATATCCCCCACATCATAAGAAGAAGAAGATACAGAGATCAATTGCTTCACCTTGGAGGTGATCTCCTCAAGGTAGTCCATGTTCTGCTCCAGATGCCATGAGTAATCCTGCCCGACGGTTGCATACCCGCTCCTCAGGAATTGAAGCTGATCCAAGTAGAAGGAGAGGGCTTCATCTTGTGATCCCGGAGAAGTCAAGTCGTCCTCCCATGTCGCAGCGTCTTTGAGCATGAGAAATCTAACGTCGATAGCCGAGGTGCGGTGTCCTAGACTCTCGTGCATGGATGCGAGAAGTCTCATGCAACTCATGGCCATAGGATGGTTGGCGCCGTATACATCCTTGAGATTGTAGCTAATATCTTCGAGGAGAGTGAATGCCGTGTTGTGTTCTCCGCAGGCGAAATGAACCTCTGCGAGTCGCTTACCAATTGCGATGGTGGTGGTGGGTTCGAGATTGAAGTCGTAGTGGTCACGAGAGTTCCACAGAAGTTCAAGAATGCGCTGATTGATGTTAGTAGAGATAATTCGAATGGATGAGAGTTGCTTACCTTGAGAGTGATGTAGTCATTCTGCTTGCCAGCGATACTGAGGATGCAGGTGAGGTGGCTAACACTCAAGACACTCAAGTCAATATCAGAAGTGTAGCTCATGGCCAAGACTCCCAACTGCGTAGCCAGCTCCTCGATCAGACCACGTAGAGAAACATCGACTTCGATCTCAGAGATCTTGTAGAGTAATGTACTCAACTTGAGAAGTATCAGGGCGGAGGAGCTATCGTCGCTGTCGGCTCCACTTTCACTGTACTCAAAGACCCATTGCGACAGGTAGAAACAAGCCTTGTGAGAGCCAGCATCGCCCATTTGCTGAATGAGTCCAAAGGCGTCCTCCAAAAGCGACGCGGAAATATCATGTTCGCAAGATGAAGCAAGGATGGCTTGGAAGAGGTGATAGGTTGAGCTGCCCTTACCCTCTGGTCGATCCAGCATACGGCAGAACAACTTCCATAACTCGTCTTGAATACCGCTGGCTTCGGAACGCAAGTGGTAAGCCTCGAGATGCTGGATCAATCGCGAACCGGTTGTCAAGAGATTACCAAGCTGATCATTTTGCTGACCAGCTCGAAGCCACGCCTCATAAAGTGCAGTCTCAGCAACCACTCGCGTCAAGATATCACCGAAGAGGCTTTCGGTCTTCTTCCTGGACAGCTCTTCCATAGCATACACGAGAACCAAGCATCTTCTGTCATAAGTAACAGAGCGCTTGTGCTTGTTCTCGAGATACGCTTGTCCGCAAAGACCCTGAGGTTGTTGCAATAGCGCAATGTCGGAGCGAATGGTCTGCAAGAAGATCAGGTTTCCATGGTTGACGCCAAGGAGCTTGTACATGGCGCTAAAGTGTTCTGCAAGATGGAACAGCTTCCTGGGATTCGTCTCCTTCTTCAAAACCCCTAGGATGACCTCTTCCAAGGTAACCGTGGCTTGCTTCTTGTTCTCAACAGTGAGGTTCACTACCCAGAAGTCGATGACCTTCTTCAAGCTTGAGATACTGCGCTCATGACCGTATCCGTGCTTCTTGGCGCATTGCCTCCAAGATTTGATGAGGATGATCTCTGCTCTATCGTGGAGAAGAGGCTTGCTTGACATGAGAACACTCAACCGCTCCTCAATGATGCGAAGAATCTCGATGAATGCATCATCTGAGCCCGACAGACCCAGACAGATCTCATTGAGCTCATCGTAGATATCGACAGCCTCACGAAGAGTCGTGTCATCCATCTCAAGAAGCTTGGTAAGTTCAAGCGACGCCTTAAGGTACCAAATATCCTGCCGTCCAAGATCTGACAGCATAATGGTCCTTAGCTTACGAGCCAGGCGCACGGCGATGGAAACGCTGCCGACCGAGAGTAGCGTCTGTGAGTAACCGATATAAATCTCGAATCCACGGGCAGCGTCCATTGAAACATGGTGCCTCAGGTCAGCGTAGTACGACCAGAGACGCTCATAGCGACGGAGAAGAACCGTGTAGCTCTCTCGCTTGCCCTTGCCTCTCTGACTCTTGCACAGAGCAAGAAGACCTTCAATGAGGACGATGATCGAAGCGACGTCGTCTTCATCAGGCTCCTCATCGAAACAGTCACAAATATCGTCGTCGTCTTCGATGACAGTGCCGAGATGGAGGCTTAGACGGACAATCGCAGCAGCGACATGGAGTGTGAATGAGTGAGAATGACCCAAGTGAGTTCTGCAATCGCCAACGATAGACTTCCAGAAGTCTAGAGCCTCAAGATGTAAGCCGGCATCTTCAAGAGCTCCAGAAAGGATCAGGGCGATGTCCTGGCTGGAAGACTGCCAGAGAAGTACGCTCGACTTGCAGCACTTGACGATGGACTTGATCAAGATATCTCCTTGGGTGACTTGCTCAGTCAACTTGTACATCTGAGCCATTATGATCGCAATCTCAACACGCTCGCGAGTGAAAGTCTTGGGTAGATGTAGGTGTCCTCCATCTACAAGGATTTGTGGCCAGAGAACTTCAAGACTCTTACGGCAAATGCTGATAGCTGCTTTCCACTCCTTGCGCGAGCGATGCAAATGAGCTAAGTCTCTGCATAAAAAGACGGTGTCTGACCCAATATCTCTATGACCGTGGGTGCTATGAAGAATGCTGTCAAGGATGTTGAGCCACAAAAAGTCTTCGATGGGGTTCTTGACACCCTTGTAGCAGACAATGAGTGCAGAGTAGACTTGTAGCATTTCGTCGAAGTGGTCATGAGAAGGTAGCTGATGGATCTCATAGAGAACTCGAAGAATGCTCAGAGCTTCCTGGTTCTTCTCAAGTCGGAGAAGAAGCTGTGCGATTTCTCGAAGGTTGACAAGCGTGGTCACTTCGCACCGGCGGTCGGTTGTCACGAATCTGGAGACAGAAGTCCAGAATGACACCAGTGTTGTGCTAGCTTCCTTCTCCAGAGACAAGTCACGCAACTTCGTCGCCGACTGAAGAGTTACAGAAGTGAAGGCGACGAGTATGGCAGTGTGATTGTTGTTCTCCTTGTTCAATTGCCCCTGGAGCAGACTCCATAACTGCTGGAGAGCACCCTTGGAAGCGCTCGACATTCCGCGGTCCTGGTAGTGTCGAACAATGCGAGTAATAGCAGAGAGTGCTGCATCTGTCCAAGTCTCCAAAGTAGGCGCAGCATCGAAGACATCTTGGCACAGCTGTTGCGCAGCAGCCATATCATCAGCGTGCTCCAGCGCATCAATGAGCACGTGGAACAAATCGAGAGTCTTGCTCGCGAAGAGGCCTCTAGTTCTGCAGCACGCAACATACATATCGTGCAGAATCTCAGCAGCCTCAGCGAAGCGCATCTCGGCCTTGTATAGCTCCGCGAGTCTCTGAGCAACGGCAAGTGTCTGATCATGACTCTCTCCGAGCTCAGCCCTAAGGACGCGCCAAAGGTACTTGTAGACCTTGGAGCTCTTTGAAGACAGTGTCGTGTGTGGTTTGACCAGGGACATGATGTACTTGGCGCCAGCAGTAGCTTGGGGGCTGGGGTCTTCGAAGGTGAGAATAGCTGCTTCAAAGGCTTCCACCAACCTCTCGATGCTGATGGTGTAACGAAGATCTGAATGGGCAAGATTGATCAATGTTTGGATCACAGACTTGGCATTTGCACCAAGAGCGGCCTTTCGCAGGGAGAGAATCCTGGTCAATTGCTTGTTCGTGGTGATGCTATCGCCCTCAGATCGGAGGAAGTGCCACTCAGCCAAGGCCATCAAGACCGAGTCTGACATCTTGGAAGATACCTCAGCAGGAAGATGTCGCGAGAGCTTCTCTGAAGAAGAAAGAGACTTCTCGTAGTGCTCATACCAATTTCTGGCGGCGTACACCATCAGTGGGTCGAAGTCCTTGTACGAAGCTGCAGTAGCCCATTGAGTCTGCGAAACATTCTGGAAGACAATATCGACCTTGTCTTGCTGAAGATGCTTCTTCGCATGCTCAAGACAGTCAATCGCAACACGTCGATGAGCCAAGTTCAGCGACAAAGCAATTTTACCGTGCATAGCGAGATGATGCATCTTAGCTTGGACAACAGAGTCAACAAATTGGATGCGACCGCTGCGAATGGTGATGATGCTGGCAAGAGGAGAGTTGGAGCTCACGGACCGGCCGGAACGGATTCTTCTGAGCCAGTTGCTCATAGTGACAGAGCCGTATCGCTCCATCTCATCGACCTGGATAGCTCGCTTTCCGACAAGAAGCCACGAGAGAAGAGATTGCATGTCGGGATTGGAGTAGTCGATCTTGAGAAGCATGTTGTCGAGAATGCCCTGGACAGTCTTGGGTGTCTTACAGATGATATCTGTCATACGGCCAAGATCATGTTCGGCTTCCAGGAGGCGAAGGATAAGCTTAGCCTCCAGAAGGGACGTCCATTGACGTTCAGCGATGTGCTTCTGCAGCTCCCTCTTCATCTCAGCTGAGAGGAATGAGAGTATGGCTGATGTAGAGAGCGCCATCTGCATGAACGAACGTGCGTTTCTGCGAATATCCATGCGAGACAGAGTGTAGATCTGAGTGCCAGAGATAGATCTCGCTGAATCGGCATCAGTCAATGCAAGACATCTAATATTCTCACACTTGGAAGTAAGTGCCTGGAGCTTGGCAAGAAACTTGGAGGAGCTATCGGTGCCATGGCTGTCAATGGTGTTGATCACAATGGCAACGTTTCCACTGGCCTTGGAGCAGCGATCCCCGAGAAGTTCCCACAATAGGTCCTCTGTCTTCTCAGCTGACTCAGTTTCACTGCGTTTCCGGACAGTGTTGATCGCATCCAGCAAGCCAGTGTCGCCGATGGACTGGTCGAGAAGCTGGAAGAGCAGTGCTTTGAGTAGACGAACGGATGAAGAGCCCTGAGTCGCAGATGTAACCGATGCACGCAGCAGCTTTGCATCCAGAGACAGAGATAATTGCAAGCGCTCAATGATATTGGAGACGAGCTCTTGCTCTCCATAGCCAGCGTCTCCAGCGACAAGCAATAGTCTAGAGGGTGTCTTGAAGAACTGAACGACGATAGGCTCAACGCAGTCAAAGACAAAGGAATGGCCATGCTTGCTTCCGTGATGGCCTCGAGAGAAGCCGTGGTTGCGATGACCGTGTCCATTCAGCCAGTCTTGCACAGCCCCATGGCAGGTCCCAAGCGAGCCATCGGAACTACCCTTGAGCGACAGGATCCAGAGTTCCTCGCACGCTGAATGCGCAGCCAGAGACAATGAAGCCAGGTCTGCCTCAAAATATTGTTCGATCTGAAGGATAAGCGACGACGAGGTGCGGGAACCGGCTACGGAGACGTTAGCATACATGAATTAGGATAGCGTTAGAGAATTTACCTTTATTGATCTCGTCCAAAATGTCAATGAACCCCAAACAAATCTGCTGCAACGACTGCAGCACCTTGGACAAACAGCTATAAAGCTTATCTGACGAGACTCCCTCAGGCACTGAAGCTCTCACATGCTGAATCGTAACACTGGCACGATGGAAAACGGCAAGCAAGTTATCCAGCGCCGTACTAGCACTAGTAAGCTTTCCCTGCATCGAAAGAGCAAGTTCGCAGCTGGAGTAGAACATGGAGGCGACGCTCTCAGCATCAGATCCATGGTTCTTCATAAGCGCGACGAAATCAGCGATGCGCTCCGCTGAAGACTGGACTTGCTTCAAACGTCTGTCGACAAGACTCCATTGATGAGGCACGAGTCTCATGCGTGTCTTGTCAATGAGATCGAACACATGATGAATTGTAACGCGCTCTCGTGTAGCGGGAAGTGTGCATGTCATGCGCAGCTCTCGCAGAGAACTATAAGCTCTAACCATACGGTCTTCTGTGGAAAGCGCTTTATTGGACTGGCTGCTCACAGCACGTCGTCCGATGAAACCACCTGAAGTAGTTGTAGTTTCACTGGACATTGTGCGTCTTGTAGATAGAGGCTGCGAGTCATTGCGACTGTTGCGCTTTGGCAAGCTAATATGAACTCTTCGAATCGTGGTGCTATCAGCATCGTTCTTGACAAAACTGTTATCAGAGCCTTGAGAGCCATGGCTCGCGTCTCTGTTCTGTTGTCCTGAGATCGATCTGCGACCCTGAGGACGTAATGGTGCTGTTCGTAGTCTTCTGTCTAGGACGGTGTCGATGGTGAGATCGGCTTCGGAGGTGTCGACCTCGTCGTCGAAGACGAGATGTGAATCTTGAACTGGCTGGACATTTTCTTCGCTGTGTTCAGAGCCTTCTGAGGGTGACTCTGGACCAAGCTCTGTGATGTCTACCAAGGGCTCTACAGCCTTTGGAAGGTGCGGCGCAACTTCTTCTGCTTCTGCCATGAGAGTTAGCATCAATTGCTATGTTCAATGCCAATTGGAATTCAGTTATGGTCACTTACGAGGAGATTGCAGCATTGTGACGACTTTGACACAGCGTCAACCACAGTCAAACTCGAGCTCTTGGTGATATCTCAACTTCTGTAGACTAAAATGTGATTGTGGAATTCTTGAAGGAAAAGAAGTGAATGAACTGGGGAACAGAGAATGAGCATGCGCAATGCTGCAAGGAAGCCAGTCACTTGCATCGCTTTATCGAAACAGGCATCGGCTTCAATTCCTCGTAACGCAGCCACTCTATTCATGCTTATTTTTCGATAGTTCCATTTCAGCTGCATCTTGTTCTGTCTAGACTGGTCTGGGTGTGGAGGAAGCTAGCAATTGGGTGTAAGTCGCACATGTACGTACTGTGCTTGGTATCGCACACGGAGTACGAGACACGCGGCTTCAGTAGCGCTCCCTTCGGCGTTACAGGGGACTTATCCCCTGGAGTCTGCGTGCTGCACAGCCTAACTTAGTACACTGCGCTAGATTAGTGCGCTAATGTAGTCCCAGGCTCTTTTCAGCACATATCGGGGACGCCTCTCAATTGACTCCGCCATCAAAGCAACACTCCGACTGAAGGCTGGAATCAATATTTTCAGCTCTCAATATCAACGAGAGAACGGAAAGACGACATTCCGCACCAAAGGCCTCAGTCTAGAAACAGCCACAGTCACATTCGGCGTTCACCGAGGGCATAGTTAGTTTCCATGTCCCCTCGTAGTCACGAGCGGGGTGAAGTTCTAACTTAGGCGAGGTTCATTGAAACAATCTGTCCGCAGCCGCCCTGGGTTCTGCACTCCGAACCCCAACTCCCATCACTCGTTCTGTGCCATGTCAGCTAAGTTCACTTGTGCAAAGTACACCCTGCTCAAGACTTCGGACAGACTGCTCCGCGGCTTGAGAGTCTGTAGTGTATCGACAAGAATAGGGCCGTCTCACATGGTGCGGCTTACCTTACTGCTAGTAATAGGCCGCCAAACATTAATGCTGCGGAAAGACTCTAGAGAAATAATGAATGAATATTACCTAGAAGTGGTTTTATAAGCTGGCATCGAAATAGCCAAGGCCACTACTAAGCTAGTTTCTCTTGCATCACAAGTTCCAAAGCTTCTGCGTTCAGGGAAACCCCTATAGCTTCTTCAAGCTTCTCCTTCACCTCTTCCTTGTTCGCCTCTTCTTGGTCGCCAGGAGTTATCGTAGACTCTAGGAGCGCATCCACAACAGCCCTATCCGCATCCCAGCATTTCCATCCCCAGAACAGATTCTCCAAGGATTTGTCTAGGATAGATTCAAACAACAAGCAAGTCTCGCGGTTGAAAGGGAAAAGATGGCGGGTCACCTCGAAGCCCTGTAGAGCATAGCATTAGTACTCGAGGGTGTAATCACATTCGTATATCCGCGTAGCCTTTGACTCACTCTTTTGGTCACGTTGTTGATGTTGTTTGCGTTGTTGCCGATGATGTTGTAGTATTGGTATTTGAGATTCGCTGCTAACCAAGTGTATCGGTGCTGAGCGTCTCCCATCCATCCGCCTGGGTCTGTGAGGGTTGGATACACGATTTCAGTGTGAACAATCACTGCATCTTGTCCGTTGTTTGAGAACATGGCGAGGCGTTTAACAAAAGCTTCGTATCTTCAAAAGGTCAGCCAACAATGTACTCAGGGAGGGGTACCTCGGGGAACTGCTTGCCTCATCATGACTGTGTTAGTGTCAGGTGTGCCCAGGACAAGATTGTTTGCGGTCTGGGAATTATTATATTGCCAATCCACGCAACCTCCATAGCTAAACGCTGATCTATGGAGCCACTAACATCATCAGTCTTGAGTGCGAGTACCTGGAGACGAAAACTGCTTACCTCTGCGACCCTCTTCTTCTTTGCGATGGCGGCGTTGGGATAAAAGTCAGGGAATGCGCCCGACATGGCCTGCAAGTGTCAGAATACTGGCTACTGTATATGGAAGAAGCCTCGGGACAATGCTAGGTACTTACCACGTTGGCAGAATACCCATTTGTAGCCACGCATCTGTCTTGCGGCGGGTTTCTCTTTTTGATCGGGTTATTTAGAAGAGTAGTGTTGATGAGAGTCGTTGTTGGCATTGTGTGTGGGCGACACAGGTCCAGGTGCTCGTCGTTAAGACTTTTGGCTTTTGGCTCCCGAGGGTGACCGTATCCTTTCTGCCAGAAAGGCCGTTTATGAGTGTCGAGACAGAGGAACAGGCGTACTGGTAAGTTCACAACGATCTGGTAAAGGCCTCCTGGATGACCCTCAAGACACCTCCATCCGTCTTCAAACCAGCCTGCCGTACAATCGGTGGCATTATGATCAAGCTCAACCCCGAAGAAAACATTATTGACGCTCAGAGGAGGTTTGAACTTGAGGCGCGGTGCTTCAACGGCACGTTTGATCCCTTCAAACACTTTTTCTTTCGCAGCGAGGCGATGAACGGGGTCTTGATATGCCAACTCGACATCTCCGACATTTCCCCAGAACCATTGGAACCATTGCGGGTCCAAAATGATCTGGAACCCGTTCCGGAACACATCGTCCCAATCATTAGGAATCACAGCATCCCAGTAGCGTCCAAAGAAATCTTTTGCTCCTAGCTTATCGCCCTGTGAATTGCGCAATAGTTCTGTCAAGTAAGTTAGTCTGACGTTACAACCAGGTTGCAGATGAATATGAGACTTACCTGCCCAGACTTTAAACACAGCAATATGATCTCGCTCGTCGTTGGCAGGAAAGACGTCGTTGAAAAGGCGGTTCCGGAGCCTTTTCTCACTTTCTTCACATTCTTTGCCGTCAACAGTCCAGCAGCGAAACCTGAGTGTCCATTTACCATCTAGCGTTGCTCTTGTCAACTCTTCCTTTGCTCTCAACTTTTGTAACTTGTTCAATTTGCTCAAGCTCAACGGTGACGCGGCGCGAACAGCTGCGTCCCACGAGTTATGCCTTTTACAATCCTCAATATACTCGGCTTCGGTACCATTCATACGCTTGTGAATTTCCTCCAGTCGAATGAAGCAGTCACCAACCGCCGGCTCTTTGGGTTTGTTCTCTGCCAGGTACACAAAACGGTGCCGGTCATCGTATCCTGTGTCCGCATTGTACCTGCCCTTATACAAAAGCAGCTTGTATGGCGCGAAGGGGTCCTAGATGCTATTAGCCAAGTAACACCAATATATGTGAAGTTCACGGTCACGGAATCTTTACTTGAGCCACAGGGGTACCCTCAATTTCCATGATCCTGTCGGTTCCACGAAACCTTTGATAACCGAGGACCTCCCTAGCCTTGAGCGGCCAAGGAGCACATGGTAAGAACTCATAGACTTCCCCAGTAGGCATGAAGCCTGCGAATTTGTTAGCCCGTCTGTTTGGTCATGAGGGCGATGCTTCGTACAGTCGTATTTGAGAGTCTCGCCAACTTTTAAGGCTGCATAATTGAAGTTATAGTCCATCGGTGTATTTTCTAAAGGACAACCTGTTCATGGAACCATCAGCCCGAGTATTACCATCGTTTTGGATCATTGGACTTACACCCGTTGGACTTCCAGGTACTCTTATCCACAATCTCTCTGATGCGCGGTATCTCTTTCCAATAAGAGCCGCCCTCAGTTTCATACCGCGGTTTCTTTTGTAGTCGCTTCTTTCCCCCGTTTAAATGGCTCAGAACCTCATCTTCGACCCTGGACTTCCCCATCTTCGAGTCGACCGGGTCGGAGAGGTACTCAAAAGACTTTCTGCGCCCAGTACAACCACTGTTCACGATAATGAAGAAGAGACTGCTATGCAGTTCGGATAATGATCTCTCTTGACTTCCGGTATCCAGTTGCGCAGTGATGACCTTGGAGGTTTCGGATATTCAAGAAGTTAAAGTCGTGACACTTGACAGGATAACAACAGAGTTCTATGGTCGAACTCCAGTAGGCAAGACCATTTCTGACTAGGGGAATGAAAACTTACAGGGTATACGTCCAAAAATCAATAGTTTGTAAAGCTGCAGCTCAAGGGTCGCCACACACCTGGGGTGTAGAGAGAGGAGGGTCTGACCAGGGTGCAGGGAACCGGGCTTGCTGAAACAGACGCACTATCTCATCATAGACTATGCAGGTCTAGACCGGAGAGTATTGATCACAAGTCTAGAGATAGCGACTCCGGCCTTCCGGCACCAAATCGCTCTGTCTGGACCACCCGGCGGGTTTGCTCCGACTCGGGCAGCCCAAGGCTGGTTTCCCAGCTGTCTGCTCTCGTTTCCGCGCTTTCAAGGGAACTCAGGGCCCCTTTCACTAATGGCTGCCCTTTCTATGCCACGGCCTTGCCACTCAATTTTGTAGGGCAGGAGGGTAGCTCAGCAGTGCAGTTGACACTGGCTGTAAGCTGGAATTCATGAGGACACCTGTTAGATGATTCGAATATTAAGCAGATATTGATCCGAATGCATAAAAGCAAAACTAGCTGGCTTAAGTACAAAAGACATATACAAATTCTTAAACAATACTAGAATGAAAGTGTTCAATGTAGAGACCATATCCAGTAAAACACCAAACATCTTTAGTTGCAGAACACTGTTGGAGGACCGATGTAAAAGCGCTGCGGGTCGTTCAAGATGACATCGGGCACATTAGCACCAATACCACTGTACGCCTTTTGCACCTTGAGACTCTCCGCGTCTGTACCACTGTGGGCCAGCCTGATGAAGCTATCCAAGATACCTTGACGGTATGGTTTGGTCGGAAGAGGTCCAGGAGCAGCAGCCTGTTTTGCCTCTCCAGCCTCTGTCAGTAGGATTGTGTCCATAGGAGGCTTCTCCCTCTTTCCCTCAGGTTCTAAGCCCATAGCTCCCTTGACACGAGACCACTTGACGCTGTCTCTAGCATTGGCATGATCGAGATAGCGAACGGACTTTTTGACCTTTTCAGGTCTCCATGGTGGAGCGTCGTGGTCCAGTGGCATGGACTTGAACACAGGAATGGACTGCTGAGGAGCAGCGGGTGGTGGTGGCACCAGAGTCGCACCAACGAGATGAGAGACTGTTGGAGGCATTCTATCAGGCCTCATATAGTCTGCTGTGTTCTCAGAGTAAGGACCCCAATAGTTGGCTGGTAACTGATCCTCAACCTTGGCTACCTCACGGAAGGGAACGATCTTATCTTCCTTGACGTTCCGGACTTTGACGCCCAGTGTCGATTTGATCTTGGAAGATTCGCTTGTATCCTTCTTCATCCGCATAGGTCTGCTGATAATGGAGTTGCCCGTGTACTGCGAAGCACCACGACCCTCGATTCCAATGGAGTTAGCTGGCACCGCACTTCGAACAGAAAAGATGAAGTTGTCGCTTCGGACGTGCCAACGCTCCTTAGCAGAAGCCACCTTGTTACCCGAAGCTTTGTTGACCGTGTCGCTCTTCTTCTTGTCATCTCCAAGGAGACCAGACACAGCTGTGAATGTATGAGGGTTGACAATGGAATTGTCTGCTTTCCGTGTATCACCTGCTTCCTGTAGCACAAGCTCCATAAGCTCACGTAGACTGATGGCCCTCTTGCCCTCAGAGGATCCAGAACCGAAGCTGACGGTGAAGCTGACCACAGACAGATCAAAGTGCACGCTGCCGTGAATTGGTGGTCCTTCAAGATGGAGAGAAGCTCCCACGTTGACAGAGATCTTCTTTCTGAAACGCCAGACTCTAATCTCATAATAGACACCTGCAGATACTGCCATGTCGGCTACATAGTGTAGAGGCTTAAGGTTGACAAGGAAGTCGGCATGGGCGTCAAAGTGTGCACCTAGTGGACCAGCAGAGAAGACTGCTTGAAGCATTCCTCCCGCCATAACGGCTCCTGGTGTAATAGCTGCGTATGCATTGCCGGTAACCCTGAGGTTTGAGCTAAGCGTCCACGAGATGCCTAATCGCTGTGGGCGAGGGTAATGCGCTGGGACTTGGTACATGGGGTGATAGCCACCGAAACTGACCACCCAATCACCTGAATGTGGGTTATTCTTGCCGAACCAACTTCGAATTGCGAAGCCACCTGAGGGCCTACAGTCCTTGTTGAGAATAAAAGAAGTGGGATTGATGAGACCGTCAACTGAGAGCTCGCCATTGACAAGATCAAGTTTGCCAACCACAGAGAGATCGATGAGGACGAGAGCCTTATCGGGGCTCGCACGTCGAGGAAGGGTAGCTGTTGCACGAGCAATCAAACCAATGTCAGTCTGATTGGGTCCAAGAGCTACTGTTGCAACAGCACGCATATCGATAGCCTCACAGGCTCGGATGACAAGACCAAGTGCTAGCCAGATGGAGCCCATGCTAGGGGTCACAAAAGCATCAGGACCTGTCAGCGACTTGACAGCCTGGTTCATGTTGAAGCCTCCCGCCTGGTCAAAGCCTTGAATGAGTGGGAATGAAGACAGCTGTTCCACGGTGGGTAGTCGGAGACGTGAGTTGTAGCCAAAGCCAGCCATGAGACCACGAACCTCAGCCCAGCCCATCGTGAAAATTAGTCCCTCCATCATCGCATAAATGAAGAAGGAATCATATTCTGGCGTACCAGCTGCTGCGTTGGCTGGGACCTGCTCATACGAGCCAAGTGCTGCAATGGAAAAGGTACTCAAAGAGATAGCAACACCTCCAAAGTACGCTTTGGTGCCAGGCTTGTGGTGCAGAGCTCCTGCGATTTGGATTGGCATACGAGCGAATGACATGTCGAATCCTTCGACCTCGACATCAATCGGAACATGCAGAATGTCGTGCAAGCCATGGATCTGCTTGGAGTCGAGTCTGACGACGAGAGTGAGACCCTGAATACCAGCACTGATGGGTCCGATAAGAACACTGGCATCAAGATGAATGCGCAGGACTCCGCCTTCGTAGGACAACGAGATACCGGAGAGAGTGAGAGGTCCCTTCTTCTTCGCAAGAGGGGCTGTTGTAGCCGGAGCGCCTCCACTGGGAACAACTGCTTCTGTGGACGGTTTCTTCTCTTGGACGGGAGCAGGGGTTGCCTTTGAGCCGGGAGTAGCTGCACCTGCTGGAGTCTTCTTCTTGTCTTGCTTATCCTGACCGAATACATGGTCAAGGAAGACGCCATGGCTACCAACAAGACGGAAGTGGAAACCTTCGGATAACTCTTTGTCCTCGGGCCTCATCTTGAATGGCTGCTCCTGGAACATCTTTGCACTTCCGTTAAGGGTACTGATATCCTCTGGTGTGAACATGGTGCTGACCCAGAGGAACTCGAGCGCATCAAATGGTATATCCAGGTTTCCAAGGATGGGGAGCTTGGAGATTGATGGCAGAGGACCCAGAGACACGCGTATCAGTCTCTTGATGGGCGAAGGCTTGTCAGTCTTTCCTGTGATCGGGACCAACTGGGCAAATTGGACGTGGAGCATGCCAAACTTGAGCTCTGCACCGAAAACGAGATGCGACTTTGCACCATTCAGACGAGTGACAATAACGTCGAACTTGTCATCGGGCTTCGATGTCTTGAAAGTTGTTCCCGTTACAAAGTCTGGAAGTATATCTCGGACCTCCTGGCCCAGAAGCTTCTGCACAGCGTCGCCGAGTGTAAACTCTTTGGACGCCTGACCAGCAGCTGTGGTTTCCTTATGCAACTCGGCACTGAGCTTCCAGGTATTGACGTCTGTACGCTCGAATTTTGTCGCCAGTAGAACACTGGAGATCCTGAGGTCCGCCTCAAAGTTTACCCGAGCTGGTTGTCCCTTGCTGGCCGTAATATCAAGCGCAATGCGCTGTAGGTCAATGCTCTCCAGGATAGACATCGCATAGGTTTTCTCTTCGCCGGCAGCGAATAAAGAGTGAAGAGCTGTCATGGGAACATTTGATGCATGCGCGGAGAATGAAACTTGGCTCTCCTGTGACGAATACGTTATCATGGCCTCCAGCGATGGCGGAGGATCACCTTCCTTGAAAGGCACAAGAGAGATGGATCCATCAAGCATGATATTGAACTCCTTTGAAGCATAGACGTAGTTGACTGAGAAGCCTAGCATGGTATGGGCGATCTGTAGAGACGGTATCTTTGAAGGATCTGAGACCACCGAAGTGTCTGTTGGCCTTCCGATCAAAGCTTCAAGACGACCACTGACACTCAGACTTTGGTTTGAGACGTAGAGATCTGCTTCGGTAATCTCGGTGGGAATACCAAACGGCAGGTTCTGTACGAAGCTACTGTCGAGGTGACGTAGCGACATGAATGGCTCCGACGGATCAAGGTAGGAGAACTGATCCCACCGCTCGTAGTCAAGATAGTACTGCAATGGCGGGTCACCCTTCCCTAGTACATTGCCGATGCCGCTAAATTCACATTCGCCCGAGAACTCTCCAGTGCCTCTAGTCCAGATGAAGTCCAGAGTGAAGACTGAATGCTTATCCTTGGGAACAAGCACTTGCATAGAAGCTTCAAGCTCCAGGCGCATGCCGGCAAGACTGACACCGCCCTTCCCGTCGTTCAGGAGAGTAACAGTCACCTTTCTCCAGTATATATGAGAAGTGCTCGTATTCTGAGCCTTGGAACCATGACCAGTATTGAGAAGAACTTTCTCCAAGTCGTCAATAGCAGTGCCGACTTCGCTGCAGCTCTTCCTGATCCAAGCCTTGAGAGCTTCCCATTGAAGAGCTTTAGAGTAGCAGACGAAGAACACATTGATGTGATCTTCTCCTATGGTCACATACATACCCATAGCACGCTTCTCGCCATTTATATCTGGCTCTGCGGCGATGGTGAGCTCGCCGATAGTGGAAGCGTCTCCCCAAGGACCAGAGGATGGTGACACAGTCCTCTTGGCAATAACAGAGAGCGGGGGAATGTGGTCGTTCCAACCAGCGAGGTATTTGTTCAGTAAACCTGCTAATTTCCCGTCCAGGTTGAGAGAGGCCTCAAGTCGGAAACAACATTTGGATCCTGAACCTGGAATATACCACATCGCGTTGCGAGCTGGCGTACCAGCCAAAGCACCAAATTTGATGGCGGTTTCTTTAAGCAATATCTTGAGCCAAGGCTTGGGGTTGATGTGAGCGACTGCACAAAGGTCGGCAAGATTTTCGAATCCACCGTTGGCAGAGCTTGTCTCCAACCCAAGGAGGAGGTGGCCGGGGTAGCGATCAATGCCAGTAAGCGTGGTAATCTTGGCATCTTTTGAAGCTTGGAAGAAGCCAGTCTCAAACTCATCGTTGAGCACTTTAGCATCAGTAGAGAACACCAGCGGAGCGCTTTTTGTGTCTTTGGAGACCTTGACTTTGAGCCCGGTCATCTCAAGAGATTTACCATCCGAGCCAAGCTTCAAGTTGACATCAGCCCTTTGAAGGTAAGATGCATTGTCATCAAGTTTCCAAGCTGCGCCAAAGTCTCGTCTCAGAGGATCACTCAACGAGAGGGGAAAGTCGCTTATGTTGGTCTTGATAGCTTCCAAGGAAGTCTCAAAGACTATGGGTCCTGACGAAGTCAGAAACGCTTGAGTGCCGGTGTCTGGTGTTGAGAAGACGATGTGGTCAGACGGGACGGTACCAGCGCTGATGCCTGGCGTTGCACTGCGGATCTGAGTTGATTGACCAGTCGCTGCGAGCATGTATTGGTCTTTGAGGGGAATGAGCTGTTGCGGTGGGGGAGGCAAGCCTGGCGCGCTTGTTGCCGGGTTCGTAATGGGTACAACAGCAGAGCCGCTTGGAGCTGAGGCTGGTGGTAGAACCTTAGGCTCACTCGACGCTGGAGGAGCCACAACTGGGTTTGTGATGGGTGTCACGGCTGGCCCAGCAGGAGCTGAGGTTGGTGGCAGGGCCTTTGGCTGACCTGATACGGGAGCAGTCACAGGTAGAGTTGGGGCATCTCCAGGATGCTGAACAGCTGGGACGCCTGGGACTGAGGCTGGTGGTGGGATGTTTTGCCCACTCGACGCCGGAGGAGCCCCAGGCAAAGTTGCAACATCTCCAGCGTGGGAAGGTTGCTGAGGGCCCGGTCCTGATTGAACAGGAACACCAGGCTTGGGGGTAGGAACGGCTGGTCCAGCAATGGTTCCTGGAGCCGCAGGGCCAACAGGAGGGTTTGCCGATCTTGGGTCTCCTGCTGTGACTGGAGGCAATCCTCCGCTTGGTGCCTGCACGCTTCCTCCCGCCGGAGCAGTGGTGGGCAAGCTGGTAGATGGACCACCAGAACCAACGCCTCCAGGCTTGTCACCTCCAGTCTGCCCAGGAAGTGCAGGTCTATCGCCAGCAGGTGGCGATAATGATCCGCCGGCTGTCTGTGTACCAGAAGACGCATAGCGGGAGCCTCCAGATGGAGCTCGAGGTCGCTTGTCACCATCGCCAACCCTTCCTATCACCGGCCGACCATGGCCGAGTGATCGTCTACCCGGTTTGGCACGACGCGGAACATCATCACGCGGTTCATCATCTTCCAGCCACTTCTTGACTTGACGATGTCTGTGGCGCTGACGATGATTATGTCCAGAATGATCATCAAAATCGGCATCTAACGAGGCATGGTCCTGTTTACACTTGACTGTAGAGCGTGTCCAGTCCCTTTCACCAAAGAAACGACCAGGAGTGCTCACGACTCTGATACCACCAGAAGCTTCTCCGCTTGTATTCTCATCAGAGTCTGAGCTCTTTGAAGTTATAGACTAGCGATGCTCAATTAATTTATGCTTGTGACCTTGGGGCGAGTTAACTTACACGAGCTTTGAGAGTTACTAGCCTGCCAGGCTTGTGAAGCAAGCTGCCTCGTCCAACTAACGTCGAGGCAATAAGCTCATCGGCGCTGAATACAAATGTCTTGTCTACCAGAGTTTCTTGCTGATCTGGTAGCGACGGCGGCCATTTGTCACTGGCCGATCGTCTTCCATGGACGTGATGGGTCATTGTGTCTCTGCCAAAGCTGTGATGCTCGGGATGAGCAATCGTCTGCTATGGAGAAATAATTAGATTAGAAAAAGACCAGATCGGTATCACAGTCTGCTTCTCGGGGAGTTGCATGAGATGAACGGCCAGATGCTCAATCGCACAAAGGCCGAGCAGAGTCCATGCCAATCAAAGCTGGACAACCCCGGACTGCAAGCTATTTCGGATACAGTCTCCAGCCATGGCCTAGAACACTAACTTCGCCCCTTCTCTATCCCTGCTCGTGCAAGTCACTTGAACAGCATCAAGGATCCAATTGCTCAGACGCAAGAGAGCCAAAAACCCCCCAATGGGCATATGCAGCTTTCTTCCAGCCATCACATATTACTTGAGACATGCAGCAACTAGCTCTGATTGTAAGACCGGAGTCTCCGCTCTCCAATAAGTCAATGCGTGAATCGATAGTCTACGGGAGCGGGCGCTTGCGTATAGCATCGACTGTTGGTTCACGCGTAGAGTCGAGGCGTTCTCGCGATGTGGGCATCGGTACGGCCCTTGAGGAAGCTACATGATAGGTGGCGTAAACGAGCATTGAGGCTAGTAAACTCTTCTTTCGTCTTAGATAAAACGAAACTATCGAAAAGAGCGAATTCCATGTGGAGGGGAAGGCCATTTTGGGATGGCGAGACGAAAGCTGAGCTTTAGCTGCATGCAGGGTCTCGAACCTTTTCTCCGGGGTGTGCAGGACAAGCTTTTGGGAGTTTGACGTCGAGACCCATTGACTTTACAGGGGTGTTTACTGCTCTAAGCTGTTTGTGTAAGTGCCCTGTGAGAATTTTGGGGCGAATTGGATTAGAGCTGCGGCTGACCTTGGCTGGGTCAACTACCCTAAGGCTCCCTCCTGTGAATAGATGAGTGCTTCTAGACAGCCGCTCAGGTCAGCAGAGTGGCTAGAGTCTATGAGCAGATATCAATTGAGCTATCTGAAAAAAAGTTGTATTGTACTCTGCTAATTAGACGATTTGTGGAAGTGACGTGGAGATACGGTGCTCTGACATGGTAGGCTGAGCTCTAAACACAACAAGTTCAAAGTACTGTCATCATACAATTGGTAATGTTAATGCACTTCGATTGTGATAAGTTCAGTAATATTTGAGATAAATAATGAATATATACAAAATCGTCCTGATTATTCCTTACGCAGCGTCCATTTATCCATAACCTCAATTGTCTTCACCACCGAAACTTCCTTACCCTCAGCATTCTTACCCTTCTCCCACCTCCCATAGACCTCCTTAGTCTTGATCTCAACGTCATTACCCACAACACCATTAACCGTAGCCCTCATCAGCATGAAACTCGCATCCAACCCCTCCGCAAACGTAGCGCCCCCTCCAGCCGTCCCACGAGGCTTCAGGTGAACCACCATCTCAGCAGCCTTCTCTTTCGTAGCAGCTCTATGTGTCGTAGCCGCAATCCACTGCTGTCTCGGTCCGATGGCGCGCACAGAAGGCAGCGGTGCTAGATGGTCGAGAAGATGGGATGGATCTTCGCCAATGGGGATGGTGACTTCTATGGCAAATACCTCTGTGCCTGCTGGGAGATTCTCGGGCTTGGTGCTGGCTTTGATGGAGAAGACGAGGTTTTGAGGCGTGTTGGACTGCGGTGGTATGCTGCGGCCCGGCGAGTCTTGAGAAAATGCCAGCTTTGTGAACCACGACTTGATGGCTTCTGTATTCCCAGGAAGATGCTTGATTGCCAATTCGCGATCATCTTCTTCGGGCTCCGGCTGCTCAGGGAAGATGACTCGGGGCTTGCTCTCTTTGTCAGCGGTCACCTTGAAGTCGAGTGTAACGCTGTGATCGCGCTCCAGCAACTGCGTCGCGATGTATACCACTTTCGAGTCTGGCGCTGGCCTGTCCCAGACACGGTCTTTGTTCTGATCAATAAAGTGGTCCATCATATTGACCACGAGATGAGGCGCCAGAACACCAGTGTCGTGGTTCCAGATTGGCTTGATGGGGAAACCAGAAGGACTGATGACACCAGTCCTACTCCAAGTGATCTTCTTTTCCACTTCAGCCTTTGGCCAAGCGTCTCTGAATTTATCCGTCATCGTCAAGAATGGCTTCAACTCGCAGGTGAACTCCATCGAGTCTTTGTAGACGTCTCCCAAACTGTATCGCTGTTGATGTGGTGGTAGTTTAAGCTTGACGGTATAGTCTACCAATTTCTGTTCTTGGCCTCTTGCAACGAGGCAGAGAATCATGTCCTCGTTGCGCGTTCGATATGCGCAGCTTAGTGGAGTGTCTTCTTTCGACCCTGGACGTTTGGTAGTGATGGTCATCTCGAGGTCGGGGAATGATTCCACGATGCCACTTCGGACGATGAAGCCTGAGCCACCGATTTGCACACGATCAGCTGGTGCATCCTTAAGATACAGGTTGAAGGCATAGCGAATAAGATCGCGGACAGGATCACTCCCTCCTCCCATAGTGTTGGCTAGACTCATTGCGCCGTCAACAAGGGCATCGATCCAAGTATCATCCACGAGAAAGCAGTTGATGCTCTCTTTCGCAAGAACAGCTGGGTCTGGGAAAAGGTACGTCGCTGGGACTAGTCTCAAAGACATGAGATTGTCAATGAGCCAATTGAACACGAGTCCCAACTGAGGAATTGAAGAGACGACGGGTGTAGCCTGGCAAAGTTCCCGTGTTTTCTCCTCAATATAGGGCTTTGCTGCACTTTCAAGATGTCTGCGCAATTTCTCAAACGTCATCACGCCAGGCGCTGCGGCCATGGATGTCGCAGCAGGAGTAGGGACTTGCCATCTCAAATCCCCGTCTCTCGGCAGACCCTTCATCTTTGCGGCCACAGAGCCGCTGAACAGCCCATCGAGTTTCGATAAAGCACTATCCACAACGGCGTCCGCCTTGTGCATGAGCTTTGACTGCTCATTCTCATCCTCGTTCTCTGAGATCTTGGACTTGGTCACAGCCTTCATGCACAGCTTTCGGCGGAGGTAGGCAATGGCCGTTGAGAACTTGGCATCGCGACCTGCCAGTGTTCGACCTAGCTCCCAGGCCGTGTTGTACGATATATCGAGAATTCTCGCTGATGTGTCGATGATCTGTAGATCGGTTCCGTGGACACTTGGCTTGATGCGCGCTTTGCGCGATAAACCAGGGATGAGCGGTCCTCGAAACAGCGCCATGGACGATTCACCAGCGATGTCCCGATGGCGCACAATGGTGTATCCCTCCGAGACCCTTCGGCGAACCCATGCAGTCGATGGGTCATCTGGCTTATTGGGATCTGTGAGAGGAAGTTTGATCGCCAGAGGTCTTATGTTCTTCTGATCTGCGAGATGCTTAAATATCTCAAGATCTTGAGAGGCATTGTTCTTTTCCCAGGTAAAAGTCCAGGAAAACAGAGAGACAAGTGCGATTGTTGCTGAAGCCTGGCTCGCAGCCTTCCAATCGATACGGCCATCTAAGGTCTCAATCGAGATGATGTGGGCGTACACTTGGACAGGCTGGTCGCCTAAAGTATAGGGCCTCGCCCGATGACCGATGAGCGTGCTGAGTTTGTTCGTTACATGACCGCTCTCGTCTTTGACACCACTGTCCGTGATGTACGTGAGTAGTTTATAGCGGTCCAGGTCTACCCCAGCTTGTTCCCCCGTCTTGCCCGTTGAGTCTTGACGCTCAAAATACATCTTGAACGCACTGCTCTTGACAAACAGGAAATCTGCAGTAGCTGGTGATCCATCACTCTTGACCGGGACATCAGCGTCAGAATAGTCATTCTTATGACACCACTTTGAGCGATTACTGTTGAAAAGGCTCAAAGGAAGTGTGAATGATCGAGTACCAGAGGGTTTAGCAGCGCTGGTCACTTCTGGAGGCACACACAGATCCTCGTCTGTAAAAAGAAGCAGCGCAACCCATGGAGTCGGCGCAGTGCCCGGCTTGTGTGTTTGTGAGCGCTCCCAAGGTGTCGCGCCTTTGAGAACGACATGAGGAAGTGTAGTTGCGCTCACGGTGCGCAGATTTGGCGGATAGAATGAGTGAACGAGCTCTGGTGGTATTGCATATGGTTGACACGCCTTGACTGTGACGGGTTGCGTTGACACTAATTTCTCAGTGTCGTTGCCAGATTTGACTTCTTGAGTTGTGATGATTTCGTATTCGCCCGGAGGCATGGGCGGGATCTCATAGGCATAGAGACGAGCCTTTGCGTCGGCATTGTCGTAGGCAGTTGAACTGCTGGACGATGCTGTCGCGATTTGTTTAGGATTGGACATGCTGCCGCTTCAACTGAGGATATGGCGACAATGCGAGAGGCAGTAAAGTGTAAAATGAAGGCCTGCTCAGCTCCAAAATTGATTGAGATGCCTCTGATGGGGAATGAGTATGAAGGCTTCACGACACAGAACCCTCAGAGCTTACACGAAGTAGACCACCTGTCAATGGCAATCAACTTCGCCATGGTGCCAATTTCACAATAGAACGTGTAATTCTTCAAAGACGATTTGTGTCTAGACTCAAGCCCATGTTCACTGCATCTATCCCCTGCCAAGTGGAATATACCTGCGATCCCTAGAACATGAGACCTGCATCAAGACTATCGAAATAGTAAATCACGCGCTTGGGAACTTGCCCGTTTAGAACTTCCGCGGATACGGCGTTTCCGTTTCGGTTGAGCAAGAGGCAAATCGATGCACACGCCCTGAACTAGCCCTTGGAACTAGGCGTTTCTTAGCGAGCGTCCCAGCTCCCGGGCCGCTAGTGGCCGTTCAGCCAGCCGCTATAAGGGGAAATGTCGAGACGCTAACCAAGCATTGGGTGGTGTGTTGCCGTTCGTCCCGTAGGCCTCTGGGGGAAACGTTCCGCTGGAGGGGGGAAGTATACCGTGTGTGTCGCACTGTTTGATGACTTGGGGACTGGACCCTGAAAGAGTGGCTAGCAACTGGGCCTCGGCCTGTGTGTCTCAGTCGCGTATCGCAAGCTGGAAGAATCCCAGCTAGCATTGGACCTTACGAGTGTCGATTCCGTGCTATTAGATACTAACGATGGCTAGAACTGGCAGGGTATCTTGTGCTGCGCATCTAATTGCCAGTGTGGTATGTAGAAGCTCGAGGTTGATTACTCGCCATTGACCATAACGACCATCTTCACTATCGCCAACATACGACCAAACCACTATCCCTTCTCTATCAAGTTCGTCGGCGCATACTTTCACAATGACAATGACGATGGCTTCTAAACCTCCAGCAGTCGACCCAACAGATGTGTCAGAAGATGAGCAAGAAACTCCAATCTACTTGGAGACGCCATCTGCCCCCAAACCACAAAAACCCGTCAAGAAGGCGACAGACATTGACTGCTGGTCCATGAACCTCGATGCCTTTATTCTCAACAAACACATCTTTAACAAAGAGCACTTTATCGCGCCACTAAATAGACCGGACAATTCGTCGTTTCTGTCTGGGGAGTTCTCAGCACCTGATGCGATTCCCAATGTTGACATTGATGGAGCGTATCCGTGGTATTCAAACTCGCGCATTGCGGATATCACACAGACACCAGAAGTTGATGAGGATGATAAAAATAAATATGATCGCATGTTGCGTAAAGAGCGATTGGGCGTCTATCTACATTGGACGCTGCCTCAGCATTTCCGTAATGGAAAAACGAAGGATACTGACGATGAGAAGGCTGGAGATGTCGCAGTAAGTACATCACATTGCGGTACCAGAACACCATGACTGACTAGCGACAGCAAACACATGTGCCAGATCGTTGGATAGTCTTCAGATGCATCACTGAAGCTTCTGAACCTGGTGCTCCTGCATTGGCTGCCTTCATAGTTGAGAGCAACCGCATTCGTCATTTCGGCGGACACTTTGACCCATCCACAGACGACACTTTCGATGTAGAAACGGAGGCTTCTCCATTCATCGACCAAGATGTTTCAGTGGAAAAGCAGGTCGATGTGTTTATGGGTATGAAGCGCAAATTCGACGATGACTGGAATGACCCTGATCCCAATGGTCTTTACCACTCGCCGTTAGCATTGCTGGACTCTGCCAATCCTCTGTTCCCAGACTTTCAGCACCACAACTCAAACATCTTCTCCATTCACGACGATGTCAGTTGGAAAGATAGTACAGGCAGGATCATCCAGCCAGCGTCTGCGACTATCTCGTACGCTGTGTTTGGCTACCATTCAACATTTCATGCGGAACATGATGAGAAGAAGTCTATTACCCACGGTGCCATGTACAATGTCAAGTGGACGAGGGATAAAGCGCCCGAAAACTCTGAGGCGCGCAATATCGCCAGGAACGTGAGCGAAAAGCAGCCCATATCCATGGGATCAGACTCGCTGGAGGCACTCGAGGCATACCTCCATGCTTTACCAGAGGATACGAGTCCTGCGCAAAAGACAGGAGCCCATCAGAGTCTAGAGCCCAAGCGCTGGAGCAACAATGACTGGGTTGCGCTCATCGACGAGATGAAGATGGCAATCGGACAATCCGGTCAAGGTGGTTTTCTTGACTCTCACGTACCGCAGAACCTCAGAGCTGGTTTCAAACCTACAGACGGAGGCAAGAAGTGGCGCTTCAATAACGACAAGGTCTCCGCGGATGGAAATGACCAGCCCATCAATCCCAACAAGATGAAGGAACTACATGTTCCTACCGCAAACGAAATGAATGCCTTGCTCAAAGCAGATAGGTTTCAGGCATATATCGATGCTTTAGACCGCCAGGAGGGTTATCTTCGCCATCGACTCTTCTGCGAGTGGTGGAAGCGTCGGGCGCGTGTACCGGGAGGTCGATGGGCGGAGCCTTCAATTCGCGCGGAATGCAGCAAGAGAATCCGCGATGATCTAGCGGCTTTGAAAACTGTCAGAGAGTTACGCAGCATGTATAACCAAGATCAAGTGCCTGCCGATCTGAATAAGATGCATGCGACTGCTAGATCGGAATTCTTCAGCCGCACGTCTCCTTCAATTGTCATGGGGGGACTTGGCACAGCGTGGCCTTCAGAGTTTCTCGTCAAGAAGAACAACGAGGCTAGACCACTGAGCTCACTTCCTTTTACCGGGAAGCAGGGAGCAGAATTGGTACAGCAATGGTTGAAGGAACTGGTGGGTGCCAAGTCTGGCGATGCGAATCACCAGTTGTGCATGGTCCACGGCATGAAACTCTTTTTCCAGAACCCAGAGCTGGTTAAGAAGATATCCGATGCGCAAAAGTCAAACAACGGTCTTATGCGACTTCCAGCCTTGTTTGAGTCTCTGGACAGTCTCAATGCCCTCAACTACACGGCACCGGGTTGGGTCCGCGTTGGAGTTGATGCGCTGATGCAGGAATGGGCATATGCCTTGAGTATCGGCGATCCAGAGAAGATGAAGGAGCCCAGACCTGCTTACTACAACAAGGCCGACACTCATTGGAATAACACACAGCCCTGCCGTGTGTTGTTCCTAGAGTGGGAGGTTGAGTACTACCACTTGCCTAAGCGATTCTGGACATTGCAGAGGTTGAGCGATGGTACAGCAGACTACAGAATCGCACCAGGTGTCAACATCTCGTCGTTTGACATGATGGATCTTCACAAACGTACCGTCTCTGGAAGAAGCATTTTGCGTCCCAACGCAGAGTGGGCGATGACAACGTTGGCGCAACAACTGTTGGACAAGTTGGATAATGAGTCTTTCAAAGAGAAAGCAAACCTAGCAGGTGGCAAGGCTCAAATACTGTCGCAACTGGAGAAGTCACTGAAGAGTCTTAACCTCGTATCTGGAAATCTTGACGGCTTCACGGACCAGCTTCTCACTCTTCACGGCGGCATTCATGTATCGCCTTACAAGTCCGACACTCATCATCCGCGCAACGAGAAAGAAACATCGCTTCTCAACGCGCTACTTGAGTCGGAGAACGGCCACGACGTCACTCCATTCGGAGAAGACGTCTGCTCAATTGACAAGGCCGAGAGGGACTTCAAGCCTGTTACCCATGGCCAAGCACGCTTCACAAAGTTCAACATCGTCGATAAATTCGGCCAAGTCGTTTCACCTATCCACACTCCAGACATCATCAACAAGACCAAGCCTCTGTATCCCTGCCTCGGTCGCACAATCGCATGTCAACCGAATGAAGCAGAAGGCGGAGGCTTTGCCAACAGTGTTGAACTGGATAAAGAGCACTGCTCACAATTCTTCCAGCTTGGTCACCGCATCAATCAAGATGCTAGACTCAACGTTCAATTTGTGGTGAATTCTGCTGATGTTGATGCGCACCATGAGACAACGCAGTTCTTCAGCGGCGATTTTGAAGGAGGCGTTGGTCGGAGACATCATGTTTGGCGTCCTACCACAGAGTACGAGGATCCTGTGTGGGGTTGGCTCATGCTTGACTTTCGCACGATGGGCATTCAAGTCTACAACGCTGCTGGTGAAAGTATGGGCGAAGCTCTGGTACCAGATAATATCCACGGCAAGGCTTATTGGCAGGTTCACTACGCCGAGGGTGACATGTCTGAAGCTGCGAATGAGTCGTCGCAGCTTCAACAGCTCATGAAGCGCATGTCTGACGCCAAGTTCCTCGTTGGTCTGTGGGCGATGCTGTCTGATGCGTGTCAGAATATTTATAACGACCCTTTGACTGGTGATGCACAGATGCTTAATATGGTGGGACGACCGCTTGCGCTTGTCAATATCGGCATGAACCTTGAGCTTGCTACACCCGTTATGCAGTCGCAGAGTTACCAGGACTTATTGAAGAAGGAAGAGATTAAGCTTGATGAGTACAAGTTTGAGGTCCTTCTTGGCGACAAGTCGAATCTGCGTGATGGACTTATTGGTTACTTTCCTCCTTCGCCAGAGCCATCTACCCCAATCACTCCCACTCCTGTTCCAGAGCCTCAGGATCGTGTAACAGATAAGCGACCCGACATAAATTGCGTCTACACCGAGTTCGGTTATCCTGGCCGTAACATCGTCGCAGGCGACAACCAGAAACCAGACTCATTCGCGTCGCCCAGCTCAAGCAAGGTGTACCTCTCACCTATGCACGTCGATCCCTCCAAATGCATCCCCGATCCTACCAAAGAATACGCCAAAGACTATGACGCAGCTGCAGCTTACCATCGGGGTATCTGGAACCATCCTGCAACCGTTGTCCTCGGCGCTATCGTCGACCCTTATCAACCCGTTCATATCGCCACGGGCATTCTACCATCAACAACACTGAAGCTTCCCCAGTGGATCATTGACCAGACCCTCAAGAAACTACGCATCCTCTTGCGCGGTGGACCTGTTCTTACAAGATCAGACCTTCCAGGTATCGACACCAGTCTCGATTCATGGAAGAAGCCTATGAACCAGACCACGGCTGAAGCATGCATTCCTGCCCTCACGGATAAGGGCGAGTGGTCATGGCTGCAGCCTAATCTGGCGGCGTATACACTGCCTGGAGATGAGGATGAGTACCTACCGCAGTTTGTTCCGTATAACTTGAAGTCAGCGCCTTCAGACTATCCCTTGGAGATGGGTCCGCATACGGTGTTGGAGGGTTTCTACAAGTTCGAGTTATCTCAGATGAAGCCGAATGCAGAGCTGAGAGCTGGTAATCCAGTGGAGGGTGGCGATGGAAAACAGCAAACGGAAGTGAAGAAGTAATTGACAAGTGGTGGATGGTGAAGGGCAATTGCCCAGTTACGGTTTTCTTCACCTGTATATAAGTGTTTGTCTATCAGATGCTAGTCATTTAGTCACGCAGTTTCTCTTTATAATACCACAGTGCTTATGGGATCTCACACAGCTTGCCCTGGCTTGTCTACCTTGGATCTGACCTTGAATGTTAGCATGAAACCCGTCACCCGATTCTTCATCGCTTGAGCCCATGCCTCTGAAACCAATTCTGATGATGCTCCTCCTCCCACCTCTTCTCCGCCCTCCTCAACGTCGCCGAAACATCCCAGAAATCCCTCCTCTGCGCCACATCCCTCGCCGTCCTCCCCTTATTATCCTTCATCGTCGGATCCGCCTTCCAATCCCTCAACACCCTGACAACCTCCCTCTTCTCATCATCCCCATCCTCCGCAACACTAGCAGCATAGTGCAACGGCGTGCGCCCATCCGTCGTACGAGCGTTAGGGTCAGCGTGAGCGTCGTCAACTAGTAGTTCTACGAGTGCGGCTGATGCGTACCGCGCTGCGAGGTGGAGGGGTGTGCGGCCCCCGTTGGCGCGTGCGTTGGGGTTCGCGGAGGAGTCGAGGAGGAGCATTGCTATGGCGAGGTGGTCGCGTTCTGCGGCGAGATGGAGCGGGGTGAAGCCGTTTTGGTCGCGAGTTGAGGGGGAGGCGTGGCGGAGGGCGGAGTTGCAGGCTTGGATGTCGCCGTTCCATGCTGCGTCGAGGAGGATCTCTTCAGGGTCTTCTATGGGCGCTCGTGGCTTTGGGGGCTTAGCTTCCACTGGTGTTGGTTGCGCGGGTTTGATGCCTGTGGGCTCTTCTTTCTTCAATGGCACCTCTGGCACTTTTGACACCTCTACTGGCTGTGCAGGTTCGGCCTTGGGTGATGGTGTTGGGAGATCGGTCAGGTCATCGTCAACCTTGAGCTTCACACCCTTGGGAGACTCAGGAGGAGCTCCGTAGGTATTCTCCTGAGCCTCAGGTTCAAGGGTATCATTCTCAGATTGCATTGGCTTGTCCTCCGGCGCCGCGACCTTCGCAGTCTCAACCTTGGGCTCAGTTGACACATCAGAGGGCGCGGACCTCACAGCATCCTCATCAACTGACTTCCGATATCGACCCACGGGAGGAGGGTCCAAGTCAATTGAGCCTGCCCTTGACTTTGAACTAGGCTGTGCTGTACTTGACCGTCGTGCATCGGGAGAATCTGAAGACTGCCCTGGAGCCGGCGGTGGTACTGGACTGTTAAGGCCGGGAGGAGCAGGTTTCATCAGAGCGCGCCTGGAGTCACTATCAGAACAGCTGTCGTTCAAATGATTTGAGATGTGACTTACGAATAAATGTTGACCATCAACTTGCTGAGAGCCGCCAATTGCTTCTCCAGCTCGCCGTCAGCCAGTTTGATCTTCTCCTCCCACTCATCCTTATACTTGTAAGAGTTATAAAACTCCTCAAGGCCACCAAACATCGTCCCCTCAAGCCCATCACTGCTAATCTCTTGAAGAAGCTTAGTCATTTCGTCCAGTGCGGCTGTCGCGTTCCTGATCGCTTCATCAATCTGCCTCCTCATAGGCTTCGCATCGTCTCCCTCAATAATGTCAGGTCGTGCCTCGAGTGTATTCTGGATCTGGGTGATGGTGTCCCTGGCTGTTGTCGCCTTTGCCGAGAGCTCATGGATCTCCTCGGGGGTCTTCTGGAGCTTCATGAACCAATCTGTCCATTCTTTGGCTGTGTCGGCGTGTTTACCCAGTGCTTCGATACCAGCGTAGGCAGCGACAGCTTGAGGGAAATGTTTCATGAAGTCAAAGCCCTTCTTCTTTGGTTCACTTTCCGTGGGTTTCTCGGCAGGTTTGGCCTCCTTTTGCTCTGGAGACTTGACAGAATGTCTTCGAGAGGAAGGCTGTGAGTTTGCAGCGCTGGAATAGCTGGGTCTCCTGCCTGTCGCCGAGTCATGCGTTTCATGAGACCGAAGCGGCGAGTCTCCTCTTGATCGAGGTCGGCCTCTCAGCATGTCCGCGGCTAAATGAGGTGCTGGTCTATACGCTGACGGGGGCGACCTTTTCCCCGCCCCGGGCGGACGTCTTGGCGAAGGTGGCGGCTCATAAGATGGACGTCTCCTTGGATCAGGCCGTGAGCTGTCCGTCGGATAAGACCTCATTGGCGGACGTGCGACCGCAGGCTTTGGAGAGTGTGGGAACGGTGGTGTTTCAGTTCCATAAGGCCGTAACTTTTGACGTCGTTCTGGAGTCGGGGATCTACGACGAGATGTAGGCCTACTCTCATCTTCCGACATCAAATCTGAATCTCTCGTCATGCGCCGTCTCAGCGTTCGTTGTACAGGCGCAGGTGGAGGTGGTCTCGCTCGAGGCGACACAGACCTGAAGCCTGAGTCCCTACGCCTCGGTCGCTCATAGTAGGATTGCCTCGGGCTTGATGAAGGAGGATATCGCGGTCGCCGACTTTCAGCTTCATAAGATCTTGATCTTTGCGCAGCGCCTACTCCAGGTGGAGGTCTCAACGGTCCCTCATTCTTTATCGTTGGTGGCGGATGACTTGGCGGGGGTCTGGAGTAAGACGCGCTCGGCGTTCTAAGAGGCGGTCTCTTCGGCGCCGGCGCTGGTGTTGATGCAGGCTGAGGTTTAGGTCTAGTAGAAGACCTCAACGAAGGAGCTTTCTTTGGCATTTTGCTCGCAATAAAAGTACCAAATCTCACTTGCACTTTTGCAAATATCGCTCAGGTACAGGTCTTCTTCTTAAGAAACTGCAGATAAGCCAGCGACAGGTAAAACAGGCCCCAGGGACCGGCATGACGCCATGGCATGCATGTCACAGGCGCTGTAGGAATCCGGGGCATCGAATTAATTGGTTCTGTAACGAAGGACGGGGTGAGCAGTGTGACGTGTCTGCTGATCCACCCTAGACCGGGGGATGATCACCTTTTTGAGCGGGCCGTGACGGGGACCAAGGAAGATGGACTGGGGATCGATGTACAATTATATCATGCTATTCTTAACGCGAATATGGTTGGAGCATTCAACTGTAACTATTAAGACAGGCATATTGTAGGGCCTTGATCTTGAGATCTTGCAGATGCAGTGCAACTCTGGATGCAAGAAACAAATCTCAATACGTCTGTGGCTGTGCTTGCTTGCCTGTCGCATGATGGTTGGCCTCAATCAACCATGGTTGTGCTGCCTGCCGCTGGGTTATATCACATGATGCGCGAGTTAAAAGTGTCTGATTGATGCCTAAACCTTGTGAGATCAAGTCAGTCATGTAGCACGATTGTCAGCTGCCAAGATCACAATCCCAGTACACGGAAACACTTGTTCCAGGCAGGAGATCGTCTGAGGCATATTTTCGCAAAAGTGTAACAATGGTGGAGTACATTCTATATGTAAACACTGTAATTAATATCGAGAGTCCTATCAAGTAGATAGAGGAGAATCCGAGTATGTCGGCGGACTCATTCGAGCCCATACTCCCATCAAGTCAGCCCTAAATGTCGCTGCAACAGGAAAGGTCCTCTCAACCGCCAATAGATTCTGGATGATACAATCCTGCTGCCAACTCTGACACGCCCGTGCACCCGCAACTCGCAGTGGACAAAGTACCAATAACGGCGAAATCGAAGAATTATACAAAACGGTATTTGTGTGAGTCAATATGTTGACGACGTGCATTTGTATCTCTTCTTCGCTCAAGCTGGGCGCCACGATACCTTTGTCCTGCCAATATGGTATCTCGTAGTCGAAGACTCCGGAGAGATATATACTTATAGCTGCGAAGAATGCTTTGGTCAAAGCTGAGAAGCTCCCGCTTGCATTCTCTACCGTTTGCTGTTTTGAATGTGCGTCTTTGGCTTCCCAGTCGACGAGAGATTGTCTTAGACGAAACCCTTCTTGAGCAACAGCAAAAGCTTCGTCAAGATGTTTCGTGACATCAACAGAATCTGCGTCCAAGTGATATAGTAGGTTTATCGCCCTAAGATAAATCATTAAAAGCCATGCATTAAAGAAGGAGGAATTACTCACCGAAGGCGAAGAGTTGAGCATGAGACAATGATATCCAAAAGTTCATCCAGCGAGTCACCATTACCTTGCTCTTCGCCTCTCATCTCTCGTATGAGACATCTCCAGTCTCCCTTTGCAAGAAATGTCGGCTCGCTGAATATTATAGCCCTACAGACTTCGAAGATTCGTATTTCAGTGAAGAAGCGTTGTCCATGACCTGATTTGCATGATGTTGGACCCACAGCGACAAGAGCTTTGGAAGTGCCATGGACCAAATGTTGTCTCCATCCTTCGCCAGTTGCATCTGTCATGAGCTGCCAGAAGTTAGCCTACAACCATACCAACGTGTTTTGAAGAACGGCTCACCTCGAATAGTCCCAACAGATGTGTGGTCCACAAGATGCGATGCCGGGTGCTAGGCTCTTGATCAAACTTCTCAAGAGCGTTTCTCAAACCCAGCACGGACTTGGAGTAGTGATGAACAGCCAAGTTGTAAGTCTTGCTTGGGTCAACACCTTCTGATGCGTTCAGCTTAACCGCCTGCATCGCCCCCAACGAAAGAATAGCATCATGAAGAAACGTCCCCGATTCTTGATCTTTCATCAAGCTAACGACATCTGTAAATATGTGCGTTCTCGGATTGCAGTTGTTCCTCCTTAAGAATGTGTCGAAGTAGTGAGAAAGATAATAGATCTGATCACCCGTGGCAATGGTAAACAATCGAGGAGGCTGACTTTTGCAGGTAGAAGCTGAAACTCGAGCCACGGTCTTTTTGCCAGACTCATCCTGATTGATCCAAATCTGCTTAGCCTTCTGCTTCTCAAAAGCACACTCAACCCTCCTCCTCACACAATTACTGCACGGAACACTTCCAGAACACTGCATCACAAGGATCAGCCATGTACGATGACGAATTTGCTCGGTACTTACCTTGAGATGGCTTGCAGCACATGCAAGGCACCGCGATCGTTTCTTGCGTCTATCAAATGGTCCAACCGGCATTTTCTCTATATTCCTTGTCGCGTGTAATGAGTTGATGCAGTTGGTGGGTGACTCGACAAGGGGAGATGCTTGGGTTTATACTCAAACTGGTATCGATTGAGCGAGATTAGCTTGGCATGTTCGCGATACCCTTTTTGGAAATAATTGAGCGACGCTAGTGCTGTGAGCCAATCATGGTGTTAGCTTGGCGGGGAGCTGAACTTCATCTTCGTCAGCGAGTAAGGTCGGGCAGAAAACGGTCCTTGGCAAATAGAGTGAGAAATGTCAATTCGCTTGAACTTAACTCCTTTGAGTATGGTAGAGGCTGTGTTTCTGGAACGATTGTGGAAGATCCCACGTGTTTGGGTTTGAGCTTTACCGATAATGTAATGAATCCTGCGAGATTTGGCATCTAGTACGAAAACTTCGATGTTACTTCATGATGGATATCTCTTCGTCTGATTATAAGATGCCTTTCCATCCCTCTCATCGACATCTCTCTCAACAACCTCATCAACCTTCCAAACTCACATTACCTTCTTTCATCCACTACAACTAAGCTCTTTACTTATCAACTTCACTATGCAGTTCTCTCTTCTCTTTCTCTCCCTTGTCGGGGCCGGAAATGCCATCCTTCTCCCCAAGCCAAGCGGTCCATACGGCACTGCCCTTCGCATCGAAGGCATGACCGACAAAAGCCGTATCGACCCGTATGACCCCAAGAAAGGTCATCGACAAGTCCTAGCCTCAATCTTCTGGCCCGTCGACTCAACCTCTTGCTCCAACAAGGTTGTCCCCTACATGCCGCCCGCTACAGCCAAGGAATATGGACAACAGGTAGCGCAGCTGGGTCTATCGAACGACACCTTTTCAGCTCTCGAGTTCCAGGTCTGCAAGACTCCTATTGCTCAGAAGGGATGTGAAAGCGAGAAGAAGTCATTCCCCGTCGCTGTCTTTTCACCTGGCGCTGGAAACTCCAGGTTGATTTACAGCCTGATGGCTCGCTCGCTGGCTAGTTATGGAAACGTCGTGGTTTTGATTGATCATCCTTACGATCCTGCTGTTGTCGAGTTTCCTGATGGAAAGATCATTAAGGGAGGAAACATCCCCGATGACCCGAAATCTAATCAGCAGCTGGGTTTGGTATGTGTATCTTTATCGTCTCGTACCGCACAATGGGTTTGCTAACATATTATAGGTCAAGGCAAAGGACATGTCCTTCACCATCTCAGAACTTCTACGTCCCTCTTTCCAGAAGAAGGTCTTCAAGGGACTTCCAGGTTCAATCGATAACAAGAAGATTGCTGCCCTCGGTCACTCCCTCGGTGGCGCCAGCGCAGCTATAGCAATGGTATCGGACAACAGGATCCGCGGTGGAATGGACTTGGACGGCCAGATCTTCGAACCAGCTCTCAGCAAAGGCCTCGACAAGCCATTCTTCCTCATCGGCCGCCCTAACCACAGCAATGAGGATACAACTTGGAAGAAGTTCTACGCCAAGCTCCGAGGACCCAAGAAGGAGATTGCCGTCAAGGATACTGTTCATGGCTCATTCACTGATTACCCTCAACTCCTCAAGGCTCTTGATCTGCCAGCGGCTGCTATGAAGGCGGTGGAGCAACTTGTTGGAACTGCAGAGCCTTCATATCTTCAGAAGTTCCTGTCCAAGACTGTTGTGGATTATATGAAGATTTCTTTTGCTTATAAGGGCAAGAACTAGACACACCTTCACTTCACTTACTTCATGGGCTATATACCTGATCAACGCATAGTGTCACTGATCGGACTCTTGTATCACTTGTATAGATTTCATGCAATCTTTTCACCCTTAATTATAGATTTCAAAGATATGACTATAGAACTGAACTGAGTATTCGCCATTCATCGTATTTTCGTCGTGCAGAGCTTTGGTATTGTAGTGCATAACCCTGGCCTGAGTCTTGGGCCTGGGTATTGTAAGGCCCCACGCACCGATTTGCCTCAGAGGCCGTTAAGCTCAAGCTACGATGGGCATACGCATGTTCCCACAGACACCAGTAATGCGGGCAAAGTAGTCAATGCTCCCAGAGCCGTATGGATTGCTCGTCAATAGAACACCACCAGAAACGATTCCCTTATCGCCAACCTTGATAGAAATGTAAGACGGCGCAAAGGCCAAGCGCCGAGTGGGCGGGCCATAGACCCAATTGTTAACAGTACCAATGTTGGGCTCAGTGGTGAACTGCACTGGCGACTCGGTCCTAGGGGTGACAAGATTGGAATAGTCAACCGTCGCAACGGTGTTACCATCGCTTGCAATGCGAACTTGGGCATAATCGACTTTGGAAGTGTCAATGCGGTTTGGCAGCGTAAGTAGGCATTTGTTGGTGGTGAACTGTATGCCACCTCCCCCAGCCAGAGAGCCGCTACTCAAATACACGTCGTAAGGGTTGTCACCATTCTTTGTGCCGGGGGTCGGAATCCCTTCAGTGATGTACAGACGTCCTTTGGTCGTTTGTGCTTTCCACGACGTATAGAAGCCTGGATCACCGGTGACGGTCACATCGCAGAATGAAACATTGAGGAAGGTCTGCGGCATTGCAGCTCGTCGGACGTGCGACAGCGCTGGCAGATCTTTGAAGGAAGCTGGAGCGCCGACGGGAATAGTAGGGTTGTCGAAAATAGAAGGGTAAGAAGGATTAGGAGCAGGGACAGCTTGGGCTAGCCCAATAAATGGCAAGAGATAAGAGACTTTCATGATGCGTATGATATAAAGATTTATGTTGCCAGTAGAGATAATATTGCTAAATTTGTCTGGCAAAACATGATATTAAGTACTTCTTGGCCAAAAGAATATCCATTTTTTGACAAAAGAAGGCCTCCAACGAGCTAACTTGGATTGTCTCATCAATAAGTGAGCTAGATGGGCGAGACCGTTCTGACCTCGCCTGTGGCTTGCATTGAGATCAATAGTAATCCGATTAGTCGGGACTCGAATAAAATAGCGCCAAGCCTTTGCTATTATGATACGATTAAATTCTTCTAAAGACCTCTCAGCTGCGGCACTGTCGTTAGTCTTGGCTTGAAGGCTGAACACCGTCATTTGACGACTTCACTATTCCAAGCGGTGAGGTCACTCCACGTTCCTGTGCAACCATAGGTGCAAATGACATCTCCACTGAATCACCCTTGCCCAATTGAAAGATGTTTAAGGACTTATAACCAGGCTCATAACGGCAGCTGGAAACGAAAGCCAACTTAAAAGTGCCCAGCTGGGAACTTTACATCGCGATCTGTCAAGACTAGGGAGCTTTCAGCTACGCCATCACCATTAGTCTTGGCATCGAGACCCAACACTATGGTTCAAAACGTTAGCGTTGCGCCTTATCATAGTTAAGCTTCTTTTTCTTCCAGCCACACTGAGTGTCTGCGGTTGCCATGTAGGGAGAAATCTGAGATGGGTTAGATACGAGGAATTTACCTAGCAGCGGCCGCTGTTCGCCCAGTCGGTAGCCAATATGTTCCTTCAAGGGCCACAGGGCTTTAGTGGTGGCGTCGGTCGAGAGTATTTTGGTGGGCCGAACCAGAAGAAAGACAGATTGTTAACCGACGTGACCGAAAGGTGAAAGTTGGTAGATAACCTCTAAAAGTAAAGTCAGAGCTATAGTGACAACAATCGATACATTCAGGCAGCTATCTACATTAGATCCCCCAAAACCCAAACTATCTAGTATGGCCACTTGAAAGAAGTAGAAATATTAACAGAAAACGGTTCCGCATCCGTAAGCGACTTCACCCGTCCAAGCATATGCTCCAGCTGTCTAAACGCAGCAGGCGGCGCATACTGCGGAACCATATGTCCACTAGTCTTAACCGTCGCTAAAGTAAACCCTCTCTCCGAGTGCACCGATCCCTGAACACTACCACCCGCCCAATTCTCAACATTGCTCTCAGTGTTGTTGATTATCGGAACAACAAACTCTGCACTCGGTGCAGTCTGGAAACCTTGCTTGCCGTTCCACTTGAGACCCTGGACGGCTAGGGCTGTTGTGTTAGACGTGATGATATAATCCGCCATACCAGATCCGATCATGACGTTGTTGGTCTTTTCAACGAGAGTCTGGAACTTCTTCTCGTGCTCGGCGGGATCGTATCTGTCGTCGTCGCCGACAAAGACGGGGCCTGAGCACGATGCCCATTCTTTGGGAGCAGCTGGGGCGTGGATCGCTTTGCGGACACCGGGGATGTTGAAGAAGAGTGTTGCGCCGGGAGGAGTATACTGAACCGAAGGAAAGCCGAGTACATCCCATAAGACGGGACAGGTATCTTGGACGTGATAAACGTTAAAGCAGGGGTTGATAACAGTGCTGATCTCGTCGAAATGAGCCGTGATGTCGCATCCCTTGACCTGAACAGGTTTCCAAGGCGCTGGAGGAGGAGGATACGTAAGATGAGCCTCACGATACCTATCCAACCCACACTTCTCATTATCATTATCAAGAATCTTCTTATTCTTATCCGGAATCGCAAAGACACTCTCCCAATGCCTGAAGAAGCCCGGGAAAGCAGCATGGTCGAGACTTAGCTTATCAGCATACGGCATGACAGGGTCGTAGTAAAGAGCGCCCTTGACGTTAAAGTACTTCGTATCCTTCTTGTCGAGCATAGCAGCGCCGACGTAGGGGACGTAGACACCGGCATAGCTTTCGCCGGTGATGTAGAGTTTCTTGCCTTGTAGGCCGAAGGTATCGACGAGGTTCTTCCACCATTCGACGAATTGGGCTGCTGTTTCGGTGTTGTTCTTTGCTGTTACGTGGCCGGTTGAGAAGCCGGTACCAATAGGATATTCAACCCTATAATCATTGTCAGTACGTCATCATGCTTTTGTGAAAGGTAAGACTTTACCAGATGACGTTGGCGAGTTTGTGCCATGACCAAGCATTGGGTACAGGCTTATAAGTTCCATATTTCCACGAAAACGGGCCATTCTCTTGCGTGAGACCTACATCGCGTCAGTCATGAAACAATCAAATCAATGTGTCAAATTGCCTTCCAAAGAGGAGCAGCCAGGACCTCCATTAAACCAAATCACAACATCGTCCTTTCCAGCTGGATTAACAGTCGGGAAGAACCAATAGAAGAACTTGGGATCTTTGGAGCCAGTCTTCTTCCAATCCACGGGGATTTGGCCAGCATAGCTTTCACCGATATCAAACGAGACTTCAGGAATTCCAGTTGAAGGGACATAGTAAGCTGACAAGATGGTTAGGCATAGGAGTCAATGTCATGACGTAGCAACTCACGAGAAGTCTTCTTGTTGTAGTACTGAGAATATGCAGGCTTGGAAGTACGAGAATGAATAACCGAAGCATTCGTCAAGGCAACGAAACCCAAGACCGACAAAAGAGCTGTTCTCAAACCCATCATGACGTATAAGAATTCTTTAAAGTCGACAGGAAAGCCCGGCACTCCCGGACAAGACAGGCAGCACGGTTAATATTTATACAAGAGTCATACATATTAATCCCCGTAACATAGCCCGACAATCAGAGGGACTTTTGCTATGATAAAGTCCTACTCACAAGGGTACACAACACAGAGCACGGAAGTTCGGCATGAATACTTATCTGTGCCTTCCTAATGCAGCTATTTGCGGGGTTCGTGATATCAAGCATCGTGGTATGATAAGCTGTCCGTGTCGATCGGCGAGCGGGAGGATCCTATTGGCTGGGCCGTTTGACAAAAGTTCGATGACCAATTGAGGCTTCGCTTAGAGTTCTGTGGAAGAAGGTTGTTCTGAGGGGAGAGGTTGGAGAATGCTACTTCGGTGTGTGATTGACTTTCGGGGATCGGATGTTGAGAACGTAAGACCATGTGCGGGATAGCGTTGCTTTCGGTTGAAAGTTAAAGAAATGCCGTTGAGGATGATCCGCGGGTTGTGGTGAACTGTTCATCATCAAGATTGCATGACTAGAGTGTTTTGGTTGCTATTTTGTTCAACTTGTGGTTTTGTTATGAAACCCTACCTTGTTGTTAAACAAGAACCCATAAGTTAGCGTTACTTCAGGAACTTTTTCTCTGTGATCATCCTTGTGTCCCTTCTCTTGTTTATATATCAAAACCTAGGACTCGGCTGGTTGGCCCTGTAGGTATATCTCACCATAGCCCATCTTATCTATCCAGCATAGATAAATATGCTCCTGTCCCTTCTGCTCTTGTTGTCTATGCTGATGTATGTTGAATATCAAGCTCCTATGCAAATACCAAGACCTTATATATCCCAGGTCACAAACCCAACCAAAACTCCATAAATTCAACCCAAACATCATGACTTACTCATCTCTTCACGAAGCTGTTTCTGAAACTCAAACTTCCTCTCCCTCCTATCATTCTCCCTCCTTCTAAACTCATCCCTCCTCCTCCTCTCCCCAACAGTACCCCTCAAACTAGCATCTGGACTCTCCCAATCAATAGGCACCTCCTGGAAGATAATCGGCGTCCAAACTGGCAGAAGTTTCGTCCCAATCTCACTCTCCGAAGGCGGGAGTATCTTCCACGTCTCATCCGTTTGAATATCTCGTCGTACAACGGGTATGAACGCCGCTGGCTCAGGTGGATTCAGCTTTAGATACGATACTTTTCTATCGCGATCGGAGCGCCATTCTCGATATTCAATCTCCGCATGCGCAGCCTGTTCGTCGCTTAATTCAAGAACAGACGCTTCCTCTTCTTCTAAAAGAGGCGGCTGTGATTGCGTCGCATATTTCGGCTCCCATTCTCGAAGCTTGGTGTGGCATTTTTCCAGCGCAGACCAATGCCTCTGAAGGGCTTTCGCGCGATTATGAATATCGTGAGGTTCATCGGGAATAGGCGCCCTTCGTCCACCTCTCCTCGCAATAGCACCAATCGTATCCCTTATATCCGTCTCCCTAAGAACCAACCACGTTAAATCACGCCTCGTTTCCAAACTGCGCAGTAATTTCGAGCAAAAAATATAATCATCACCCGGCAACGACGTAGGAACAAGAGTGTCGCGGAGGACACGATCGATGTATCGTACTTCGCATAGTGTGTTCTCAAGCCTCGCGTCTTTGGGGATGTCTCTGAAGGGGTTGCAGCGCTCGAGAAAAGCTCTCCCCACGCGGGCGTTGGAGTCGCTGAGGGGTTTAAGGTTGATTATCCCTGTGATTTGGGGGTTGCGGGCCTTGAAGGCGTTGAGAAAGCCTCGGATTGCACTCATGATGCATTTTCTGGCCGGACTGAGGGGGGTTAAAAAGAGGGAATGATTTTTGAGGCACAGAGTGAGAAATGGAAAATGGGAAAATTCTTGTTTTTAAAACCCCCAAAGTTGAGAAAAGCTGGGCGCTGCGAGTGATCCTTGTTCCTCCCGTGTTGCTCCGCTTGGCCGTCTCACAGCGAGGCCTTTCACTGACATTCGGACAATGCCGTGTGCTTTGACCAGCCCAGTATAGAAGCGGTGTATTAAAAGTTTTTCACTGTTATTATTAACCAGGACACTCATTATATCCAGTTTCTCTTCCGACAATATTTAAAAACCGCAATGTTCTGTGCAAAAGTCTCAACTCCAACATCTCAAAATCTTGATTGATCGGCGTCACATGTAACCAATTCTGTCCTCCCACCCGCGGGAACGAATCAAGCTCATCGCCACCGCGCCCGATTCTCCTCTTCGTACAAACGATGTGAATACCCGTTCCATTCATCATGCAGAGCGCGAGCATCAATGCTACTGCGCGTCCCTTGCCCAGGCAGTCGACGAGCTTGGAATGAGAGAGACTGGTGATCCAGCCAACCCTCAATGCGACCGTCGCCAAGAAACTCCATCCAACCTTGGTTGCGATCCCCGTAAATTACAGGTCCCTGATCTTCACGACCCCGCCATTTGAACCACACGCGATCATGCGATGAGCGCATGGGTCGTTCTTCAATGAGGAGTACGCCTTCGTAGACGCCGAGGTTGAATCTTCCCCAGAGTCGATTACCAGCGATGGTGAGGGTCAATTGGAATTCGTCAGGATCAAAATCCCATTGTTTGGTCACATCGCGCGATTCAACTTCGTAATCACCGTTCAAGAGACCCAAGGGTGCAAGGTTGACCTCGTCAACGTCATCGCTGCCGTTGTTCTCATCCGAGGAGTAAACTTGATATGGAAATTCCGAGTTTGGGGGTGGAGCATCGTTGGACGGAGCGGGTATTCGTCCCCGGGCCGCAAAAGAGCCGCCGCGTCGAGCAGTCTGAGGCGTTGCGAATCTGGGAGGTTCGGGAGAAGGGTCTCTTGGTGTCTGTCGGCTTCGGCCAGTTGACCACCGCGAACCGTTTCCTCGGGGTGCAGTCTGCTTAGTTCGTGGTTTTACTGGCTCTGGTGCAGCAGTGCTTGCGACTCTGCCAGCGGATTGAGTTGCACCGCCTCTGACGCAGCGTGCAGTCTGGAGCTCGCGGGCTGGTGTCGGTGCGGGGCCCGTTTCAGGGTCCTTTGCCGCTGTCGTTGCCGTGTTTTTAGTGGGTGCTTTAGCTGGTGTCTTCGCTGGCGCTTTTGCCTTTGGTGTCGCAGTCTTGGGTGTAACGGTCTTTGGCTTTTTGGCTGTCGCGTTACATTCGTCGTCGTCTGCCTTTCTTTTGGCACTCGCGGCAGTCGGTTTCTTCGTCTTAGCCTTGACGGGTGTCGCTTGCGCAACAGGTTTGCTCGTCGCACCCTTCTTCGCCTCGCGATCGTTCTTTGTCCATTCCTTCTTCAATTTGGTCTCGAGTTTGCTCACGTTAGCTGGAACTTTGAGATTACCTGCATTAACAGCGTCAAACAATCGCATGCGCGCGACAGACTTGGTCTTGGAGGGCGGGAGACCATAGTGAATGAGTTGGGCCTCAAACCAGTGTGCGGGGTGATCTTTGTCGTTGCCAGACGTGAAATGCTCCTTGAGCTCGGTTGCCGTGGCACGCCGATGACGGTTCTGGCCAGAGGATTGGGCGAAAAATACACCGTCGGCAAATGCAAAGCCATCTTGGGCGACGGGAGGAGCTCCAGGCCATGCGTTGGCCTCAGATGCCTTGGACATGATGTTGTAAGTGGTAGGTGGCCCAAGTTATGATTTGTTCCCTGGGTGACAAGTGGTTTAATGAGGCCTGACAAGCGAGAAATGATGCTATCGTCATTGCCTCACGTGCCCAGCTTAATGCTAATTCCTAATGCATGCTTATGTTTGCACTGGATTTATGCTGCAGGCCATTCACGTTTTCTTTGACGGCTGTGGCAAGCACTGGCAGTCCAAATACTTCCTGCTAACAAACTATCGACCCAAAATGTAAGGCGGATAAAATGGAAGTAACAGCTTCAGCGAACTGAATATCGCAAACACATAAATATGTCGATAAATTCACATGGACTTGAAATTCTATATAAGAAATAATCTATGTTCTACCGCCATAATCTATCTTCCAAAACACACACAATCTATATGCTACTTTCCGGACCTCGAACCAAATGCAAAGACGTCTATGAAATGAAACACCTCCAGCGAAAGGAACTTGCCCTCAAACTTCTTAGAACTCATCGGGAGCTCCCTCAAAGATCCCAAAGCCCTTGTTCAGCAAGTCATCATCCCGACGAAAGTTACAAGACTCCTTAACAGCATCCGTCCACAGATCCTTACCACCCTGCGTCTTAGACGCCAACTTCACACCCTTCGAAACAGTCCTAGCAGCAGTAGCAACAGGCCCAACACCAGGAATAGCATACGTGCTCGCAAAAACAGCCTCCTTCATAACATTCACCATGATCTCACACGTAACACTTCCAATTTCTCTAAACCCCTTGTCAAAACCTCTAGCCGTGAAATCAACAGTAGCTGTAGCGAGGAAATCCGCTGCTGAAGTGTCGCATTGACATTTTCCGATTGCATAGCGTTCACCGTCGGGGTTGGCGCCTAGCATGTCGTTTGTGAATTTGCTGAGGTGTACGGTGGTGCAGATCTTGGTGCGGTCGTTTTTGCAGTAGACACCGCATGCCCATGCGCCATCGCGGGGAGATGGGTCGAGGTAGAAGAGGCAGAGGCCTTGTCTTGCGAATGCGCCGTTTTGGCGGTGATAGTCGTCCCAGGACTTGTCTTGGTTTTGACGCCTGGTCAGGGAGGAGTCTTCATGAGTGGGCAGGGCAGCACCGGTCACCAAAGGGACCAGGGTGGCGGCGAAGGTAAGAAGAGCGTTGAAGGCAACCATCTTGAGTGTGAAACTGAGGTAGAAGGGATTCGTGGTGACTGCTGTTTGAGGAGAATATTGTATTGATCTGAGTGTTGGTCTGATAGTTGTGAGTGATTATGAGGATATAGTTCGTTTCTCGAGCGCCTCGACACTGTATTTTATAACATTTACATATTCTCAGGCTAGTTATCTAGTAGGCGCAGTCCTCGAAGCTGACATAGAAGCTATCACCGAACCACGATGAGCTTACTGAGAATATCTTCAACCCTTGCGATCACATAAGGCGAGATCCTCTGCCAAGGCCTAAGTGCTTAGTACTTGACTTCTCACTGCCCCAAAATCCTTGTCTCCAATTCGCTGCAGAACGAATTTATAAGGAAGATCCAGTTCTTTCTCTTGGCTTTTGGATTATCCTGGCCGTGTAAAAGTGCGATTGGCTTATCAACTGTATGTTTAGCTGTAATGAACTTCCTGTTCTGAAATGTCTCTGATCGAAGCAGCGAAACAGTGTATTACATGGCGGTGCTTTTGGTTATCCAATCGTGATATAGCCGCTCTGACAGGATATGTCTATTAATACTTCATAAGATGACCTATGACTGAAAATGGAAGCAACTGCCCTGGATCTGCTACTCGCATAGTGGGATAAAGGAATGACGGCGACACCCATGTGGTGAATATGCAGAACCAGGCAAACCCAATTATCCAGCGTAATGGCCTTGGGAGGGGAATATCCACGGCTGCAGCTTGCACCGCGTCCTCAAACATGATAGCCAGCGGTTGTAGAAGGAAATATGTCTCCATTTCATACCGCTCTCCGGACTCAAGACGGTAGAAGTAATGAACGCAGCGGTGCATAAGTCCCGAAGCGAAGAATGCTAATGTCAGGCGTAAATATCGTGACAGCAGCGTCCCGCGACGGAGCTTGAGAACTTTATCTGGAATGAAGTCTCCCCAGCCAGCTAGAGCCTTGCGGAAAAGCCGATGCCAAAATGTTCTGGATGTTATTTAGTACATTTACCAGCAGGGCTTTTGAGAGTATCACTTACCCCCAGAACGTTCGGACAGTGGACCATGAACTTATTGGCCCGTTGAGATGCGGCCAATCCTCTGGCTTGCACACACCAAGTACAACAGATACCGCAGCCACAAAATTATGGGCCAATCGTACCGACACATAGCCAATGACCCAATTCCCAAGGGAACTAGCAAAGCGAAAGATTATGTCTTCCCGAGTTAGGCTCGTTAGGTTGAACAATGACTGCTTTTCTCTCGTGATCAAGTGCTTCTCCGGACGCGGCGCGAGAAAGATAGCATCCAAGACAAGATAACAGCAAATACATTGGACAAGTCTCGTTGTAATAAACCTCACAGAATTTGTCGGGACTCGGTGCTTCATCGAAACCTCCCCTCGCAAGCCAACACGCCGTAGGTTAAAGTACATGCTCACAGCACGAAGGAAATGGGCGACAGTGCTTAAATGGCGGTCAGACTGTCTTTCCTTCACCGTGAGGACGTCATCGGCATCGTAGCGCGATAGAAGAATCTGCTCGGTGGCATTGGCGTAGAGTCCCCAGCTGAACAGAGATATGCCTGCTATTTGGGCTGGAGGCAAGGACGATGTCAAAAGGGACGTGTACAAGGAGTGCTGCAGACAGCTCAGAGCCACCGCTGCACCGAGTCTGCCGAGTATTGCATTTCTAGGGATGAAGAAAATGGTGCTTGCGAAACAGGCGAGAATGCTGCAGCCGAGAGCGACGATCTGAGACGTTGAGGTTTGCTCTAGGCCGTCCATCGCGGAATTAGGATGAGGTGACCACTCGGATTGCGTAGGATCGAAAGTTGAGGAAAAAGAAGAGACAATCACAACAGATAATGCTTGCGCGGATGGCGCGGTATATGAACGAGATTAAACGAGGTTTCAAGGTTCAGCAACTGCCGTGTTTCAATGCAGCCCAACGCCGTTGGGACTAGCTGAGCCAGGGGTCAGCTGCTACCGCTGTTTGGGCTGCAGGCTGCAGGCGTCAGGTCAGAGCACACAGCAGCAGTGTGCCGTGTAAGGTCAATGGATTCGGAAGCCGTGGCTCCATATGGTTAGACACGGTTGATGAAGTACAGATCAATGGTATTTAGTTCTGAAGGAGTTCTAGACTGTCATCATTAATTATACCCCATATCTAGGAACATGTGTTGCTCCATCAAAGGTGAGCTGCTGATGTTTGTTGCCACGATGCACAAAAGCAAAGCACGCATATCTAGCGCCTTCACCTTCCATAATCTATTTCTCGTAACACATTATTCAGCCTCCAGTATCCTTCCGGCCACATAGGCCCTCTAGCTGGAACCTCGCCCCGTAGGATAGAACCAACAGGGACTTCCACTCCATAAAAGTCCTCATTTGCCTTATCTCTCGTCGTGATAACAGTCCCATCTATCTGCGCACCAACATACAGCCCCCTACTCTTCACATAACTCCATATAGGCTCAGCAGCCCCGTCGCTATTAACAGCTGAATCAACATACACGCCTGTACCAACTGGTCCAGCAGTGACAGCGACCTCGCCGCCGAAGGAGACTCTCGGTTTGGTGAACGCAGCTACGGCTTCCGGGGTCCGCAGGACGCACACGCAGTCGAATATGTCCATGGCAACCATGAAGCCAACGCTGAGGGTGTTGACGGCAAAAGAAGATGGCGGTGACCATGACCCATCGGGCTGTCGTGCTACAACAATGCCTGAACCACTACCCCAGGTGAATTGTGCGCCAGAGCGAAATGCGGTGAAGATGGCAAGACCTGCAGCTGACCTGAGGACCTGTCGTGGAATGGTGACTAGTGCCTTTCGTCTTGATAATGATTCGTTTGGCGGAAGTGGCGTTCCCTCTGCAGTCAATGTTAGTCTATCAACGCCTCTCGTGCATCATCCACACATACCACAGAAAGATGTCAGTATTCGTGCTGCTTTCTCACACTCCTTTTCTACAGTGGTGGGCATGAATGCCTCGCACCCGAGCTTGTTCGCGAAATCATTCACGGGGCCAGCGATCTTGGCGCTGAGGACGTGAAGACGATTGGCAAAGCCTGACTTGCGGTTTATTTGCTGTGATGTAGATTGCTCTTGGGTCGGTGTACTGTTTGCGGAGTATGCTGGCGGTGGAGGAAAGTAAAGATTCTTGAAGTCGTATCCTGCAGGGCGAGTATTGTGGGGTTCATCAGCGGGAAGCTCGAAGATATTATTATTATAAGATCCCATGACTGCCATAATGAGAGGGTGAAGTCTTTTGATGAGTTTCAGAATGCAGCTGAGGAGAAAAACTTAAATTTGGTACAGATGAGTCCATCGAGTTTTTGCTATAAGTTCTCAACAGCGGACGGGGAAGGAGATGAACATAAATATTCAAGTCAATTAGAGTCGTGTACGATATCTTCGCATTCTTTGGGCGCAATCGCACATCATCGGGTGCCGCGGGGCCTGTGCGAGGCTGTACATGGTAGGAGTTTTGGGTATCCGAGATTCCGAACGGCCATATATGAGCCACCGTAGCAGCGCTATGTTTCAAAGAGTGAAAGAAGCATGACCTAGCCACTCAAAAACTCAGAAACACTGTGAGCGATGCTAGGGGAGAAAATAAAACTCAGGACCTTGACCATAAGTAATGAAAATACTTAGGTCAACTTAGCCTAAGTTTAGGTTTCTCTTTGCCAAGTTTATTTTGACACCCTATATCAAGGTTCGGTATTTTCTTACCCCCTAAGGCGATGCTACTGTTCGTCAGCGGAACGTGCAAAGCAGATGGCCATGTCTGGGATGTCCGCGGGGTCCGAAGAAGCAGCCAGACCCCTGCAAATTACAGGGATTCTGGTATGGACAAACGTAGGGTAAGTTGACGATACTCCGATCCGGGACATAAGATACTTGTTGTTTCGCAATACCCTAGGGCTTACGGCAAGATTTATTAGTTCTTGTAAAAGCTTCTCTGTAAAAGCTTATATCAGGGGAATAATTATTATATTATCATTCATCACCTATATTCGTCGCCTAAAGCTTAATCTTATAGGCCGCAGTCGTCACATAGCTGTTGTTTTCTCTGGTGGCTCATGTACAAAGCCTGTTACTAATGGACACTGCAATTGCCTGATTTTCGTTGTCGTCCAATCGAGCTCTTACTGTCCAGTGACAGCACTCATTCCTTGATCCTATTTGGGATACTTAGAAAGGACACGCGGTATCCGCCGATGTTGTGGTTGAAATGTACGGTCCCACCATCACAATGTTCATAAAGCTCAAGCTTACAAGATGCCACAGCATCTAAGCAAAAGATATATGGCACCATTCCTGAGGAGCGAGAATAAGAGAAGTGGCTCACACTAGCTAGCTACCCTTGAACCTTTGAAGGACTTACTCCGGCCAAGCGATTAGCAGAACTTAATACAACATGCATATATAATAAACCAATTTTGACCTGTTAAAGACACAAGTGGAGAACTAGCCAGTAAGGCTTTAGTTTGAAAAGGATTATATCTTACGCCCTTTTTTAAATAACTCTACTTATCCCGTTCCATTCAGGGGCTACATTAGCTCATATCCCCAACGTCATGGAGTGGCGTCTGCGACTGAAGAATAACAGGAGTCAACGAGCTATACGCACATAATAGAATCTAGCCTAGGCTCGCTAGCTTGGAGGACTAGATCCCACAAGGCTGAAAGAGTATTGCAGTCTTAGAACCTGGAAGACTGCTAACTAATTTACTCTTGTGTTTGAGAAGGTATTATGTCTATACCTAATCAAAATAAGGTTTCTAATCAAAAGTAGAATAATATGCTTTTGTGATAACTCTGTGATAAAGTTGAGAGGCTGAAAGAAGCTTCAGCCTCCGGGGCACCAAAGTAAAAGAAATACCAATATTATGACTCTATGGGCAAACTTATTAGCAGCTGCTGGGTGGGGTATAAAGAGCCGTCCTGTCCCTCATTGCTAGAAGTTGCCAATTTAACCTCTGTCAATATCAAACAACCAGACTTCACACATCATTCTACTACCTCTCAACATGAAGATTAGCTTTTTCCCACTCGCTCTCGTCGCTGCCCTAGCTGGCATTGGAGAGGCGGGAACCTGCACGGCTGGATTTCTATATTGCGGCCAAAGCCTCCTTAACATTGGTGAGTCTATTGCCTCCTTTGCCTCAGTCTAGGTCACCTCTAACAAGTCGTATCTTAGATCCCTTCAAATATTTCTCCAGGATCACTAAGGAACTCACCCGCGCGACCCACGAAACATGGTTCACAGCGCACAACATCTCGGATGCCATCTTCCTGTGCCGTCACGAGCCCGAAGGACAATATCATGAAGGAAACATTCGGTTGTACATGCACTGCGGTGGTTATTGCCGGTACGAAACCGTTGGACACAACGATACCTGTCACTAGTAAGTGTGGCACGCACAGCAGAGGGTCACATAAGAGGGGGTTAAAATAGCTTTGATTCTATCATAGGATGGGGGAAGCGGAACTCTGTATATACATATGGAGCATCTGATCCTCGTCAAGGAAGCTAGGCCAATCAGGGCTACACTATCTTTTAACAGTAAGGCCTCTTTTATCTGCTGGAATTTGGGGTTCGTGATGTATGTTGAAGTAATTATTTAAGCCAAGGCTCAGCTAAAATGTCGGTTGGTGTGGCCCTAAGCGATGGCTCAAATTTCATCAGTCGAGCAATCAACTTTGCCATAGCCCTAATTTCCTCCCTTGTGAACTCTGGATGTTTGTCGTTATCGAAATAAACCTCTTCCATCCAACTTTGCAATGTCCAATTATCCTCATCATACACTGCTTCACTTTCCATTTCTCGCCACTTTACTTTCCATCTTGATGGCAGCTCATCATCTATGAGCTCTATCATTTGTTGAACCAAAATTGGGGGAGTTGACATCACAGCGTCAAACGGGGGCTGCCCAGTCACCAGCTCGAAGATCTGTACCTCTTAGCAGATGCAATATTCTTTTCCAGGTAGTGTTTACTAAACATCCTGCGCTCCATAAATCTACTCGATTATCGAGACGGTCTCCGAACACAATCTCTGGTGCGCGCACTGGAGGCGGGGTACCCAGTGTTTTAGGTGCATCAAAGTTGAAGAAGGCTTCGCCAAAGTCAATTATCTTGATCGACGGTGATGAAAGTAGACTTTGGATGTCCTTGTTTCTGAAGGATGACGATCGGACAATGTGTGTCGGTACATTCGATGACAAGGGCTTGCCATCTTGCCTCGTGACTAAGCCCATCTCGAGCTCACCAAGTCTGGCGATGAAATCTCTTTCGCTGAGTGAATGCAGTCCTGGAATTTTCAGAGCAATATTTCTGAGGTGAAGGTCTAAGTGAGAGTTCAGTATTTCTGCCTCTTACGAACTGAGTGTGGATCTCTTACCTCCATGTCTGATGCCGTTGGAAGCAAGATAATCGAGACCTTTCAACACCTGCCTCGAGATCGACCTTGCAGTGCGAGACGGCAGTCTATCCTCACCACAGTAGTTTTCAATGACATCTGAAACATTAGGCCCAATAAGCTCCAAGACCAAACAATTGTGTGAGCCATTAGGGCCAACCACACTGAAATGGTCCAGCATCTGGTTCACGTAAGACGACTCAGCGTGAAATCTTGGTGAAGCAGCAAGCTTTTGCAAAATCTCGATCTCTTTACTTCTTTTCGCTTCAGCCACTGAGATCTTGAGTGCGACATAGCGATCATGCCTGGCAAATAATCAGTAAGAACCGGCATACGCGTTACACAAACATACAGCTGGTCCTTGGCAGCCCAAGTGGTCGAATAGCTGCCCCAGCCAAGCTTATGAAGGACCATGTACCGCCCATTGCTGAGGGAATCGCCTAATACAACTGGATGGTAGCCACCTGGTCGATAGCGGTGCAATGGCTCAGCGTTGACACCACATTTGTACTCTTGTCCTGGTCTTTGACCGCCGTGATATTGACGTACGTGGGGTCGTTGAAAGAACACAGCAGCAATTGATGGAACCAAGATCTTTGCCCGCGCCGCCCTGAAAAGGTTCACACTGACCATCGCTAATAACGATATGAATATCTTTCCCGCTGCATTCGAGATGATCAGCGAAACCTGGAAGCTTCTGACGTCGAATCATCTAGTCACTCCAGGTTAAGTTCTCAATCACACTCGGATGATGCGGCACACTTAATCCCTGTCCGCCCAGCCCGCACCCGATATTTTTAGAACCTCGCCCAGAGTCGCCCAAAAATAAGGTTGCAGCTCAAATAACGTACCAAAAGCTTGGCAGAATCCTTAAATGTGATCAAGAATCATCTACAAGATTGTTTCATCTGTAATTCATGACGCTGATTCAGCTGGTCTAGGGGCAAGTGAACAGGATTTTCACCCCTGTCTGACCTGACAGCGAAGCACAAATGACGTCAGGGCGTGGTCTAGAGCTTTAGGTCCTGCATCAGAGCTGCACTGCACCTCAAACTGTCGTCGGGCCATTCACCCTCGCAAACCCCGCAGAGCTTCACCCTCAGCTGCATCGTCATCATTATTTATTCGACACCTTCCTCTCTTGGCTTTCAATTCTTTTCCTCCCTTTCCTCTCATTCCACCCGCCAAAATGGATAACATGGCTTCTCTCAAAGACACTCTTACAGCCTCTGGAGGCGCGGAATCTGCCGGTACCTACTCCCCACCACTCCTCATGACGTCTCGAATTATCCCGCTAACTTACCCAGGATTCCTCAACGACATTGTCGCCCAGCTGTGGCCCAACATCAACGTCGCAGGCGGCAAGATCATCAAAGATGTCGTCGAGCCTATGCTTGACCAGATGCTGCCAGGTCCTCTCGCGAACCTCCGCTTCGTCAAGCTGGACTTTGGACCTACCCCCATCAGATTCTCAAATGTTGACGTGCACAAGACCGAACTCGAGGGCATCAAACTTGATATGGACTTGGATTGGGACGGCCAGTGCGATTTCGAGCTTGACGCGTCGATGGTGCCCAAGATTGTAAGCTGCGGCGTGGCTGGCCTCAATATTATGCGTTGCTGATTATTGGTGTCACAGGGTATCGAGCATGTGAAGATGAAGGGACGACTCTCCATTTTGCTTTGTCCTTTGACAAATGTTATTCCACTGGTATGAAGCTTCGACCTCGTCACAATATTCAGCGCTGACATGATCCACAGATCGGAGCTGCTCAGGTAGCTTTCATCAACCCTCCCGAGCTATCCCTCGACTTCACCGACGCCGCCAACATCGCCGACTTCTCCCTAATCGACAAGACCGTCCGCAAGGTCATCCTCAACATCATCTCCTCCATGGCCGTCCTCCCCAACCGCTTCCTCGTCAAACTCGACTCCTCCAACGATTACTTCAAGACCTTCCAGCCCCACCACGGTGTTCTTCGCCTCACAGTCGATAACGCCACTGAGATTACTGGCGAGAAGAAGAGCGGCGCCAAGAGACTGCTCCAGAAGCTCGTCAAGGATATTCCCGACTGCTACTGTGATGTCAGCGTCGGTGCTGAGGGAGAGTGGCGAACTTCGACTATTAAGAATAAACACGACCCTCAGTGGAACGAGACTCACGACTTTCTCGTTACAGATTACGAGCAGCGCATCACTATTGATGTGAACGATGAGGATCTTGGTGGTGACGATGATATTGGTATTGCTACAACGACCGTCAAGCAACTTCTCTTGAACGGCGGTAGCCAAACTCTCACCCTATCTCACAAGGGCCAGCCCCTTGAGACCAAGGTGACTATCCACGGCAAGTTCTTCAACTTCGTCGGCGAATCCAACAGTATCTCTGCCAGCAGCCAAAACGAGGGCGAAATCTGCGGTCTTGCCACCGTCCTCATCGCCAGCGTTAATGGCCTCAACGGTCAACGCGATGAGCTCAAGCCCAGCGTCAAGGTGACCTGGAGCGACAAGGAATTCGTCACTCCCGTCAAGAGCTACAGCCCTGGAACGGATATCTTCAACCCATCTTTCGACACGGCGTTCCGATTCCCTATCACCGCGGAACAGCTTTCTAACCCGCAGAGCTTCAAGCTTAGCTTGCAGAATGGTACGAGCGAGCAGGGATCGGTCGATATTCCTTTTGATAGCGTGACGGGCGCTGATGGTATGAACCGTGAGGAGGAGTTTGATGTTGGGTCTGGTGCTACCGTCCGAGCTCGCTTTTCGATCCGTGGACTGCAGCTCGCTGAATGATCCAGGATGGAAAATACGGACGAGCTCCCCGCAGCATGTTGCGTGACGCATGCATCAGTATGAATTAGCAAGCAATAAATTGTTTGTTTTAAATCATCTGCGATTATGGAATGAGGGAGAGATCACACATATCGCAGCCTCCTTTGTTACTGCTACATCTAGACTACAGTGCCTGGCCTATGCCGCGAAGCAAACATGGGTCCCAAGTTATACAACGTGGGGCAACTCTCATTTGAACGAAGAGCAGCTTCGTTGTGAAGCTAGCATTTTCATGGATACTAGCCACATATAGTCCGTAAAACGTAAGCCGACCAAGAGATTCCCTAGGTTTTATCATAAAACCTTTATGATATAAGTCCTAAGGCTTTATGGCTTTAGGTAAATTCTACTCAAGCCTTAGTTAAACCAAATAAAGTTCAAATTTGCTAACTAAAGGAGTGGAATCTGGCTATTTAATGACAGTCTGGAGCCAGCACAAGTTTCAAAGCCACAGATAAGACGACACATATCTCGTAACCTCCCTCCACATCCCCTAGAAAACTGTAGTTTCTGGCCACCGAGTCTTCAATACCTTGCCCAGGTAAACTCCAACTATCAATGAGAGTTTCCTGTCATCCCCACATTTGCTAAAAGCAGAAATTGGCCCAGAAGATCAGATGAACCATTGAGCCCGGAGGGAACACTGTCTCCGATCTTCTCGTGATCTGCATCAGTCTCAAATCCGTAGGCTCGAACAGGCTCCCGCATGGTCTCGTCAAAGCTTTCAAGGTCCTTGACCTGCAATTTGAGGAGCTTAGTGGCTGCCTCAAGTGTGACGTCAATCCCCATGTTGGCTAGTTTGGTGGCATATTCCTCCGCATCAAGGTTGAGGAGATAGTCTTTGTACTGAGATATTCCGTTCGAACTTGTCGAGTTTATGGTGCTGAGGGAAGTAGTGTTGGACTCGTGATCTTGATCATCTGGTTAGCATGAACAAGGGTAAAGACTACAGGCACTTACAAGGCGAGATATTCTCCATCATTCGATTGAACTTTGGAAATGCGATGCGGTAGATATCGAACCATCGGTCTTCCTCACTTTCTTTCGATGACTTCCTCTTGAGGGAGCGGAGTCGAGCTGCTTGCTCTCTACTCAACATGCCATGAATTGCCTCTGGCTTCCTTTTGGGGCATGGTGTCTCTTGATGCTGATGATCCAGGAGGAGCTCGTCTGTTTCGAAGCTGGTGTCGCATCGACGGCAGGTGTGTTTACCTCTGTACTTCTTTGGGAGATGGCAGCGGAAAAGATGTTCTCTAATCTAAGGTTAGCGTATGTTTCCTAAATTTAGGTATTCAAGTAAACACATGTAAACTTAGGTAAAATTTGAACAAGTTAGTTGAGATTAGACGAGATGACGTACTTGACTTTGTTTACATCAATCCATCCAGGACCTTCGCAAGCTCGATGGTGGACCGAGACCAGTATACCTGCTTTGTGATAGGGGCATGCAAAGCGAGGCTTAAAACTGATTTGCGCACTAGTATCGCTCTGGGTTGTTACGTTGGTATAATGTGTGGCATCGACCGTTCGGTCGAGTCGTTGCCTGGCATGCTGAGTGTGGACCTGAGACCACGAAGTCGTTAGCGAATTATCGCTTGACTAATGATATGGAGTATCCATATGGAAAAGCCTAGCTTGATATGTGTGAGTTCGTTACTTAACGAATAATACGGATATCCAAAGAAAGCGTTTAGCTGGTTATGTGTGAGTTAGCACAGAAAGTGGCTGCCGTACCATTTCTACGTTACTGTTAAGACGAGATTCAGAATAGGCCGGGTCGTTTTCCAACTTGAGGCACATTTGGGTCAGGGCGTCGAGGACTTCCCCAGCTGACATTCTTTCGCTCACGTTGATTTTGAGCATCCCCTCAAGGACGATATAGAGCATGTCATCCATGAAGAGGGATGATCGAGAGCTCATACGAAGGGATATCATCAACTATAGTTTAAGGTTAGAGCTTGTGCGGCCAGGCGCAAAAGGACGGAGGACTAACCCTTTGGATCTCAGGCTTGAGTTTCGCCGAAAGTCCGCCTCTATTGTTGAAGTCGTACTTCACATAAAAGAAGGCATCTCGATTAGGACTGTTGCTTTCTTCATCGAGTCGAGCGTCGATCAGCTTCGCGATACCATTTCTGCCTTCGTAGAACCAAGCAATGACTTCAGCAAAGACACAACCAAGACTCCAGACATCGTAGGCCTGCGTAATGCCCACAGTCGTGAAATCGATCTCCGGGGCGCGATAGGCTGGCGTGTGTTTGAGACCCTTGGGGATGTCTCTCTCGCCGGGAGTGCAGAAGTATGAAGACCCAAAGTCCGTGAGCGCGAGTCGCATCGGTCTATCACCATCATTGGAACCAAAGCAGAGGATGTTCTCTGGCTTGATATCCCCATGGACCCCATAGACTGTTTTAGCTTGCCCTTTTTGTCCATGGATGGTAGACAAAGCATCCGCAAGTCCTCTCAATTGACCACCGAACCACTCAAGGGTGCGTTTGTCGTTGGATGGTTTGGGTTGGTTTCGCAAATACATAGCAAGATCGCAGTCAGCCAACGGGAAGACCATGTGATATTTGCTTTCCATCAAATAGGAAGCAAGAAGGGGGACGATGTGTGGATGAGGGTTCTGCGCAAGGCTCAGTCTTCGATAAGCGTCTCGTTCGCGTGCGTAGTCCTGGCTAGTTCCGTTGCAGATCTTCTTCAAAGCGAAGGCATGTTCTTCCTTCCCTTCAGCTGCATATTCATGCACAAGTCCCGAATGGAATTGGACTCGAAACACTTGTGACGTCCCGCCACATTTGATGGATACAGCCTCGTCGAAAACGGATCTGGAAGAGCTTCCGAAATCGTAGAACATCGGAGCTTCTAGGTCGCCAGCAAGAGTTACGAAATCACGCGCATCGTTCATCCAAGAGGTCGTGTGACATGGCCGTCCGCTCGTTTCATCTCTCCCGGTAAGGGCCCAAGGCGGTGTTTGAAGTGTACCATGAGTTGACCCGTGTGACAAAACAGTCTCCATATCAAAACGGTGTCTTTCTCGTGGCTCCCTGAGATCACCAGCCTGTTTGACAGCTCCCTCATTAACGGCGGTATCGCTAATCCTTTGGCCTTCAAAACTCCCAACAGTCTCGATGTCCTCTAAGGGAGCCCAAGAGATTTCAAAAACTCGACGACACTCATCGTGCTTAGGGCGCAGTTTGAACTTAAGATAAATGAAAGCCGCCGAAGGCCCATCCACGGTTTCCATGGCAGCCGTAGGAGAGGAAACAAACCTAGGTTTCTCCATGATGTATATGGGTAATCCACTGGCGGGAGGTTTGCTTGGGAAGAAAGTTTGCAAATAGTTCGTTAACCTACCAAAGGGGGGACGTCGTCAAGAAACGTCTCGGAGTGAAGATATTGATCCCAATCAGTATGCCAGTAGTTATCTGAAGCGAACAGTCCCATTGGTGTTCGCGAGATGCTGGCTTAAAAGTGTCAACAGCGATCAGAATCGGGTGTTGCTTGGTAGCATCACCCAATGTTTGTTTGAGTTCTAGAGGATGGTCACTATGCCCGTGTTGCAAAGGTAGAACGACGGGGAGCGTTGGGGAGTGTACGAACTGTCTGAGTAGTATTTAGGTCGTGAATGAAGAGCCAGAGCCGTTGTTTATGCTCAATGAGCTGAAGATATGGTGTTTGGTGGAATTGCTAACAGGTTGCAAATTGGTTGGGAGGTGGAAGGAGTCTGTCCAAAATTTCTCGAGGACTTTTATGAAGAGTAAAGGACGAGGATGCGAAGTTCTGTCTTGCTGAATGGCATCTGAGATATCAGCAGGATGGTTTAGCGCGTATGAGCTCTGCGCATATGCGCGGATCTCGACACATCCTACTGGCTGCATGGTGTTGTGGCTTGGTCATTTTCAACCCCCATGCAGATTCTCAAACAACCGTATTCATCACATCAGTGACCAACCATCTTGCTCGTGAGCCATCATTTGCGCTGAGGCTGATTATGAGTGGCGCAGCACAATCAGGCTCTCCGATCGCTTTTGCATTCGCGCGCCCAAATCAACCTCTGGACCGACTTTCTTCATCAACATCTTTGCACTCTGACAGTAACATTCTTACGAAATCAAAAGGCATTCACTTCTAATTCGTCCTCTAGTCTGGCGTTACTAGCATGGATAGAAAAGGCCCCATCGGCAGGGAGCCTTACGAGATCTTTCGAGAGGCGTGCCATGAGTTTCGAAGTTCACTAACCGAGAAGGACAAGGCACTATTCAAGGAATTTTCCGATGCAAAGTCAATGCTGGCAACTATCACAGAGGATGCGAAATCTCACCCTGTGCATTCCTCAACACTTACTCGATGCTGCAAAGGAATCAACAGCATTGCCAACCGCTTGTCGCCATTTTTCGACATCGCCAGTCTATTTGTATCATCTCACCCAGAGTTTGCAGCCCTCGCATGGGGATCAATACGACTTGTCTTTGTTGTGAGTCTTGGACAGCTTGCTGGATCTGGACTGGTATCCGCTAATTGTCTCTCTTCTTCAGTTAGGCTCTAATCACGCCAAGTTCTTGGAAAGGGTGTGCGGTATGTTCGAAAACATGAGCATGCTCCTGCCTGCGTATGAGGAATACGCATCAAGACTCCGCTCGCGGCTCACTGCGAATGGCCATGAAGGCAGCAACCGGATCTTCAAAACTTTGGCATACATATACGCCGATCTCATTCAATTCTGCTTCGAAATGTGCAAACTATTCACCAGGAAGCGCTCAAGTATGTCTCCCATAAACCAGCTTTTCAAACTCAGACCATATTAATACAATGGCACTCGCAGGGCTACTAATGCTTCACAGCTCGTTCTCATACTCCACGGTCTGGAGGCCTTTCGATATTCGATACGATGATCTCCTACAGAGATGGAAAGACCATCGTGAGATATTCGAGCTTGAAATGTCAATCACGGCGAATATCCAACAGTTTGAGACAGGCGACCGCGTGGGCGAGTTACTAAAAAGGGTTGACGGTGACTGGGGAGCTAAATCAACATATACCAGAGACCTGAAAGAGCTAGATATTGGTTGGTCCCTCTGGAAGGCTCGGTGACGAAAGTTTAACTTAATATCATCAGATTATCTTCTCATAAGGCTCAAATCTTGGATTGATCCTCCGGCATGGGCGTACGCTTTTGAGAACTCACAGCACAAGCGATCAGAAAGGACGACCGAGTGGTTTTTAGAACACTACAAAGTATCGCGCTGGTTATCTCAAGTCGCTCCTGAACGAACAATTTCTGCTTTATCGGTCCAAGGTAGGTCAATCAGCTGTATCATCAGCTTTTCCAAATCTGATGACGACGCAAGGCAAACCTGGGTACGGGAAAACCACACTATGTGCCACTCTCATTGAATATATCCAAACCTGTTATACGAGCTACTCAACATACGACTCAGTGGCAGTCGTATATTTCTTCTTCGATCGACAACGACAGGCTAACTCTACAGCGATGGCTGCACTCAGGGCTATTCTTGCCCAGCTCTTGCATATCTTCCGAAAGGATGAAGCGATCCTGGACATCATAACGCTGCTATGGGATCAGAATAAAACAGGGCAAGTGACTGCATCTGGTAGTGAGATCATATCAGCCCTTTGCCTACTCTCGTCTCGAATTTCCAAGCTTTTCATGGCTGTCGATGGGGTTGATGAGTGCCAAGATCACGAAGATCTTTTTGACTATCTGAAAGAGATATGCCGACATACAGACTCTGTTTCTGTTGCGATCTTCAGTCGCCCGAACCTGGCTATCCCCCAAGATTTGAGCTCCATGCTTCAACACCTTGATCTTACCTCGACAATGAACTTTGAATCACTTGAAACGTTCTTGCAGCCCAGGATTTATCGGCTGGCTCGAGATGGAGTGATATCTTCGGAGGAGAACAGAGACCAGGTGGTGAAACTACTTGCCAGTAGAGCCAACGGCATGTTCTTGTGGGCTCGACTTCTGGTAGCGTACCTCTAATCACCCAACCTCTCCATGAGACAACGTCGTGAAGCCCTCAAGGATCTAAATCGACTCCAGGGACTTGATGCACTATACCAGGAGATGCTACGGTCAATCGAACAAAGGACTTGGCAAGCGGCGAGGCTGAACATCACTAGGGCGTTTCAATTCGTCTCATATGCTCCCCGGCCTCTACATGTCAATGAGTTGGAGGTCGCGATCACAACACCACTATCAAGTGCCGTTGACGAATACGACACAATTCCAAACTTTGAGAAGGCCCTGTCAAAAATGTCCGGGGCACTCATTGAGCTTGATTCAGAGAGAAAAGCTAGATTCGTACATGTCTCAGTTCTCGAGTATTTGACCGACCAATTTCGTCAAGACCAGTCTCTAGATTCGGTATCACAACTCGTCAAGGAACGCTTCCTGGCGCAGCGGTCATGTGCATCCTGTTGTCTAGCATATCTGCTGTATAGCATACCAGCAGAGCCCTTAGGTGGCGGCCCACAAGTCATTGCGGACCGTGGCTTACAGAAGCTTCGATATCCTTTCCTGGAATATTCTGCGCAGTATTGGGATTACCATTTCTCTGAGTTTCTTCTCAAGCTACCGCAAGTATTGTCACAGGAGTGCGAGTTAGCTATCAAGCTCGCTTCTGACTTTGTTTCGGCCAAGAGAACACTCATGGCATGGATCGAAGCATGCTGTATCTTTGGTGAAGTCCCTCGAATATTGTCCAACTGGCCACAACAGGCCGATGGCTCCCCGTCTGCCGTTAGGATTCCCATTTCTATGTCAGAAAACACAGTATCTAACTTGGAAGATACGGTAAAGAGGCTACATCAATTGACTTTGGAGCTCGCAGACCTTAAAAAAGCATGGCAAGACATCCTTCTGGAGTCACCATTTGAGATCTGGGAACCCAGCATCGAAGCATTCCACAACACGTCACTATGGGAATCAGTTCCTGGTTCTGAGATTGTGGCTCGCTTGAGCAACAGCGATAGTGGGATTATAAATCCTATATGTCTCAAATCCCTTGTCAGTCCAGACGGTAAACGTCTTGGGGTCATAAGGCTATCCACGGATTCACGGTAAGCCTGTACCGACACGAATAATGGACATCCACTGATAAGTACTGAAGGGTTCATCGAGATGACATAGACTGGAAGATTACGTTCGAAGAATGGTCCGTTAATCCCTTTGAAAAAGTATTCGAAGCAGATATCGCCCTTACCAATTTGTCTCTCGCTCCATTTATCGAGTCGATGAAGTGTATAGACAAGGGCAATGACCATAGATTTCTCTTCGAGCTCCCTCTAGCAATCACACCTGATTTGAGCCGCATTGTGGCCCCTGGTTGTGTCACAACTATCAATAGAAACTCGGAATCCCTGTTAGCAAGGAAGAAGTCGCCACACATCCAACTACTCAATTTCACACTGACACCAGGCCCCATGGGCAACATGCCGTTCAAATTTCCAGTTCGTCAATTGAAAGACACATATGCTCTGTTTATCTCTGATTCGAAGGAGTTCATCATGACGATCCACCAGTCCAAGGAGCTTATTGATATCTACGAAACATGGAGTAGTAAACTTTGGGTAGCGACTGTGTACAGAAGATCACAGGAAAGGGCTGGACGCATCATCCAATTATCGCTATTTATCCTCACTATCCTTCAAGCCCTGCGATTGTGGGCTAGCATCGATCGAAGAGTTAATATTGCTACATCCCTTTCTCCCACTTGCAGCAATTGTACAACATGGCCCTCTATTGAAACGCGAGCCCGACTGAAGTATTACAGTTCACAGGTTAGATCATGTCATTTTGTGGGGGTTTTCTGCCACAGGTTTGTCACTTGTACAGCAACTTTTACCGCTTCTGATTTTTTGATCTAGGTAACGACGTTCTGGACAGTGTTCGTAGAGAGCATACAAGAATTGAATTTCCAGAGGATGGAGCATTCTTTTACGGGAAGAGACTTGTGCCTCATGGTTCAACGCAGAAGCAGGGTATAGTAACGACGAGGGAAGAAAGCAAGAGACGAGCATTTGATTCGAGCATGGCTGCCACGAGTAACTCGTCGGTGCAGAGCTTGAATACCATAATGAGAGCAACAGATGCCTCCGGGTTCCAAGTTCTTTCTTCGCTGGAGAAAGCAGGCGCTGGTGCAATTATAAGACAGACTCTACGAGAGGATGGTTTTATGGTCCGTCAGGAGATTTCCAAGCTGCCAAAGAGTCTTTTTAACATTGCGGATCCGACGATCATACCTCAGGAGCGGAACGTGGTACAGGTTGTGGTCAACCGAGCAAGTCGTGTTTTCGAACCTTACGAATTTCATATTGGCCAAACAAACACCGCAAGCGTGTCTTCCAGCGCAGGGCTACCCTTAGTTCTTGAACGGCAGGAAGAGACTATACCAACTTATATAGGCACAGGATCCTACTCGCTTGAGAACGGTATGAACTTCAAGGGTGAGAAGCGCGGGCTAGAAGGGCGACTTGATGAAGGAAAGGCACATAAACGACGGCTGCTATAATCTAGCAAAATATTGGATATGTCATACTGGTCATGACTATAAGCGAAAAGAAAGCTTACAGCTGGTGAATGCCCAATGATGATATATAGGTAAGAAATGAACCTCGCCATATGGGCATCAGGTTGCTGCCCATTGGGAATACTATCTGGAAAGGGCTGCACCAGGGGATATTAATAAACCGCTCCATAAGGATGGAACCAGGTCTCGGCATCATCGGGAGCACCGGTAATATCGGAAGTAGGGTAGAAGTGAAGGATGTATGCTTTTGCATGAGCTGAAGTCGTGCCGCCTTGGCATTATATCTTCATTGGTGGTTGGCTTGTCATTGTCACCCAGCCCTGGCTGTCTAAACCCTTGAATTTCCCTGTAGCTCACTGATTTAGCGGAATATTCCCGCCCCCGTTATGTGCTTTGTCACTTTGGTAACCAGAACCGAAATGGAACTGAGCGGTTATACTCAGAGTTTATACTTGGCGCGTCACAGGTAGCGGAATTTAATCCCATCAGACATCAGACCACCATGTGAGGCCCCCAAGCATAAAGATAAGGTTAATTCCCTCTGTGGAGTTTTAAGACTTTGTCTAATTACTTGACCATGTCCTCGCAGCGCTACACTTCATCATGGCTATTCAACGTCTAGTAGCTAGAAATGATCAGTTCAATGCCCACGACATCGGCCGTCAACTTCGCCGCGACGTGACGCCCGAGGAATGCTATCAATGCGGTACACCATACCTATAGCCTTGGTGTTCCACTCACATTGCTGACATGTTACAGAATCCGCTTATGGATATGTACGACAAATGCAACGGAACGAGAAGCTTTGCGCAGGCGATGCCTTTTACGACTTATACTCGATCTGCGTTGGATGTATCGAAGACAATATCGACTCGGGAAGTCCAAGAGACTATGTTGAACCAAATTTAGGCCGATACGTCGACTATTGTGCGCAGTTCACTTCCCTCACTAAATGGGCTGCAATGGGAGCTACTTCGGCGACTTCGGCCACTCTTCAGACTCGGAGTACAACCGCCGTTTCGGCTGAGGAAACAAATGGTGCAATTGCGACTGAAGCCAGCATTACAGATAGAACTACAGAGCAGACAGAGACATCGGTACCTGTTTCTAGCACCAGCGGTCAGTTTGAGCGACCCCAGTTTGATAGATAAAGCTCATACCATGTAGCTATGCCGCCAACGACAACGGGAGTAACCCAATCTGGAGGTTCAGCCATTGCGTCAAATACTCCTAAGAAAGATAGTAAGTAAGATTTATCCACCTATCTCCACAAGTCATACTGATATCCAGCAAGGCTCAAGTTCCAGTAAAGCGTGGATCGCTGGTGCTGTTGTCCCTTCTGTACTCTTTCTTGCTGCGGCTGTTGCATTAGCGATCTGGTGGCGGAAGCGACGAACCAGGACACAAAAAGTCCCCAAAACTCCTCATGTAGATGAGGTAGCGGGGACGTCGGGCTATGATAAGCCGGAACTTGATTCTCAGGGCATTGCGCGACCAATATGCAAAGAAGAGGCTATAAAGAGTACGAGTACAGCTGTGCATGATACTGTTATCTTACCAGTACCTGCTGAGATGCCTGAGAATGGTTTGAACATGGTAGAGCTTCATGGTGAAGCAACAGGAGCCACAGGACACAACCACGGCTCCGGGCCCTACTACGAACTTCCAGCCACTGGAGCCACGGTACATGAATTGCCTACAAAGCCATACCAATCATAAGCTAAAGCGTTACTATTCTCCTTTTCATATAGTCTGTATAAAGTTAATTCAAGTGCAGTTCGTTTGGAGTTGTTCTTAATCAAGATGGAAAGTTTATCGTGGCCTTTCGCTCTGAGCTTATTCTATATAAGTAGGTATCTATGCCCATTATCGAAATGCTAGGCTTCAAGGATTGGATAGAAGCCATACGTCACTCATATGACTCTATCCGTCCCAAGCGAGTCCTTTGTCCCTGCGATTCCACCGCGAAAAATCGAAATCCTTCGGACCAAGAGCCGATTTTCCGTCAACCTATGTACCTATGAGAGGGATTATCAACTCTAATAGGAAGCTCAAGTAGAAATAAAACGACAACACTGAGATTAAATTCAGGTCAGTACTATCTCTCTGCTTCCTATCGGGTAGCTGACTGACGCGTTTCTGTTTCAAGCAGGGAATGTTAAATGAGAGCATCGACTCCGCCACTCTAGTAAATTAAAGGATCCCAGTTTGTCAAGACAATAGAGCTAAAATTAGGAACAGATCTACCCGATTCGCATAACCGACGCACCAACAGTGTCGCATGTCGCAATTTGATCTTATCTTGAGGTGATGTAAGACATCGACACTGAGCACGAAATGAGACTGTAAATGTGGAAAGTCTTCCAATTACTTGAATGCTGGTTCAGTCAGCCTCGAGATATAAAACAAGCAATTCCCAAAAAAAAGAAAGGTTTCTTTCTGAAAGATTCTCTCAGTGCATCAAATTACGATGGTAACTAAGAAAATGTAAGTCGACCTATGAACCGGAGCTATGGAAATTTATCATCTCACAAGGCGTTTTTGTAGCAACGTCGACGTGCTCGTCATCGGGGCCGGCCCAACTGGTCTCGGAGCGGCCAAGCGTCTTCAGCATCTAGTAGGACCTCCTCCCATGCGAAGTGACATTTTTTACTGATATTTCTTACAGAACAGTGTTGACTGGCTCATTGTTGACTCCAACGAGACACCTGGTGGCCTCGCATCCACCGACATAACCCCCGAGGGCTTCGTATGTATGCCTCAGCCACCCTCCCCAATCTCATACTTACTCATGCAGCTCTTCGATGTTGGTGGACATGTCATCTTCTCCCACTACAAGTACTTCGACGATGTCATCAACGAAGCTCTTCCCAAACCTGATGATTGGTATGAGCATCAACGTATCTCATATGTCCGCTACCAAGGTCTTTGGGTCCCGTACCCTTTCCAGAATAACATCGCAGTTTTACCCAAAGAGGAGCAAGCTCGTTGTCTTGCCGATCTTATCGACGCAGCCATTCAAGCCCGTGCCCGTTCACCATCTGATAAACCAGCAAATTTTGACGAGTGGAACATTCGCCACGTTGGTGAGAGACTGAATGAGATCTTTATGAGGCCTTATAACTTCAAAGTCTGGGCTGTTCCTACAACCAAGGTATGCGTTTCCATAGCTCTTATGCGATCGTGGTTAACTTGTTTAGATGAACTCTACCTGGGTTGGAGAACGCGTCGCCGCACCTAACGTCAAGCTCGTGACCACCAACGCTATTCTTGGTAAAGCAGCTGGTGGATGGGGTCCGAACGCTACGTTCCGCTTCCCTGCTCGTGGTGGAACAGGAGGGATCTGGACCGCTGTTGCGGATACACTTGATCAAAGCAAGACTCGCTTTGGAGATCAAGGTGCGGTTACCAAGATCGATGCTGATGCCAAAACAGTCTATCTGAAAGATGGTAAGCAGCTTCTTTTCTAATATTGAGATTTCTGCTGACAAGAGTATAGGAACCACAGTGAAGTACGGTGCACTTATCTCTACCATGGCTGTCGATCAGCTAGCAGAGACTATTGGTGATGTTGAACTTCAGAAGTCCCTCAAGCCACTTTACTACTCCTCCACCAACGTGATTGGTGTCGGTATTCGTGGAAAGCGACCTGATCGTATTGGCGATAAGTGCTGGGTAAGCGGCGATTGAATGCTTTTGATATCTCAATTCTCACATGGCCATAGCTCTATTTCCCCGAAGACAATGCTCCGTTCTACCGAGCTACCATCTTCTCAAACTACTCGCCTTACAATCAACCCAGCGACGACGTCAAACTTGCTACCAAACAGCTTGCCAATGGTGACAAGCCTGCTTCGTCGGAACCTGCTTCAGGCCCATACTGGTCGATCATGCTTGAGGTCTCCGAGTCTTCCTACAAGCCCGTGAACCAGGCCACTCTTCTCGAAGAGAGTATCAAAGGCTTGATCAACACAGATTTACTCAAACCGGGTGATGAAATTGTCAGCACGTATATCCGCCGTTTCGACCATGGATATCCAACCCCCACTCTCGAACGCGACGCTGCTCTGTCCGAGGCCTTGCCTTACCTATACGACAAGGATATTCTGTCTCGAGGTCGCTTCGGAGCGTGGAAGTATGAGGTTGGAAATCAGGACCACAGGTGAGCCACTGAGCATTCAGTTGTTGCGGGATCAATCAGCTAATGGCTTGCTACAGTTTCATGCAGGGTGTGGAGGCAGTTGACAACATTATCTCTGGCGGTCTGGAATTGACACTCTCCAACCCCGATTTTGTCAACTCTCGAAAGAATACTGAGCGTCGTCTAGCTGGTATCAAGGGTGCTCGGAAATAGAACTCTTGCTGAGGTGTCTTTGTTTCTTGCATTCGTCGACAGGGAGACCCATGTACATGGCCAAAGTGGTATTCAACTTCTCCGAGCCCAGGCTCTCATCTACTTATCCTTCTTTAGATCACTATTCGTGGAAAGATTATCTTAGCTATCTATTATCTATGCCTGAGTCATCAAGTTCAATACATTCACATTTCATAAACTTGAAACCTAGACCTTGTTGAAGCTATTATGGGACTGGCCTTTGCCCTTTTAACCTCGCCACTAAATCATCTCATCTGGTTCTTCTCCGACAAGCATAACCAGAATTAGATTTAGACCCATAGTATAACCGTCGTTTGGGGAGGAATTTGTTCTAGCGGTGACCTAGCATGAAGATCACCTCGTATGGCTCTTGTGCCAAGCCTACCCCTGAGGGTCCGTGAGCGCGACTGAGCGCCTCGCCGAGACTTCAGTATGGGGCCAATGAGCCTGAATCTCGTAAATAAGAAGAGAATCCACGAACTAAAGCAAAGATAAAAGCTGACATCTCCCAGGCTTTTATGATAGTAAGAACCTTATCTTCTCTCATTGGAATTCACTCGTTACTTTGCAATCGTTTTCACCGGTCCAAAATGAAGTTCACATCCATCCTCGCGCTCGCCGGCGCTATTACCCCAGCTATCGCTGCTCCAGCTAAATCTGACAAGACTTGCTCGAATCCCGCAAAGAGAATTGAGTGGCGGGAGCTAGATGCTGCTGATCAGCAGGGATATATCGATGCTGTTCTATGCCTCAAGACTAAGCCCTCTCGCATGGGGCTCAAGTCCAGCTTGTACGATGACTTCCCCCATCTTCACTTCCAACTCAACTCCTGGAGTAAGTCCCATCTGCAATATGAAGTCTGCTTTTACTAATGTGATGCAGTCCATGGCGGTGCCCCTTTCCTCCCCTGGCACCGATATTTTGGTGTAATCTACGAGCGAGCTCTTCGTGACTGCGGCTATAAAGGTCCATACACGTGAGTACTACACAAGCCCATTCCCAGGTAAACCCTGACCGTAAACTACTAGCTACTGGGACTGGACCAAAGATACAGAAGGCCTTCGACTCTCCCCCGTCATGGCATCAAAGAACGGTTTCGGTGGTAACGGAGACTCTGAAAATACCGAGATAAGTGCTTCGGGGAGTACACTAAAGTGTGTATCCGACGGTCCATTCGCCAAGCTGCGACCTGAGTACCTCGAGACTGAGCCAAGGAAGCTTACCGACGGTGGCCATTGTCTGCATCGTAACTTGCCTGAAGTTGACGAGCCTGATGCTTTCGCAACTATGGCCAAGGTCTTTGGACCTGAAGGAGTTGAGGAAGTCCAAGCCTCTGGCAACTGGAGTCACTATGCTCGGACTCTTGAGGGAGGACCTCATGGTAGCATTCACGCTTGTCTCGGTGGAGAGATGAATCCCACTACTTCTCCCAACGGTTAGTAACCCCTTGCTTTTCTTTTCCACACAATATCTAATCTGTTGTAGAACCTCTTTTCTTCATGCACCACGCGCAGATTGACCGTCTCTGGTGGTTGTGGCAGAAGGAGAACTCCACCAGGCTCACTGAATATAACGGGCTTTACAAGAACATCAACCAGACTGAGCAACATGAAGTCAGCTTGGACGATATCTTGATGATGGGTGGTATTGACGAGGACCTTACTGTTGGAGATGTCATGGACACCACTAAGGGGCCCTTGTGCTACACCTACTAGGTATTAGCCAATAATCTCCTGGTGAGACATGTGAAGGTCAACCGTCGAAGCGATTACTGGTCGACTAACAATATTTTCACGTCTCTGGGAGACTCATATAGAATGGATAATGATAGACACTGGAATGAGTCTACATACTACGTAATTCAGACATTAAGCATAAAGCATTTCAAGTTCTCAGCTAATGGTGTTACTTAAACGTTGAACAATCTTCAGCTCTCCTTAGTGACCATACCGATAAAATCACCCTCGAGTCTAGGTCTCGGCGGCGTGTTGAAATGCTACGCTGACTATCATTTCCTATTATAGTTCGTCTGATCTAGCTATACGAGCTGGAGAAGGGACTTTGGATGAAGAACACCGCACGGGCCTTGATTACGACAGCTATTCGTACGCAGTGATTGGAGAGGGAAGGGAGATTGATGACTTGAGGTTGTCTTTGGCACTTTGCTAGCTAGGAGAAGGTATAACTGGGTGATCAATACATCTTTTGTTCCTTGCTTCCAAGCCCATTCAACTGCACTCGTGGGAACAAAAGCCTACAACGCTTGAAGGCTGGTGGATATAACATCCTTTAGAGGGTGTTAATCCCGAGACTTCATCCACATTTCGGACGTCCGTTCCAAAGGGAGGAAGGCGACTGAATAGACTAACTTGAGACGTGCTAGGGTGTTTCATGGAACTCGCTTGCGGTGATCCCTTGAGATATTTTTAGAATCTCGGCCAACTTTGACGTTGCTCCAGAGTAAATATTTTTGAGTATCATTCGCAAAGACTTAGGCTATCTGAACATCAACGGCTCGTTTATTATATTTGATTTCTTATCAGTGTATTATATATACGGAGTAGTCTCTATATGAAGATCATGGCGTGCTTCTATGTGATTGTTGTATTTGACAGTATTCATCCACGGGAAGCCTCCATTTTAGTCTTCCCAGTACCGTCTTTTTCTCTGATCCAGCATCTCATTCCTCGTGATCAATACCATTAGCTATCCAGATCTCGAACGCTCGGTACGCTCTTATACTCAAAGTTGATATCGTTACCAAGCTCAAAATCCTTGGCACTTCCATGAGGATCCCACGCTTCTTCATGCTTCCCCAGATGCTCCTTCAAGCCTCCAAAGAAGTTCCGCAAGCATAATATGGCGAATATCGTTGTCATGAAGATGGACAAGATACCCATGCAACCGAAGGCGGTGAAAGAGTCGATTGAACCTCCGCTCCTCCTTCTCTTGTCCAATTGGGCATCTATCACCAAGTACAGCAAGTAGCCAAGCATTGCGAGATACATGGCTATAGAGAAACACGTGCCAATGCGGTTCTCTGACTTGCTGAACATTATGGACACGGCGATGACGGCGAGTGCAACACCTAGAAGGGCGAGGTTGACGATGAAGTAGGTGCCTCCACTGCGAAGTCCTCCCAGAACGGGGAAGCAAAAGACCATATCGAAGCAGATGATGAAGTAAATGTCCATTTTGGCGAGCATGACAAAGATCTCATCATTAGGTTAGCGATAGTTGGCTTCGGGGATAGTTAACATACATGGTGAGTAATGCGTATCTTTCTCATCTTTGCATCTGCACCGACGTTCCGATATGACTGCCATGAGAAATATTGCTTCAGATACCAAGCACTGATAGGAAGGATCAGGGTGCAGATGGCGATAATAATAGGAATAACGAGTAGGATCTTGCCAATCACAGGCCAAATATCCATGTCAGTATTGACCAAGTGGTTGCCATTAGAGTCTGTCGACGTCTTGAACGACTCGATGGCCTCCGCGATATCCCGTCGCTGGGAAATAGCAAGGGGTAGGAAGCCTGCGTTGATCACGCACGCAAGCACCCCTTGCGCTGTACTCCTTAACCGGATGGCATCCCACATGAACAACAAATGAAAGATGAAGCCAAAAATGAAAATGGAAAAATTAGTTGGAATGCTGTAGCCGCGAGGGACCTGGATCACTGTAGGTCTAGCGTATTCCTGCCATTGTAAAAGGACAACGCTGCATTTTGAGGTCAGTAGTGAACAACAGCGCTGAAAATTTGGACCTTACCTCATCAGAAGTGTAACGGTGATGCCCTGGAATAGACCGATTGATATAAAGGCCGCTGCAGCTGGCGCCGTGTGTATCTTGTTGACGATAGCAGACATTGTGTCTGGTCTGCGCGAGTATTCACTCAATCTCGTATTCAGTGTCAAAAATAAATTTATTGACTGCTGAGCATTGAATGGTTGTCCGGCATTGATGGGAATTTTAATTGCCGACCCTAGCCTCAGGGGCGCTCTCGGACCTTTACGTTAGCGGGTCTGCCAAGGCAGCGAGATCCCGTATTTGCGGTATTGGATGAAACTCTGTCGAAGAATTTATACTGGGCTTGTGGGGAAGAATGCCAGCATCAGCCCAAAGGTTTCCAGAATCTTGGGTCATGAAGACTTGGACGTCGATCCGGGTAGGATTGAAGTTAGCGACAGCTCATCTCGACAGCCCTATCTTCAGCTGAGCGCCAATAGAAGGATGGCCTCAACGCAAGGACCTTTGAGTCGCGTGAGCGGCAGGGAAATCATGTCAAAACTCTACGGATCAATTGGAAAACCAGTGGAATTGACTGGCAAAGAAAAAGGGCCATCAAAACAGCGGAACGGCAACACTTGGCGGTTTTAAACGGGGCTAAGCGACGTCTTTGTGACGTCGATTAAACATATTTTGGAATTGTGAAAATTTTATTATTTTTATATGATTAACAACAACCCGCTGATGCAATCGCTCACTCCGAAACTCTACCATGCAATCCTTGCCACGACGGACTTGGGATATGTTCTCACAATAAACTTCCTGAGCTCATCGACCAAAAGAATACCAAGTCCAAGGGGAATAGGAATAAGCCAGAACTCAATTGGCACAGACTCAGTGTCGAACAAGTTCTGAATACCGGGTACTTCGGTGACAAAGATGGCGATGCACAAACTGATGAGCATGCTGAGGATCAACCAGGGGTTGCGGTGAGCCTTGCTGAGAGGGCTGGCTTGGAAAATACTCAAGCGACGGTTTCGCACGGCAAGAATGTTGCCCCATTGAAGGAAGACAAGAGTGACGAAGTAGACACACTGTCCAGTGTTGTTGAACTTGGTGAGCTCAGCAGCAGTGTAGCCGCGGTATCCCTCAGTGTAGCCCTCAAAGAGGAAGAAGAGCTCGGAGACGGGCATCTTGGCGTACTTCCACATGTAAAAGAAGAACATGGCGTGCGCAGTGATGGTCTCCATGAAACCGGTGAAGAGGTAGGCTTGGGTGTAGATCTTTCTATTGATGAGATGATCGCGCTTGTGATTACGGGGAGGAAGGGAGAGAAGATCGAATTCTTCCTTCTCCATGATGAGGGAGAGACTGAGGAAGAGATCGGTGAAGACACAGATGATGATCATGAGGAATGCGCTCAAGGGGAGAGGAACACCGAACCAGACGTTGAGAATGACGGGCCAGATCTCGGACCAACTACCGGCGGGGAGGAGATATGAGATGACCTTCTGGAGGTTCTGGAAGACGAGACGACCGAGACGCATGGCATCAATGATGGAGTCGAAGCGATCGAGGAGGACGAGGTCCGAAGCTTCAATGGCGACATCGCTACCGGTGACGATAGCGACACCGACATCAGCGGCGCGAAGGGCGGGGGCATCGTTAACACCATCGCCAGTGACTGCGACAACGTTATCGCGCTCGCGAAGCTCAGTGACGATACGGAGTTTCTGCTCGGGTGTAGTTCGCGCAAAGACAATCTCCTCATAAGCACAGACAACATCCCAGTCCTCTTGACTCAATCGGCTGAGATTGGCACCCTCAAGAAGCAAGCTGCGCTTGATGATCTCAGCACGATCGCCCTTCCTGGCTTTGCGCTTAGGCTTCTCGCTCTCAGTGATCTGATTGCCAGTGTACAGTGTGTCAATGGTGTCAGGGTCCTGTTGGCAGGAGAAGATACCAGTGTTGCGAGCGATGGCTGCGGCTGTGAGGGCGTAGTCACCAGTGACCATGAAGAAACGAGTACCAGCGCGGCGACATTGCTCAACGGTGGCGGGGATCTCGGGACGGTGAGGATCAATGATGCCGAGCATACCGACGACGGTGAGGTCTTGGATAGCAGAGTGGGTGATCTCATCGCTGAAACTGTTTGTGCCAACAACGGCGCGAGGGGTAATGAACTTCTCGCACAAGACGATGACACGCTCGGCGCGACGCGATGCGTCATCTTGGATCTCTTGGAACTTGATGCGAGCATCGCGGGTGAGTGTCTCGACGGAGTTGGACTCAGCGGACCAGTACTTGGTGCATCCGGCGAGCAGGATATCAGGGGCACCCTTGATGATGACGCGGTAGGCGCCGCGTTCGTCGTCGGATTGGAAGACGGTGAGCATCCATTTGTTCTTGGAGTTGAAGGGGACTTCGAAGATACGAGGTACTGTCTTGCGGAAGCTATCGCCTGAAGGACCATAGGCAGCGAAGCGGAAGACAGCGCTGTCGGTGGCGTTACCTTGGATGGTGCGCTCGTGTAGGGGGAGATGGTTGGTGGTTGGGTCGAAGGATGCATCGTTGCAGAGAAGGGCGGCGCGTTGGAGAGCTGTAGCAGGTTCACTGACTTTGTCACCGTGGAGCAAGTGTTGGAACTCATCGGAAGAGTCAAACTGCTTGTCCACAAAGGCCACTGAGCTGACAAACATCTGGTTCTGTGTAAGGGTGCCTGTCTTATCGGAGCAGATGACGTTCACACAACCGAGTGTCTCGACAGTTGATAGACCCTTGGGCAAGACATTGACTGCCTTCATGTGACGAGCGACCATCATGAGTGTCAGGGCGACAGCGACGGGCATACCCTCGGGGATGAAGGCGACGACACATGCCATGACGTTGACGAGCATGGCTGGGACACTCATGTAGGCGTGGTGATCAACGCGAAGCCAACCGACCCAAGTGAGGAGGATGGCAAGGGCGAGGATGATAGTCATACAGACGATGATCATGACGAAGCGAGTGATCTCGCGCTGGATAAGGGCAGCTGAGTCCTTGACGCCAGAAGTTGAAGTGGCGATGCGACCCATGACTGTGCGACCACCAGTGAGGATGACAACACCAACACCGTTACCGTTCATGACAGTAGTACCCATGAAGGCAATGTTGCGACTCTCAAGGAAGTTGGCATCAGTTGCATCAACAGCACCCTCGATCTCATCAGACTCTCCAGTGAGCACCGATCGATCAAAACGAATGTCACCAGAGTGGCTAACGATTCGAAGATCAGCTGGGACCTTGTCGCCAACCTTGAGATGAACAACATCACCAGCCACAAGCCCAATAGTAGGAAGACTCTTGAGCTCGCCATCACGCTTGACCATTGCAAAAGAAGGCAGCAGGTCGAGAATGGCATTCATGGTCTTGGCTGTAGACCAGTCCTGAAAGGCGGAGAAACCAGCTTGGAGGAAGATGACGATGAGGATGAGGACGGCGAGGGATAGATTTTGGTTCGAGGGGGGATTGCTGAGGGGCTGCCAGCACAGAAAGAAGATGATGGCACCGACCCAGAGAACCGAACAGAAACCACCAAAGATGTACTTTAGCGTTCTCTTGATGTAGTTCGTCTTGGGATGAGGCAGCGTATTCTTTCCATCGCGCTCAAGACGCGTCGCAGCCGAACTCTCAGACAGACCAGCGCCAACATCCACATTAAGCTGCTGACACAACTGCTCCGTCTGAAGTTCATGGTACTGCAGCTTCGAGAAGTAGTCCTCGTCTGTCTTTTGTCCACCCGCTGCTTTGGAATCTTCAGCAGGCTCGGTCTGCTTCGCCTCGGTGACTTGGATGGACAAGGTGCGGTATTCGATCTGAACGCCGGAGTAGGGGGATGTAGGATGGATGCGGCTTCGTGAGCTGGAGTGGGAGCGGCGGCGGGATAGGGAGCGCGAGCGCGTGCGGCCGAGGCGCTGTGCATCGTGGTCTTCACGGCCGCGCTCAGGACCGTCTTGGAAGGTGATGCGTTGGATCTGAGCTTCAGGATCAGACTCCTTGGTCCCACGGATGTCAGGATCAGACATGTTGACGGGTAGTCTTCACGAGGAAGTGCGAGGGAGAAAGAAGAAGCAGAGAGGGAGAAGCAGTGTGAGAAGATGAGAGGAATTCCAGGTATGAGGCACAGCTACGAGTGGTATTAATACAGGAACCAACAGCGAGGTCTAGACAATTCTACAGCCCGTGATCAACTCCTGCGAGGCCTCTTCGCAATAAGAGAGTATCCATCGAAAAAAAACAAAAACAAGCGCTCGTAAAATACCGCAGTTTTGGTGCTGAAACGTGGTGAATTGTAGTTGTAAGTGAGGCTCTACAAGAGGTGTACATGCTCCGCCAGCGATAATATCGTGTGGTTGACGGTAGGTGTTGGTATGGGACTACAAGCCGGGGGGGCACTGACGGGCGCAAAAAGGGGAGACGGGGGGAGTGGACCGTGGAAATGAGTGCCGTAGGTAGGTTAGCTCAGTAGTGCATGTAGTCTGTGATATCACTACAGCGTGGGGACTCAGCCCCGACTCCACAGTATCTTGGTGTGTTGCAGGTATTTGGCTCATATTGTTCTGCACGAGCTGGGACTTGTTATGATGAGGGGAGCACCTAAGGGGAAAAAAAGGGATCTGGCCTGGCTGACGTGGGTGGCCCTGACTAACCACGTTGGAAGAAGCCGTTTGTCAAGGGAACTTTTGGAACGAGCACCAACTGGAACCGAGCACCGACCCAGAACCCAAGCTCCTGGTTTTAACACTGCCACGTTCATTGAGAGAGAGAGGAGAGGCTTGGACCCTGAAATCCCACGTTGCATCTTTGGTCGGACCCGAAAAGGCACGGAAAATAAGGTCCTCGAAATAAGCATTTTGACGTGGGCGTAGCCGTCTTGGCATGGTCATAGCGTCCTCTACGATCGAGGGGGGCCAAGTCTCTTTAGGGCAGGGCAGGGCAGTGCATGAATTGGATCTAGGCTCAAGGCGGCATATCAAACCAAACCAACGCTCACATGCAAAACGCAGCGTGCGATCTGTCATTTCGGAAACAAGCGAATCAGAGCTTTAGTCGCTAAAGCTCACCGACTCGACGTCGCGGAGGCGGACTCAGCTCCATC